GATTACAAAGTCGAGGTCACCTATATGTTTGAAGCTTATACACAAAATTACTGTAAATGTATTTATCATCTTCTTATGATATGAAGGTTTGTTCATTATCTTTGGTTCATTTGTTTTTATTTGTTTTTTCTTTCCTCCTCCACCCCCCCACCCCCCACCCCCACCCCCCTTTGTCTTTGTTTTATGTCTGCCCTTTTACAGCACCATCAACAAAAGATCTTATTTCCTATACAACATGGAACTTACCAAGTATAGTAGCCATTCATGTGATAAGGTGTAGATACACTATATAGATAGTTACCACTCAGATAGAATCATCATGTGTATCTCATTCCTATTAATCCTCTGGTACCATTAACAGATAAATCTGACACCAATGTAACCAGTCAGCAATCTGTTATGTATCTTAAATTGACAGATAAATATCTTCCTAGTGATCTGCTGCTATCTATCCCTGATAACTTAAAGAAGATATTTTTCATTTTGAAGAAGATTGGTTTATTGTCTGTGTGTTAAACACCAGCTGCTGGCTCAGTATAGCTGTCACATAGTTGCACGCGTCTGTGATGGAGTTATCTCCCCATGTCATGATAACCTTTACCTGGTAGAGTAATCTACCCCTGTTGAGATAACCCCTCACTGTGGTCCATTTCCAGTAACTTCCTGTTGATCTTCCTCACTAGTGTGAGCTACTTCCTCCTTTTTACGTCATGGTTACCACGATGATGACCTCTAATTGGCTTTTAGAGATAAATCATCATGAAGCTTTAGGGTCAAGGTCACGGGATGATAGATATATACTGTAGAATGAGTGTTTCTGGTGCCTGTTTCATTACACCAACAACATACACTTTAAATAGAAAAAATTGATATGGAAAATATCTTACATTTCTAGACTTTGTAAATATATGGTCTATTTTTTTCTTGGAGTGCTTATGTATGCAAAATCTGTGTGAAATGTTTCAAGGAGTTTCGGAGAGATGCTTAGGTCAGATCATTTCATGCAGAGCAAAAGATTATTACACCGATATCAGTGTTCAAGACAAATGCACGTTATGCAGTTTTTGAGCAGAGCCTTTTTCTCATTGGGTCTATTGACACAGTGTGTTGACAATAATCTGCTCTCTGTGGTAGTGACAGAAGCTGCAGCCACCTGTTGCCACCATTAGCTCTCTGCTGTGAGAGTGTGGAGGGTATATTAGCCCACAGACAGCCAGTCTAGGCAGGGATAAGACTCTGCTGGGACACGGTTCCCCCTCCTACCAGAACCATTCTTCATCTTGTCAGAAATTGCTACTTTTGACCTCTGCTTGGCTCTTCTCTACCTCCTGTATACAACCACCATACTGACAGGTAGAGAGATTTATTCCTTTTAGACAATATGTTTACCACACAAGCAAATATTTGGAAGATATTTGCATCCTGGTGAAGTTATTCTCACCTCCCATTGTCTAGAACCTACTTCTAGTGTTTAGTTGATCTTACAAATACCTACAATCTTGTTCTCAGGGAAGCTTGCAAATACCTACAATCCTGTTCTCAGGGGAGCTTACAAATATCCACAATCCTTTTTTCAGGGGAGCTTACAAATACCCACAATCCTGTTCTCAGGGAAGCTTACAAATACCTACAATCCTGTTCTCAGGGGAGCTTACAAATACCTACAATCCTGTTCTCAGGGAAGCTTACAAATACCTACAATCCTGTTTTCAGGGGAGCTTACAAATACCTACAATCCTGTTCTCAGGGAAGCTTACAAATACCTACAATCCTGTTCTCAGGGAAGCTTACAAATACCTACAATCCTGTTCTCAGGGGAGCTTACAAATACCCACAATCCTGTTCTCAGGGAAGCTTACAAATACCTACAATCCTGTTCTCAGGGAAGCTTACAAATACCCACAATCCTGTTTTCAGGGGAGCTTACAAATAACTACAATCCTGTTCTCCGGGGAGCTTACAAATACCTACAATCCTGTTCTCCGGGGAGCTTACAAATACCTACAATCCTGTTCTCAGGGAAGCTTACAAATAACTACAATTCTGCTCTCCGAAAAACTTACATGTTTTTACATCCTGTTCTCAGGGGAGCTTACAAATACCTACAATCCTGTTCTCAGGGAAGCTTACAAATACCTACAATCCTGTTCTCAGGGAAGCTTACAAATACCTACAATCCTGTTCTCAGGGAAGCTTACAAATACCTACAATCCTGTTCTCCAGGGAGCTTACAAATACCTACAATACAAATACCCACAATGTTCAAATGCCTACAATTCTGTTCTTAGGGAAGCTTACAAATATGTACAATCCTGGTCTCAGGGAAGCTTACAAATACGTACAATCCTGTTCTCCGGGGAGCTTACAAATACCTACAATCCTGTCCTCAGGGAAGCTTACAAATACCTACAATTCTGTTCTCAGAAAAACTTACATGTTTTTACATCCTGTTCTCAGAAGAGCTTACAAATACCCACTATCCTTTTCTCAGGGAAGCTTACAAATACCCACTGCTGAAAAAAACTTATAAATACCAAAATTCTGATGGTAGTAGTGTATAAATACTCACAACCCTGTTCTCAGTAAGCTTACAGATACCCATAATTCTTCATTATAATATGACAAAGTTATGCACTTCCTGTTTTCTGCCTCATTCCTACAGTTATTTTCTTCTGTTGTCTCAAATGTTGCTATAGGTATCCACTTCCTATTCTCTGCCATACTCTAGGTATCTACTTCCTGTTATCATAATTAAGTTCCACTTCCTTTCCTCTTTGAATGATAAAGTTATCACTTCCTGTTTTGATGTCCCAAGAAGAATCCTTTCTGATGTTCAGAATTTGATGCCATTTCCATAAGTAATGGTTTCCTGGGTTGGTAACTGGTGATAGTAAGTGGTGCAGGCATTGCAGTACTTGTAGTAATTATTACTGTCTCCTTCTTCAAACATATTGAAGTATGGAGCATATGTTGTGAACACAGGTCAGGGGACAGTTATGATGAAGAGTTTAACCTTTTGACCCCTGTAATAAGTACATGATTGGTGCTGGAGAGTCTATGTAAATCGGTTCTTTGATGTCTAGTAATCTATGCAGGGGACTCCATTACGTAAACCAAAACACGTATACAACTACTTCAAATGTGATATGGTTTGTATTACATAGAGCTTAAAATCACAGCAGTACTGGGCAATTAAACTAGTAAATTATTAAAAATCTACTCTTTATACACCTCTAAATGGAAGTGATATACCCCTTTTAAATTAAATTTTGATAACCTGTGGTAAGTTTTATAAAATAAATTTATTTTTTCAATAATTATGTCAAAGTGTTGAGTTTGTGAAGTAGGAAAACGGAAGACATGAACTAGTACCAGATGGTTACCAGCTCAGTAATGGTGTAACTTTCCCTTTACAAAGAAAAACTTGTATATCAACTGAACTATTTGTCTTGTGATATTTCCTGTATATATTACGATATTGTTGTAGTTCTTTTGTTAGGTTTAAGGATGTCAGAGGGTTATATTCTCTCCAGTAGTGATATCAGCTATACCTAAGACAAAAAATGGAAATGAAAGGGAAAAGTTATTTACAGAAAATCCTGCATTAAAGAGATTTTCCTATAGGGCTGGGATTGAAGTAATTATTACGGTGATGCACATAACAGACTTTCATGTTGTCATTAGATATTCTAGGTCAGGCGACTGTATCAGTTTATGTAGTCCGGTCGACATTTATTTGTGCACGTCAGCTTAGACATGGCTGTGATGTATCGGAGAGAAACAGGACATTATGTCAGGCTTCCAGACAAACGTTGATTACTCTCCACCATTTCTCTGCTTTAATCAGGAACAAAGTTTACTGAAGTCATTCTATATGGTTGCAAACACAAGGGGGGAAAAAATAGATCTTCAAACTTAATCTCAAAAAAGGAACAAAATTCAGACTTTCAAATAGGAATTCTTACACTCAATTAGAAAAAATTTGTGAAAACAAATTGCTACTCCCTGGAGTGTCTTGTAGTGTTAGTTTTTGCTTACTTGCTGATTTTCATGGTGCAGAGCGAAATTAAGTGTTAAAATGTCTTCATTCCAAATGATTTAAGAATGGTATAAAACAGAATTAAGGAACGAAATTGTCAGCCATTTTATAGAGTGTGGTAAAGACTTGTTTTACTGTATAAATGTCCAATGGGTTGACAGGTATGATTGATGAATCAGTATAGACGTTCTAAGGGTGACCAAAATTACTAGAAAATCAGTATAAATGTTCTATGGGTGACCAAAAATTACTAGAAAATCAGTATAAATGTTCTATGGGTGACCAAAAATTACTAGAAAATCAGTATAAATGTTCTATGGGTGACCAAAAATGACTGGAAACTCAGCCTAAAAGTTCTATGCATGATCAGAAATTAATGGAAAATAAATATAAAGGTTTTCCTATAAATGGCCAAGAATTTTTAAAGAATAAATGGAAAGATGCTTACTCAAAGAGGTGCAATTACTGAAGGTACAGATATAAATGAAAGTACCTGAAGACATGGCCAACATTTTGATGATGTTGCTTCATAATGAGGATTGTTCTAAGAAAAGGAAACTAGATTAGTCAGGAACATTAATATAAGTTCTTCAAAAGTTGGCCTGGGATCACAGTGCATTGTTAAATTCATAATGAGGTGCCTGAACTTTGAAATTAAGGATAAACTATTCCCAGAGTGGTTTCCATGTGACATTTCACACACAGTTGTACATAGACTGTCCCAGTATGTGACCTTCTCATCCAGTCTCTTTAAAACTATATTTACACATAAATACATGTATTTATTGAATTATTTTGTTGTGTTTGTTTGACTTTACCCATGTACTTGTGTCTTATCTGAGACTGGTGTTCCTTGTAATGAAGTAAAACAAACTTTTGAAAATTAAAAAAAAAGTAAACAGTGAGACATATTGATGATAGAGCTTATGTTGATATTACGATATTTTTTTTATTTTTTCAGGAATGTATATGATGGAGAGGAAAATAGTGACAGACGCATGCAGAGTACCTTCAATATCCTCGTAAGTATATAATTCTGCGGTGTCTCAGCTGTCTGTCTTCATTTAGGAGACCTTGTAAGTACATAACAATGTAGTGTCTCAGCTGTCTGTCTCAATTTTGGTGACTTTGTAATTGCATAACAATGTGGTGTCTCAGCTGTCTGTCTCAATTTTGGTGTGACCTTGTAATTGCTTAACACTGTGGTGTCTCAGCTGTCTGTCTTCATTTGGGAGACCTTGTAAGTACATAACACTGGTGTCTCAGCTGTCTGTCTTAATTTGGGAGACCTTGTAAGTACATAACACTGGTGTCTCAGCTGTCTGTCTCAACTTTGGTGACCTTGTAATTGCATAACACTGTGGTGTCTCATCTTTCTGTCTTCATTTGGGTGACCTTGTAAGTACATAACACTGGTGTCTCAGCTGTCTGTCTCAATTTTTGTGACCTTGTAATTACATTATTCTCATGTGTCTCCACTGTCTATGTCTAGTAGTGTGGTGTCTCTCCTTGGAGTGATGAGAATTGAAGAAATTACTCTAGAGACAGAGAGTAGTCAAAGTCAACATTACAGTCCAACATTTATAATAGGTGATGAAAGTGTCTGTTGACTAGAATCTGTACCATTCTACGTTATAGAAGTCACAACCAGGTATATTTCTTTTGTTAACAACTTTTCATATATTGTCTTGAGGAAAACATTTTTTTTTTTCAAAGTACATACTTTCACTGGCATGTTTACTAAATAAACAGATAATTTTTTATTTGGGGCTTCATTTAGAAACATATGTGTTCAATTTTTGTATGGTTAAAGTTACATTCTACCGGACATCTCTCCAATACATGACAGCTGTTGCCTAGTCTCCATTCATCCTTTAAAATACTCCTGGAATTCATTTGGTGGCGAGTGCTGTTAATTTGATGATGGCATGAAGCCCTTAAGTAATCAGCTGGTATAACTTAATACAACTCCCCCAATAAACAGGATATGTGAGGTTTTGTCTATCTTATCAGCAAAGGAGGAGGAACAGTCTACTGGGGAAGGGAAGGCCATCGAAGGGGATACTGTCTGGGGAGGGATGGGTCATCCAGAGGGGATACTCTCTGGGGATGGTCAGGTCATCAGGAGGGGATACTGTCTGGGGATGGTCAGGTCATCAGGAGGGGATACCATCTGGGGAGGGCCAGGTCATCAGGAGGGGATACTGTCTGGGGATGGTCAGGTCATCAGGAGGGGATACTGTCTGGGGATGGTCAGGTCATCAGGAGGGGATACCATCTGGGGATGGTCAGGTCATCAGGAGGGGATACCATCTGGGGATGGTCAGGTCATCAGGAGGGGATACCATCTGGGGAGGGCCAGGTCATCAGGAGGGGATACTGTCTGGGGATGGTCAGGTCATCAGGAGGGGATACTGTCTGGGGATGGTCAGGTCATCAGGAGGGGATACCATCTGGGGAGGGTCAGGTCATCAGGAGGTGATACTGTCTGGGGATGGTCAGGTCATCAGGAGGGGATACTGTCTGGGGATGGTCAGGTCATCAGGAGGGGATACCATCTGGGGAGGGCCAGGTCATCAGGAGGGGATACTGTCTGGGGATGGTCAGGTCATCAGGAGGGGATACTGTCTGGGGATGGTCAGGTCATCAGGAGGGGATACCATCTGGGGAGGGTCAGGTCATCAGGAGGAGATACTGTCTGGGGATGGTCAGGTCATCAGGAGGGGATACTGTCTGGGGATGGTCAGGTCATCAGGAGGGGATACCATCTGGGGAGGGCCAGGTCATCAGGAGGGGATACTGTCTGGGGATGGTCAGGTCATCAGGAGGGGATACTGTCTGGGGATGGTCAGGTCATCAGGAGGGGATACTGTCTGGGGAGGGACAGGTCATCAGGAGGGAATACTGTCTGGGGATGGTCAGGTCATCAGGAGGGGATACTGTCTGGGGATGGTCAGGTCATCAGGAGGGGATACTGTCTGGGGATGGTCAGGTCATCAGGAGGGGATACTGTCTGGGGATGGTCAGGTCATCAGGAGGGGATACCATCTGGGGAGGGCCAGGTCATCAGGAGGGGATACTGTCTGGGGATGGTCAGGTGATCAGGAGGGGATACTGTCTGGGGATGGTCAGGTCATCAGGAGGGGATACCATCTGGGGAGGGCCAGGTCATCAGGAGGGGATACTGTCTGGGGATGGTCAGGTCATCAGGAGGGGATACTGTCTGGGGATGGTCAGGTCATCAGGAGGGGATACTGTCTGGGGATGGTCAGGTCATCAGGAGGGGATACTGTCTGGGGATGGTCAGGTCATCAGGAGGGGATACTGTCTGGGGATGGTCAGGTCATCAGGAGGGGATACTATCTGGGGAGGGCCAGGTCATCAGGATGGGATACTGTCTGGGGAGGGACAGGTCATCAGGAGGGAATACTGTCTGGGGAGGGATAGGTCATCAAGAGGGGATACTGTCTGGGGAGGGACAGGTCATCAGGAGGGGATACTGTCTGGGAAGGGATAGGTCATCAGACTGGGATACTGTCTGGGGAGGGACAGGTCATCAGAAGGGGATATTGATTGAGGAAGGGAATATATACCATTCAGATGTGTCCTTATTACTTAGATTTATCACACCTGTCTTTTCCACTAATTACCACTGTTGGGATTACTACTGTGGTAAGAGGTGTTATGTCTTCAGATGACAGTTGTACAATCAATTTCCTTGATGAGAAAATGTCAGCAATTCTGTCTAAGGCAGTGTTTCAATAACTACTTCACCCAATATGTTTATGTAAGCAACCTATACCAAGACTCCCGACCTACTACACACAATGAACGATAACAGCTTTAGAGAAAATGTTTGTTTTCAATCTCAGAAACTATTTTCTAACCAATTACAGGAATCCTATGAATTTGTTTACTCGCCAATTACAGGAGTTGTGCTGGTCAGATGAATGACCTTATGTTGGTGGTATCACAGAGCCTGGTGAAACAGTTGGCTTACATCTGTTATCACACAACATTTCGGTCAGGTTGGGTTACCATCTATCAAATCTAAATATTGGTCGTGTTTACAGTTATCTCCCCTTAGGTCTTGATGTTATCCTTCCAGATTTACAAGTTGGATATTGTCCAACTGAAAATTTATATCTAGCCGGATAAACCTTGTGTGCTGTCTGTGCTCTCCTGGTATAATGGGCGTCTGATTGGCAGCACAATCAAAATTATCTCACCACTCCTGACTGACAGGTGCATTGTAATGTTTTGTCTCTGACATCTCAGGTAGATGGAGCCAGCAGTCTACTTCCTGTTTTTGTTAAAAGAAAATTACAGAGAATTGTTACGTCATTTTCCTCCAGAGGGACAGTTATACGTTACAAAAGTTTGATGATGAATGTTTAATCCTCTGATGTGGTGTTTCAAAAGTTATCCTAATATTATATGATAACCAAGAGCCAATAGGAAGCAGAAGTTGAACATTTATGTCTGGAAAGCAATTTAAAGATGGAAGATTTCTGACAATAAACCATGCCCTGTGTTATTTATTGTTGATTAAAATTGCCAACTTAAGCTATGTCATTGTCCTGAACTGAGCCAATCCTCTGACTTCTAGTAATGTTACAGCCTTCCAAGCCTGTTGCAGCAAAAACCTTGTTATTGGTTGTCTAAACATTTAAAAAGATGGTCATATCTGTAAGACAAATCGTCTAACATGTTCAATTTATTTTATGTTGTCTTGCCATGTTTGAATTAGGCATGTCAGATGTTATTGAATAATACTGTCTTAGTCCAGTGGGTCCCATTACGTTTAACTGATATAATGTCACAATTTAGGTCTGAGATTTCTCTAGAAGGTCTAGTTGCTAGTAAACATAAGGATGTTAATTATAGGGATGCTGTTATGAGACAGAATAGATTCTCAGAAACTGACCTTCCAGTAGCAAAGACAGAGGGAAAAATTGTTGCATTGAAGGGTATACAATTGTAGAAATGATCACTGGAAAACCTGTGTATGATATCGAATGTTTGATTAGCAATGGCTGACTAGCCTCAGCTCCTCAGATATAATGAAATTCCACACGATCACGGGATGCATTGTGAAATTAATTCTTAATGACAGAATTATTGTGTCATTTGTTTCATTACACCATGTCATATTTCAAGTTTTAAAGCATTAATTAACAACCTCGTATCAATTATGATTAAGGTTTTCACAGAATTTTAATATCTTTTATATGACCGTTACAAGTTTGTTTACAAAAACCCTAATTAGTATTTCTTGTTATTCATACATAAACATGTTTAGTAACCATTCTTAAAAGTACTTAATTTTTGTGACCAGTAACATAAACTAAGTTTATAAGTAAATTGTTGTTTAGTGGAGGTCACAAATATGGATGTAAAAAGGTAGCCCTGTACATACTGAACATTTGAGGAGGTTGTCAGTAACACTTGTCAGTAACACATGGACTCCCGTCTCTGTATGTGAGGATATATGGCTATAGTAACACAGGCAATTTACAGTTACAGTATATAACTAATAGTCCATCATCTTGTGGTTTCAGCTGTATTTTTCTCAGGTCTTCAAATGATATGGTCAGAAATTTGACTAGGAACAAATATTATGACATAACCAGATTTTAAAACGGATTATTGTGTTATGCAATAGAAAATATCCATTAACTTCCATTAAACTGGTATTCAATTCTCACAAAATATTCTTCAAAGAATCTGGATTCATTGTTGTTATGGCTGACAATGATGGTAAGGTGATAATCATGGAATGAGAATTAAATCACAGAAAATCACACCTAAGTCGTGTGTGATCAGCTGTAACCATACAGGACATTCAAAGTTTATTTCCTTCAGATAATAGTAAGAACTTAATTCCGTTGTTATAAACAAAATGGATACATGTTAACAGCTATAAATTGGTCAATCTAGTGGTCAGATGGATATTGGTCAGTCAAGTGGTCATTTGGATGTTCTAATGGCTCTCCGTCCAGTTCAGCTAAGTAATATCCTGCTTGTCTAACTCTTGTGTCTCTGGCTAAGGAGATGGTCATGATGTGGTCAATACCCTATTTACTGGACAGTCACAGTGACCTCTAGGTTTGTATATGTAGTGGTCAGTTTAAATTTGTATAGTGGTCTGTACCTAACTATTTGTCATAGTGACCTATAGATGTAGTGGTCAGTTAAAATATTCTATAGATCACAGTATGAGGTGGTCAGTGTTTCTAGTATATAGTCTTTGTATAGTGGTCAGTATGTTAATTGGTCAGATAAGTGGTGACCGATAAAGTAGTCATTTAAAGTGACATTTTATTCAGTGATCATGTTGATTGATAACTAAAGATGTAGCCAGTGTATATAGGCAAAGCCTGTAATGGTCACTCACCTTGACCTATTGTTTTATATATGTAGTGACCAGTTAAAGCGACCAGGAAGTGGTCATTGATTGCAGTGAGCAGTTGGTATATATAAATATTGGTCAGTATGTGTAACAGTCACCTTGACTTATAAACTATTATTTATTGAACTATTATAGGAGAGAACAATATTTTCTACTCACATGAAAGATTTCATTCAAGTTTCTGTTTCGTCATTTTAGAACTTCTACAAAGACAACAGTAATAGACAGGAGATGTACATGCGCTACATCAAGAAGCTATATGACCTTCACCTCTCGGCCAAGAACTATGTTGAGGCTGGCCTCACCTTACAATTGTATGCAAAACTGCTGAATTGGACCGATGACATCAAACAAGGGGAGATGGGCTACCATCCGCAACCAGAGTGGGAGAGGAAAGAGGGCATGTACCAAAAGGTCATAGAGTGCTTTGACAAGGGCAAGGTCAGTCAACAGTTCGGATGAAATTTGTAAATAAAGTTATATATCCTGTGATTATGGGTTACCTACATTTAATGAGATCTACACATAAGTTGTAGTATACCACATGTCTACTTCTGTTGTAACTAATCAAACACAGCCTGAATATGTATCAAAGTATTAATGTTTTGTACAGTTAGTCTTCTGTACGTTGTTTGGACATATCAACAGACTTTTCTTATTTATCTATATAAAAAAAAAGTTTGGTGGAAACTTAAGAATATTTGCCGCTGCAGAAAGTAACTTTAAATTGTTAAATGGTCTAATGACTTCTCTATAATGAACCACCTGTGATTATTTTACTGAAACAAATCATCCATGGTACATCATCAATAGTACATACAGGATATTCTATATTGACAGGTGTGGGAGTTTGGCATTCCACTATGTAAAGAACTGGCAAAGTTCTATGAGGAGAGACTGGAGTATCGCAAACTCAGTCAGATTCTGGTAAGTTTGGGTTAGGAAAGATGCAACATAGAAATACCTAAGTTATTTACAGTATAGGTTCTGTCTCAAAAAACCATCCAATCACCATATAGTTCAATAGAACATTGTGCTATGGCTAATACATTTGTATTGTTCTGTGTAGAATGTGTCTATAGATATATGCTTGTTCGTTCTCAGTGTAGAAAGAAAATACAGTTTGGCTAGCTGTGTTTGTCAGCTTTTTCTGTGTAAATAATAATTTACATCATATTTTAACAGCAAAAACAGACTGCTTTCTTCAGTAAAATGTCAGCATTTTCTGTGTAAATAATGGTTAACTTCATCTTTTTACAGCAAAAACAGGCTGCTTTCTTCAGTAAAATGTCAGCATTTTCTGTGTAAATAATGGTTAACTTCATCTTTTTACAGCAAAAACAGGCTGCTTTCTTCAATAAAATGTCAGCATTTACTGTGTAAATAATGGTTAACTTCATCTTTTTACAGCAAAAACAGGCTGCTTTCTTCAGTAAAATATTGGACGGCGTGGAAGTGGTGGAAGACGGACAGAAGAAATTCTACCCCAGACAGAAGCCCAGCTTCTTTAGAGTGGCATACTATGGTCGCAACTTTCCTCCGTTCGTCAGGGTAAACTATTACAACCTTTGGTTAATAGATACTTTAACAAAAAACAGATATGTATTAGGGATATCATTGATTGTATATAAACTTATTAGTAAATCAAAATAGCAAAAATTTTACTTGAGTTATCTGCCCAATCACATAGGTTGTTTCAGGCGGAGGGGAAGGAGAATTACTGGACTTCTTTCCAAATCCTTGCACGCTTTCATCCTTTCATCTGAGATCAAACAGGAAAGATTGATATAATTGGAGAGCAGTTTTACAAATTTTGTAGAATAAAGTTATAATCTATAAACTGTAAAACTGTATTTATTTTACAACAATTGTGAAACAAGTTATGTCAACTTATACTGATCACTCTTGTTGGTCCATATGTAAGCGCCGAGGGGTCTTATTGTGGGAGGAAACCGGAGTACCCACAGAAAACCCACATGGTCAGGCAGGTGACCCTTACCTTTTCACGTTTGTTCCAGGAATGGAACCCCAACTTAAGTTATAATGATATAAGAACAGATCATAAGAGGGTTATGTGCCCTTTATTTTTGTATGTTAAAGAGGACGGGTCAGCTTTGATATTTTTTTGTTTTAATTTTACATTGCTTTATGAATTTATAGAACAAAGCATTTGTGTACCGAGGCCATGAGTGTCTGAAATTACAAGATGTAATAAACCAGCTAACACAAGAGTTTCCCTCGGCAACCATTATGCAGAAGAACACGAACCCGACGGAAGAGATGATGGAAGGCGAGGCACTGAGTATCCTTTACACAGCAAACTACACCTAACTTGACAAGTGATATTTGTTTGTGTGCCATTTTCACAATCTTTGTAATTGCAGGTTGTAGACCTGCTGATGGTCCCCATTTTTGGTATAAACTGCATGATATGTTTTAATTTATTCAAATAGTAGTATTGTTCAGAACATACGTATGTACTTCATGTTCTTTTGAAATCACCAAATACTGAAATCTTAAATGCAATTTACTGAAATGTGGTGCTTATACAACTCCCCGTTTCTGACATCTCTTTTGGCCAGTTTTGACTTACCTCACTCACTTCCAAGATTTCAACAACTGAGGCCCTGAGCATCACTGATGAGTCCAAGAAGGACAAAACAGCTGTATAATGAAGTTTATTAGTCCCCTGCCAGTGAAACCAGGATAAAAAAACTTTCGTAAAACATCATAGAGTATTAAATTTTTTTTTTTTTTTTTTTTGTGTCATTTTCTGGAATTTGCGTCCTTTTTGTCAAGATACTGGTTTTTGGAGTGAAGATTTTCAATTGTTAAAATGAGACATCTGTTTATTGCTCTCAAGGTCTATGCTGTTTACAAAATTTAATTAACAGCAGGGGATAAGTGTTGCATGCAGTACAAACTGTAAGCTTATTCATTATTTTAGCTATACTTCATTAACCTTTTTATTGCAGGGTACTTTTCACTTGTGTCTTTTGTGTATAAGTTCTTGATCACAGAATTTTAAGTAATATTCATGTGAAAATTGATAGAAAAAATATCCAATTTTTTTTTTGCTTTATTAATTTTTTCCTCTTTGGTGATTAAGATGTCTTGTGAAATTAAATTACGAACAATGAATTTCATAACTGAAAACGTTAAAAACCTGATGATTTCTTCTCGATCAAAGAAACTCTTGCTTAAGTGGGAGAGGATCATTTGTTGTGTAGTGTCATACGATACATAATGTCAAGCGACTAAACTTAACTGCAAATACTGGTTTACCACATTTTGTCAGTATGCCCTAACAAGCCAAATAGCACTAAAACTATTGCAGTTATAGTAGATATGCTATATCATTGTCCTGTAATAAGCCCATCCTCTGACTTTGGGTCTGAGGTTCTGTGTGTCAATAAGCTTGTGCACTAAATAAGCCAATTAACACATAGTATTTTATTTTTAGTAGATATACCCACATATACTTCGTCATTGTCCTGTAATAAGCCCATCCCCTGACTTTGTGTGTGAGGTCATTTGTTGTCCCTGGAGAACAATTATAGTAAAATTGGGTGGCTGTATTGAGTGGGGTAATTGTGAATACCTTAACTCTAGTTCAGTTATACAGATCTGTGGTGTTAAGCCAGTAGCTGAGAAGAGACCAGAATTTAGACACTGTCCTAACGCTGCCACAGAAATTCAACAATTCTACAATGTCAATGATGTTGATACATTCCAGCTTGATAAGTCTGTCTACCGTGGCGAGAAAGACAAGGATAATGAGTTTAAGGTAATACATTGTGACTTTATCTTAAAAACCATGGTGGAATTTTCAAAACCATTTTTATGAAAGTTCATGATGTCTCTCAATAAGATCAGTTGATATTTTTTAAACATTTGTTTTGAAGATGTTTTTCAATATTCTGGATTTTGACAAAACTGATGGCGCAGTCCAGTGCACTTCAAGTCAAGGAATGTGAATTTATGAAAGTTTACTTATACAGGTGACTTTGTCAAATAATTGGTTAAAACATGAAAATTTGCTTGTTTATTTCATTACAGTCCCTGTGTACAGAACGGGTTCTGATGAAAACAAGCTATAAGTTCCCTGGGATATTACAATGGTATGAGGTTGTCAATACTGAGACAGTAACCTTGAACCCTCTGAGGACGGCCATTGAAGCAGTGAAAAAGGCATGCCGAGAACTAAAGAGCACTATCAGAGACTGTGAGCACAATCAGACTGACGACAACATCAAGCACTTGTCCATGCTGCTAAATGGCATGATCAGTGCTAATGTAATGGGAGGCATTCCTAAGTACAAGGAGGTGGGTCAATTTTTGTAAAACAATTGCATCTCCTTACATAGAAAGTACTAGGAGTTATCTCCCCTTCTTATTACATTCCAGAAGGCAAGCTAATGTTAAACGATTGCAAAGTTACCAGTAGGTCAATTTACTTAAGGACATCAGTCACAGTTGTCTTCCCTTAACAATATGCAAAAATTGTGAGTGTACAGTGTTTTGATAGTTTCTTTCTTTTCTTAAACTTTGAAGTAGATGTAACAAAAGTTGCTTTGGATTTTTGTAGGCTTTCTTCTCCAATGAGTTTGCGATAGAACATCCAGAGGAGACATACCTCTGCCCAGAGCTGAAGCGTTGTATACAGGAACAAGTGAGTAAAGAGGACCCCTATAGTGTGATATTTAGGATTGGGACTCATAAATGTTTCTGCCCATTACCGTTATGTTGGTAAAATCAATAGTTGAAGGCACTGTTAAAAAATCTTTACAACATCATTGTCTACCGTTACGAATTGAAGATTTATTTCTTTATTGTAGATAGGCCTGCTGGATAAGGGTCTGAAAAAAATGAAAACGGCTGGTCATAAAGATCTGACTGCCATGGTAAACAATCTGGAGGGGATACTCAAAGATATCAAAGAGAGTGTGGAGGACAAGGTATTATCTCCCTTTAATGATTTCACTCTGTCAGTAAAAATTTCCGTCGGATTTCAATTGGATTTCAAATTGAATCAAGTACAAACATCTTTTCATATATCTTGTTTCATATGAGAAGGTGAATTGAAAAACTTTTCAGCAAACATGATAAATGTTTCTAGTCCCATCAAGTATGTACATAAATAAGTATGACCTTGTATAGCACATAAAATCTGAGTAAAAAAAAGAGAAGGTCTTGGGAGAATTTTTTATTATGCAGCATCCTTGATAAAAAGTCATTCTTGCCTGAAATCATGTATATTTTTAAACTGAGATAATTTTCATTTCCTTCGTTGTGATAAGGACTCACAGAGACCACAAAACAGACGGTCAGATTCAGGAAATGCCAGTCTCTGCGACAATAGTGTCCAGTATCTTACCCGCCCAACTACCCCCAGTACCTACTCTGTAAATTCCAGCGGCAGGTAAGTCAGAGAAGCCATGATGAGAACAGGAAAAAAGTGATAAAGTTGTTGTTTACAGACACATAAAAAGTTTTCTTGTAATGGAACTGTGATATCTATAATAAAAATGTATATATATAAGTTCTTTTTCCATGCATATCTGAGATTTCTGGTTTCCTTTTTATATATGATATTTATCCAAAATAATGAGGAAATCTAGAATATTTCCTTACTTATTCAGATGGAAAAAAGAAAGGATTTTAGATTTTGATAGATTTATTGTGAGGAAACATTTCAAGTCTTTAACTACTATATCTTTACAATACCACCCTTAAATTTTTTACTGGTAACATTTCTATTGTGTAGCAGCAACAGATCCTCTGAGTGCTCAGTCTCCATAGATGGGCAGTCTCACGATGACGTGTATACAGACCTAGAGGTAGGTGGCGCTGTTGTTACAGTGTTAGCATGAGCTTGTTATTTTGGGCTTGCTATGCTTGGTAATGGCTTTACTAACGTGCTTTCTGATATGTGTCTGCTTTATTTACACAGAATTTTGACAAAATTATAACTTCTGTGACATTCTGTATAAACATTTTTTAGTTTCATCATTTAGTAATCTTTCATATTGTCTCTCCGCATGAAAAATGACAGTAGGAATCTAATTTACATAACAGTCTGAGAACTCTCTAGCCATCTTGTTGTGAAGGATGTGTTCCCTAATCTGGAATGTTTCAGTTGCTCATTTTTTCTTATATTCCTGTGACAATAAAAATTCTCTGTCGCCAGAATAAATCCAGCCAATAGAACAAATTTGATGTTGTCTCTGGACCTAACTTGCTAAATGCATGAAGGCTTGTGTTATTGGTTTGACACCCAAGGGAGATTACTCCCATATTAGTTTACAGAAACTGCTGTGTTGTAAATATATGGTCTATTGTAAACAGCTTGTTTATTTAAATATCAAATAAAAAACAAAAATGTTAGATTTTGTAATTCTGTTGTTATTGTTGCATGAATATTTTTATTTTGTTTAGATAACATACAAGAAATATATTCTTTTTTCTAACTTAAAGTGAATTATTTACTTTCAATATTTTTTCATTATGAAATAATTGGTTGTTGTTTGTTTTTTTACTGTGATATATATTTCAAATAAACTCTTTGAATAATTATATATTACTGTACAAAATATGATTTTTAAGAAATACAAAAATTAATCAAATGTTTTTCATCATTATGATAAATGCACAGCAGATTCTGTTATATATCATTTTTGTATCTGTTTTACGGATTGAATAATAACTACCTAACTTTAGTTTATACCTGGGCACATCAAAATAGCAGTACACAGTCTGACAGTGTTATGTTGTGGCTTGTTTATCCAGCCCGATACACTGATATAGCCCAAGGTTCACCATGTGATGCTAATTCTGTACTGTACCATCTCTCTGCATGTGATCTAGGAGAACCCACATCAGCATCCTCCACATCACTTTAACCTTTCACCCCTAATACCTCCGCCTCCACCGGAAAAGAGACGACATAGTCAGCACATCCCTGTAGGGAGTTCCGGGCAACATGTCTTCTTTGGAAGCCCCAGAGCAGCTGTGCCCCCTCCAATACCGTCACGGCCACACTCACTGTGTTTGAATGGGCTAGCAGCCCAACAGGTTGGTACGATGCCCTTAGATAAAATCCCAGTGACACCAATACCTCTTGTCAGTCCTATACCTTTCGTCAGTCCATCAACTAGCATGGTCCATATGTCTGTCTTGTTTTGGTTTATTTTGGTCTTCTCCTTATCTTTTTTTATTTCCTTGATCTTGATCATACTCTGTGACATGTTGATTGATGTTTTTTAAATTCTCATCCTAGCTCCAAAAACTTCAGTGTTTGTTCTCTATGGAATAAGTCCAAGATCTGCTCACTAGTTCAAACAAAATTTTGTTTTTTTGTAAATTTTCAAATAATTGTCAAATCAGATTGGGTTTTGTAGATATCTTTTAAATGTTTGTTGCAGTAGACTTAGGTCATGTAGATGTTTGTGACAGTAGACTTAGGTCATATAGATGTTTGTTATAGTAGACTTAGGTCATGTAGATGTTTGTCACAGTAGGTAATGGGTCATGTTTGTAACAATAAATATTGTCAATGACTTATTGGTTGGATTTGAGCCTTGGAATTCTCTCTTGTTTACAGTGGCAACGTGTGTCAGATGAAGATAATACAACAGACACACAAAAAAATAGTACCTTTCAATACAGCTTTAGAGTTCGATGTCATGTAGGTCATGTAGATGTTTGTCAAAGAAGATACTGTCATGTGAATGTTTGTCACAATAGATACATGGTCATCTAAGTGATTGTCATCTATGATGATATTTATTTTGAAAGGCTTCAAACCTAGAGCTATGGCCCATGTCTTTGACTTCAAAGATTTTTTGTAAAATTAAGTTTCATGGGCATACTGTAAAATACATATATTACCTGTGTTTAAAAACTGGTGGATCAAGGGTTGCCAATGTGACCATCAGTGATTGCCATAGCGACCATCAGTTGTAGTCCTGGTGACCATCTGTGGTTGCCATGGCGACCACCAGTGGTTGCAGTGATAACAATCAAGGGCAGTCCTCGTGACAAACAATGCTTGCTGTTACAACCTTCAGTGGTTGCAATGTTGAAGGAAGCTATGGTGAAAGATCTAGAATAATAGCACAATTGGTGAAGGTTAACATAATACTATAATGCATGCATGACATATATATATCATTATATATAGCTTTACTACAGAATATCTTGTTTACTAAACATTTGATATCCAGATAACAAGTTTATTGGCTTTTAAAGCATTTAAATGGCTTTTTGAGTAATTTCAGCAATTTAAAATTGACAAAAGCTGCAATAACTAAATAGCAATTGAGGAAAGTTCATTTGTTTTCATTGAATTTCTATATTTCAAAACAAACAATTATGATTCTAAATTGATAATGCAGTTGAAATATCCTTAAGAATCAATCATTCACCAGATATATACATTTTTATGATGCTTAGTGTTTAGTTGTGAAGAGGTTGTTTAATGGTTTTGTAGGTAGCAACGCAGATGCAGACCTCTCGTCATGGTAGTGACCCAAACATCAAACAGACCAGACCAACAAGTTCTTATTCCATCAGACATGAAGGTAAGACGCTGTGAACCTTTAGTCCGGTGACATACTCCTTAACATAATGATAGAACCTCTCATCTGGTGACATATTCTCCCTCCATACCTACAGATAGAACCTCTCATCTAGAGACATACTCTCCCTCCATACCTACTGATAGAACCTCTCATCTAGTGACATACTCCCCATACCTAGTGATAGAACCTCTCATCTAGTGACATACTCTCCATACCTACTGATAGAACCTCTCATCTAGTGACATACTCTCCATACCTACTGATAGAACCTCTCATCTAGTGACATACTCTCCCTCCATACCTACAGATAGAACCTCTCATCTAGTGACATACTCTCCCTCCATACCTACTGATAGAACCTCTCATCTGGTGACATACTCTCCATACCTACTGATAGAACCTCTCATCTAGTGACATACTCTCCCTCCATACCTACTGATAGAACCTCTCTTCTAGTGACATACTCTCCATACCTACTGATAGAACCTCTCATCTAGTGACATACTCCCCATACCTACAGATAGAACCTCTCATCCTCTCATATCTGATAGAACCTCTCGTGACATACTCTCCTCCATACCTACCTACTGATAGAACCTCTCTGACATACTCTCCATACCTACTGATAGAACCTCTCATCTAGTGACATACTCCCCATACCTACAGATAGAACCTCTCATCTAGTGACATACTCTCCATACCTACTGATAGAACCTCTCATCTAGTGACATACTCTCCCTCCATACCTACTGATAGAACCTCTCATCTAGTGACATACTCCCCATACCTATTGATAGAATCTCTCATCTAGTGACATACTCCCCATACCTATTGATAGAATCTCTCATCTAGTGACATACTCTCCCTCCATACCTACTGATAGAACCTCTCATCTAGTGACATACTCTCCATACCCACTGATAGAACCTCTCATCTAGTGACATACTCTCCCTCCATACCTATTGATAGAATCTCTCATCTAGTGACATACTCCCCATACCTACTGATAGAACCTCTCATCTAGTGACATACTCTCCCTCCATACCTACTGATAGAACCTCTCATCTAGTGACATACTCCCCATACCTACTGATAGAACCTCTCATCTAGTGACATACTTTCCAGACCTGGAACCTTTTGTTCTTATGAGATGCCAATTTTTATACAGTTCTGTGTAAATTTCACTCCACGATTTAGAAAGATTCTGTGTGGTAACCATGACAATGGCTTCACACAACTTAAGTGAAATCACATTTATTTGACCTTGACATTGACCATGAACAACTTCATTTAAATGACTTGAAGCCTTGACCTTGATAAGACAACTGCAGTGAAATTGTATTAATTTGTCCTTGACCTTGACCATGAAAAACTTAATTTTAGACAGCTTGTGACCTTGACCTTGATAAGATAACTGCATGGAAATTGTATTTATTTGCCCTGAATATTGATCATGAACAACTGCATTTAAAGAACTTTAACCTTGATAAAACAACTCTAGTGAAATCAGATTTATGTGACTTTGACAACTAGATTTTAATATATACCACAGTAAGTACATGTGTGGTGTTGTTCGGACATTGCTGTATAGGTTAAGCATAGTGAGAGGAATGTACCATTGTTTCCTTACTTACTTTTCCAGGAGAGTACCTGTATCCAGAGGGACCACCTACACCATGTGCAAAGGAGTCAAAGAAACGAGATGTTTATGTGACCCCCCTCAGTCCCCCAATCCCTACCCATGGACGACACTTGTCCACTGGGGAGAGTCCGCCTCCCTCCCCATCCCCCAGTATGATGTCATCAGCATCCACCCCAGCACTCCCACCACGAAAACTCTCAGGTAAATATTGATTTAACAGTTCTAAGTATCATTTATTGACCAGCCTATATTTAGGATTGGTCAGGTATGAGATAAGTGTGTATAAACTTTACCTGTTTGTCACTGAATGTCACACAGATGAAATTGTTACAGATGTTGTGTGAAAACGATGATAAACTAAAATATTGCTTGTTTTCAGAGTCCACAAATGAAGATGCACCACCTTCCCTTCCAAGGAAAGCATCAACAGGTCAACCAATACTCCCACCTAAGGTAGGTTTTCTTTACTCTTACCTACAGTACCATTAAATGTAGGTCACCCTTCACCACCATTAAATGTAGGTAATCACTCACTACCATCAAATGTAGGTCATATCTTGATACCACCTGCTCAAGGTCATCCCTCTCTACCATTAAATATAGGTCATCCCATGAATCCACCAAGGTCATCCCTCATTACCATTAAATGTAGGTAATCCCTCACTACCATTAAATGTAGGTCATCCTCCACTACCATTAAATGTAGGTCATCCCTCATACCACCTCCTCAAGGTCATCCCTCTCTACCATTAAATGTAGGTCATCCCATGAATCCACCACCTCAAGGTCATCCCTCATACCACCTCCTCAAGGCCATCCCTCTCTACCATTAAATATAGGTCATCCCATGAATCCACCACCTCAAGGTCATCCCTCATTACCATTAAATGTAGGTAATCCCTCACTACCATTAAATGTAGGTCATCCCTCATACCACCTCCTCAAGGTCATCCCTCTCTACCATTAGATATAGGTCATCCCATGAATCCACCACCTCAAGGTCATCCCTCATACCACCTCCTCAAGGTCATTCCTCACTACCATTAAATGTAGGTCATCCCTTGATACCACCTCCTCAAGGTCATCCCTGTCTACCATGAAACGTAGGTTATTCCTCATTACCACTGAATATAGATTATCGCTTACTATCATCAAATGTAGGTCATGTCTGTAATTTCCAATTTTCTTGTTTGATATTTATCATTGGGGCTTACATGTTTTAAAAAACATCATCCCTGTTTACTTACTGTTTTTAAATTTTGTTAGAATTTAAAACGCAGCTGACAAGATCTTGAGCCAACACAGTCATTGATATCAGTGTAATGTTTACAGTGTGATTCTGCGTTGGTTTGTCCGATTGATATATGATAATTATGTTTCTGTATGCTTTCAGTTAACTACCGGATGTAAACCTGTGAAAGGGGGAATATCACGACCTGCTCCTCCACTCCCTCCTCGTCAACCTACCCCTTCCCCGAAATCTCCGGAACAGGAATCGCAACTGTCCCGATCTGTGTCAAATGTCTCTACTCACAGTAACGACAGAGTGACTGTACGGCTAAACGATTCGAGCTCTACAAATCTGAACAATTCTAACAGTGCTGACTATAAACAGGTGGAGGATGGGTCCAATGACCCACCGCCTATCCCACTGAGACACAGTCAACGGATAGAATCCCCACCACAGGTGTCGTCACGATTGTCTTTACCCGATAGAAAGTCCACCGTGTCAATTGAGTTTGAGAACACGCCTTTGTAAGACTGACACTCCGGCGACTCATTGTGATCTGTGATTTTATATTGAATCGTGCTACAGTATATATATATATATATAATGAGATGTGTATAGTTCAGTATTTCCTTCCTTGGAAAGTTGTACAATATGGATGTGCAATTTCTTTACGACGTGTATATATGTATACAGGGTGATATATGTTATGGTGATTTTTAACACATGTCTTATCAGACAAAACAACAGTGTATTGATCTTCACCAAAGGAGCAATATTTCAAGGAAACATGAATTGTATTTTTACCAAAGGACAAATTGTTGTTTGTTTCACTTAGCTGCAATGAAAACTGCTTTAAGATTGGAGTAAATACTCTGTTTTCATTCTAACTCTTTACACAGGAAGTTAATATTATTACGTTGATAGACTTGTATTGATTGTTGAACAAATTGAATGATCTCATTCTACAGAACACTGTACGGCTATTTAGACAGGCCCATTAAACTATTCCCTTAACAGTTTGACTGCTTCATTTATATGTTAAACTGGGTTCTGTACCCTGAACAGTTAGGTAAGGTTGACTGCTCTACATTACACAAGTAAACTGGGTTCTGTACCCTGAACAGTTAGGTAAGGTTGACTGCTCTACATAACACAAGTAAACTGGGTTCTGTACCCTGAACAGTTAGGTAAGGTTGACTGCTCTACATAACACAAGTAAACTAGGTTCTGTACCCTGAACAGTTAGGTAAGGTTGACAGCTCTACATTACACAAGTAAACTGGGTTCTGTACCCTGAACAGTTAGGTAAGGTTGACTGCTCTACATAACACCAGTAAACTGGGTTCTGTACCCTGAACAGTTAGGTAAGGTTGACTGCTCTACAACACACAAGTAAACTGGGTTCTGTACCCTGAACAGTTAGGTAAGGTTAACTGTTCTACAACACACAAGTAAACTGGGTTCTGTACCCTGAACATTAGGTAAGGTTGACTGCTCTACATTAAACAAGTAAACTGGGTTCTGTACCCTGAACAGTTAGGTACGGTTGACTACTCTACATAACACAAGTAAACTGGGTTCTGTACCCTGAACAGTTAGGTAAGGTTGACTGCTCTACATAACACAAGTAAACTGGGTTCTGTACCCTGAACAGTTAGGTAAGGTTGACTGCTCTACATTAAACAAGTAAACTGGGTTCTGTACCCTGAACAGTTAGGTAAGGTTGACTGCTCTACATTACACAAGTAAACTGGGTTCTGTACCCTGAACAGTTAGGTAAGGTTGACTGCTCTACATAACACAAGTAAACTGGGTTCTGTACCCTGAACAGTTAGGTAAGGTTGACTGCTCTACATAACACCAGTAAACTGGGTTCTGTACCCTGAACAGTTAAATAAGGTTGACTACTCTACATAACACAAGTAAACTGGGTTCTGTACCCTGAACAGTTTAATAAGGTTGACTGCTCTACATAACACAAGTAAACTGGGTTCTGTACCCTGAACAGTTAGGTAAGGTTGACTGCTCTACATATCACCAGTAAACTGGGTTCTGTACCCTGAACAGTTAGGTAAGGTTGACTGCTCTACATTACACAAGTAAACTGGGTTCTGTACCCTGAACAGTTAGGTAAGGTTGACTGCTCTACATTACACAAGTAAACTGGGTTCTGTACCCTGAACAGTTAGGTAAGGTTGACTGCTCTACATTAAACAAGTAAACTGGGTTCTGTACCCTGAACAGTTAGGTAAGGTTGACTGCTCTACATTACACAAGTAAACTGGGTTCTGTACCCTGAACAGTTAGGTACAGTTGACTGCTCTACATAACACAAGTAAACTGGGTTCTGTACCCTGAACAGTTAGGTAAGGTTGACTGCTCTACAACACACAAGTAAACTGGGTTCTGTACCCTGAACAGTTAGGTAAGGTTAACTGTTCTACAACACACAAGTAAACTGGGTTCTGTACCCTGAACAGTTAGGTAAGGTTGACTGCTCTACATAACACCAGTAAACTGGGTTCTGTACCCTGAACAGTTAGGTAAGGTTGACTGCTCTACATTACACAAGTAAACTGGGTTCTGTACCCTGAACAGTTAGGTAAGGTTAACTGTTCTACAACACACAAGTAAACTGGGTTCTGTACCCTGAACAGTTAGGTAAGGTTGACTGCTCTACATTACACAAGTAAACTGGGTTCTGTACCCTGAACAGTTAGGTAAGGTTAACTGTTCTACAACACACAAGTAAACTGGGTTCTGTACCCTGAACAGTTAGGTAAGGTTGACTGCTCTACATTAAACAAGTAAACTGGGTTCTGTACCCTGAACAGTTAGGTAAGGTTGATTGCATGGAGTGGTAAAGCTGATTACTCTACTCCAAAAACAGGTTTTTAGTCGAATGTTTTTTTTTCGTGAACAAAGGTTAAATGCTTTTTCCTTATCATGTTATTGAAGCCAAAAATGTAAGATTTCACCGTCTCATTGATGATTATACACAGAAATATTTTGTACAAGGTCTATTGAAGTTTTTATTTATTGTTAAAAAACTTTTTTATTTTATTTTCATACTTCATTAAGAATGTCATCCCCAGACTAGCCACAAATCTAAAACAAAGCATTTCTATTTCAGCATTAAGTCACCAACACTTTGTACAGTACATGTTGTGGTATTTTATATAAAATCATTGTACAAATGAAAGGTTGTCACAAACTTTCTTATTACTGGTTTATTTAATTATTTCTGTTCAAGAATCTTTTTTTTCCACACTGTTATTGGTTTATACAATACACTGGTCATATACTGTTAACATACATTTTTTGGCACAATCAAATTTTAGTGAAAAATAAAATTTGAACAAATAAAGGCAATGATGTATTTGCAATAATCGCTTTAAGGTATTAATGATATACACAAACTGCAATTAGCACAATGATATTTTAGCTGAATACCTTTAGTGCAAAAAGAAATAAAACAACAAAAAAAACCCTCTAAAACTGTTAAAATATGTGTGTTTACAGAAGCTAACCTTGGTCAAAAGTATCACCTTGTGAAATATTTTGAACATTGGCTGTATTTATCAGAAATGTAGAAAATATACACATCAGTTGTTGGACTTATTTTATATTTGTAAAGATATCTGAACGAACAGCCACAAAGTGTCTTTTAAACATCAGAATGTAAACACATGTATTGAAACCTGTAGGTACAAGCAGGTGATTTGTGTACCTGTACAGTGTATGTTCATCTGATACAAGTTTTCATTGATAGGGATTAAGAACATTTGATTCCATCTAATTTTTTCGTAAATGTTTGCATTCTTAGAACTAATTCATGTTTTCAGTACAGGTACGTCAGTACAGACAAAAAGTTACCGAGGTAACAAATTACCAAATTAATATTATCGATCAGAATGGAAGTCATTGTCACGCAAGATCAGAGATGTTTCTAATTAGTAAAAAGTATTGGATATTTAATCTCATTACTAAGTGGCATAGCAGCTTAGAATAGCTTTCCTTGTTCATCCTTTTTATGTTTAAAACAGTAAAACTGATCATTCTTATTTTTACAAGACGTTTTTTACATGTCCTTATTGTGCAAGCCACTGTATGGTCATGTGTGATCATTCATGTGTCAAAGGTGGTGAAGTAACTGTAATTCATCATATTCAATATAGACTAATGTCTTAGAAAACACAGAAATTCTGTGATCTTGGGATCACCACACTATTAGTGCTACAGGTCCCCAAGGGGAGACAACTGTGGAAACATACCTTATTTTATTTATATGTGCCATACATGTCATTTAACAATTACCAATTGTTAGATATTCCATGTCAAAACATCAGTTTTCTAGAACGTCATAAATAGTATATCTATAGAGTTAAAAATCTGTTTGTAACATAATCAATGTGGTTTATGAATAGCATACAAATAGGAAAATGTAAGGGGAGGCAACTGTGGTTACACTGAAAGTGCATATTGTTATAAATATCAGTTTGATTGTAAACTGATCATCCTTGCCTTTAGGTTTAGATTTATTTTTCAGATGGTAAATAAAGTGATCAGAGATAACAGCAAGTCAGTGAACACATCCTTACAAAGAATATTTAATTTAATGATAATCTTAGCAGGAATATCATGTCGAAATGCATAATTTGTAAATACATATGGATAGCAGAAATGCCTTAAATTGTAAATTATTTTAATAATGGTAATAAGAATTGATTTCATGTAGTCTTAGACAGTTCCGTATGAAAATTGCTCAAGATTTGTTCACTTTCTTTCGAACAGAAAAAATCTTGTTCTCTATAGATGCTGTTTTGGTCATGTTGTCTCCTTATAGTCCAACATTTTCCAAACGTGTGATCTGCTACCTTTCTCTGTGATATTGAGAACTGCTCCTTCTTCCACTGTAAAAGCTGTTGGGTTTGGTGAAGCCGTCAATTTCTATATACCAATCTCTCTCTACATAGGAATATTGATGACGTTTGAAAGCCTGCATTTTTTTTTTCTCCATGACTGTTTTGAAAAAGCCACCTTTCTATGAATATGGATTAATGTCATTCAATGCATATCAATGTTTGTCGATATTTAGTTTGAACACACCATCCTGACATTGAACCAAGCTAAATTAAACTTCACACAAGTAAGTTTAAAAGTTACATTTACAAAAAAATTGATAAAATAAGTTTTTTTTTAACATATTTTTAAGTATTTTAAGTTTCAAACCAAGGTTAATTTTTTTTATAAATTGCATACCTGTATTCCTGATACATGTATGTCTGTCTGAGATCTGTTGGAACTCAAGGTCATGCATTAAAATCAAGGTCACATCTACAAAGAATTGATTAATAGAATTATTGAGAAACTCTACATTTGCTTTGTCCACCTCTACATGATAAGTGTCTAACAAAGTTTTCTTCTCATAATACTTTCGGGCCTCTATTTGGAGTTCTATGAAAGATGAATGTCATATATATTAGAGGTCAAGTTGACTGCAGCAAAATTTTTATATGATTGGAAACTTTGTACTAAATTTCACAAATTGTATCAAAATATGTCTTGATATGTACACAGTTATGTTAGTATGGCTCACAAAATAATGTTGACAGACATATTATATTCTTATAATTATTGTTTTCTAATTTCTTTACCAAAACAGTATCATATGCAGATGATGTCAGCTATACAGATTTCAACTTAAGATCTTCCTTATATTAAATGGAAATAATATTAAAAAGATTGTAAGTTGTTCATATTCTTCGCAGTGATAGTCCTTTCTGGTGTATGTTCACAGCCTAAGGACAATCGTATGTACATGTATGTTGATACTTACATTGTCTATACAGTAGATACACATCACAACATGATATTGTTTGACTATCAAAAGTCAGTTTTAATTGTCAAATAAACAAATACAAAACAATTTCGATTTTGAATTTTTTTTTACCTTTTTAAATTACTGAACCATGAATAAAGATTATGAAAAATAGGAAAACTTGTCCCAGAATCACAGAATTTTTTCTCAATTCTCAAAATGTATTGATTCAGCAATGAGCCCATGCCAGGTAATAAGTAAACTGAAGGAAGATAACTGTCATAATTTAAGGTCACAACAGGCTGGGAGGGATATAACTGTCATAATTTGATGTCAAAACAGGCCTGAAGGAAGATAACTGTCACAACAGGCCTGAAGGGAGATAACTGTCATAATTTGATGTCACAACAGGCCTGGAGGGAGATAACTGTCACAACAGGCCTGAAGGAAGATAACTGTCATAATTTGATGTCACAACAGGCCTGGAGGGAGATAACTGTCATAATTTGATGTCACAACAGGCCTGAAGGAAGATAACTGTCATAATTTGATGTCACAACATGCCTAAAGGGAGATAACTGTCATAATTTGATGTCACATAAGGCCTGAAGGAAGATAACTGTCATAATTTGATGATGTCACAACAGGCCTGGAGGTAGATAACTGTCATAATTTGATGTCACAACAGGCCTGAAGGAAGCTGTCTGTCACAACAGGCCTGAAGGGAGATAACTGTCATAATTTGATGTCACAACATGCCTGAAGGAAGATAACTGTCATAATTTGATGTCACAACATGCCTGAAGGAAGATAACTGTCATAATTTGATGTCACAACATGCCTGAAGGGAGATAACTGTCATAATTTGATGTCACAACAGGCCTGAAGGGAGATAACTGTCATAATTTGATGTCACAACATGCCTGGAGGGAGATAACTGTCATAATTTGATGTCACAACATGCCTGAAGGAAGATAACTGTCATAATTTGATGTCACAAACTGTCATAATTTGATGTCACAACAGGCCTGAAGGAAGATAACTGTCATAATTTGATGTCACAACAGGCCTGGAGGGAGAAAACTGTCACAACAGGCCTGAAGGAAGATAACTGTCATAATTTGATGTCACAACATGCCTAAAGGGAGATAACTGTCATAATAACTGTCATAATGTTGATGTCACAACAGGCCTGTCACAACAAGGAAGATAACTGTCATAATTTGATGTCACAACAGGCCTGGAGGGAGATAACTGTCACAACAGGCCTGAAGGAAGATAACTGTCATAATTTGATGTCACAACAGGCCTGAAGGAAGATAACTGTCATAATTTGATGTCACAACAGGCCTGAAGGGAGATAACTGTCACAAAAGGCCTGGAGGGAGATAACTGTCATAATTTGATGTCACAACAGGCCTGAAGGAAGATAACTGTCACAACAGGCCTGAAGGGAGATAACTGTCATAATTTGATGTCACAACAGGCCTGGAGGGAGATAACTGTCATAATTTGATGTCACAACAGGCCTGAAGGAAGATAACTGTCACAACAGGCCTGAAGGGAGATAACTGTCATAATTTGATGTCACAACAGGCCTGAAGGAAGATAACTGTCATAATTTGATGTCACAACAGGCCTGAAGGAAGATAACTGTCATAATTTGATGTCACAACAGGCCTGAAGGAAGATAACTGTCATAATTTGATGTCACAACAGGACTGAAGTAAGATAAGTCACATAATTTGATGTCACAACAGGCCTGAAGGAAGGAACTGTCATAATTTGATTTGAAGGAAGATAACTGTCACAACATGCCTGGAGGGAGATAACTGTCATAATTTGATGTCACAACATGCCTGAAGGAAGATAACTGTCATAATTTGATGTCACAACAGGCCTGGAGGGAGATAACTGTCATAATTTGATGTCACAACAGGCCTGAAGGGAGATAACTGTCATAATTTGATGTCACAACATGCCTGAAGGAAGATAACTGTCATAATTTGATGTCACAACAGGCCTGGAGGAAGATAACTGTCACAACAGGCCTGAAGGGAGATAACTGTCATAATTTGATGTCACAACAGGCCTGAAGGAAGATAACTGTCACAACAGGCCTGAAGGGAGATAACTGTCATAATTTGATGTCACAACAGGCCTGAAGGAAGATAACTGTCACAACAGGCCTGAAGGGAGATAACTGTCATAATTTGATGTCACAACAGGGAAGGAGATAACTGTCATAATTTGATGTCACAACAGGCCTGAAGGGAGATAACTGTCATAATTTGATGTCACAACAGGCCTGAAGGAAGATAACTGTCATAATTTGATGTCACAACAGGCCTGAAGGAAGATAACTGTCACAACAGGCCTGAAGGGAGATAACTGTCATAATTTGATGTCACAACAGGCCTGAAGGAAGATAACTGTCATAATTTGATGTGTCACAACAGGCCTGAAGGGAGATAACTGTCATAATTTGATGTCACAACAGGCCTGAAGGAAGATAACTGTCACAACAGGCCTGAAGGGAGATAACTGTCATAATTTGATGTCACAACAGGCCTGAAGGAAGATAACTGTCATAATTTGATGTCACAACAGGCCTGTAGGGAGATAACTGTCATAATTTGATGTCACAACAGGCCTGGAGGGAGATAACTGTCATAATTTGATGTCACAACAGGCCTGAAGGAAGATAACTGTCATAATTTGATGTCACAACAGGCCTGAAGGGAGATAACTGTCATAATTTGATGTCACAACAGGCCTGGAGGGAGGGAGATAACTGTCATAATTTGATGTCACAACAGGTCTGAAGGAAGATAACTGTCATAATTTGATGTCACAACAGGCCTGAAGGAAGATAGCGGTCATAATTTGATGTCACAACAGGCCTGAAGGGAGATAACTGTCATAATTTGATGTCACAACATGCCTGAAGGGAGATAACTGTCATAATTTGATGTCACAACATGCCTGAAGGAAGATAACTGTCACAACATGCCTGAAGGAAGATAACTGTCATAATTTGATGTCACAACAGGCCTGAAGGAAGATAACTGTCATAATTTGATGTCACAACAGGCCTGAAGGAAGATAACTGTCACAACAGGCCTGAAGGGAGATAACTGTCATAATTTGATGTCACAACAGGCCTGAAGGTTGATAACTGTCACATAATGCCTAAAGGAAGATAACTGTCATAATTTGATGTCACAAAATGCCTGAAGGAAGATAACTGTCATAATTTGATGTCACAACAGGCCTGAAGGAAGATAACATAATTTGATAACTGTCATAATTTGATGTCACAACAGGCCTGAAGGAAGATAACTGTCATAATTTGATGTCACAACAGGCCTGAAGGAAGATAACTGTCACAACAGGCCTGAAGGGAGATAACTGTCATAATTTGATGTCACAACATGCCTGAAGGGAGATAACTGTCATAATTTGATGTCACAACATGCCTGAAGGGAGATAACTGTCATAATTTGATGTCACAACAGGCCTGAAGGGAGATAACTGTCATAATTTGATGTCACAACAGGCCTGGAGGGAGATAACTGTCATAATTTGATGTCACAACAGGCCTGGAGGGAGATAACTGTCATAATTTGATGTCACAACAGGCCTGGAGGGAGATAACTGTCATAATTTGATGTCACAACAGGCCTGGAGGGAGATAACTGTCATAATTTGATGTCACAACAGGCCTGAAGGAAGATAACGGTCATAATTTGATGTCACAACAGGCCTGGAGGGAGATAACTGTCATAATTTGATGTCACAACAGGCCTGAAGGAAGATAGCGGTCATAATTTGATGTCACAACAGGCCTGGAGGGAGATAACTGTCATAATTTGATGTCACAACAGGTCTGAAGGAAGATAACTGTCATAATTTGATGTCACAACAGGCCTGAAGGAAGATAGCGGTCATAATTTGATGTCACAACAGGCCTGGAGGGATATAACTGTCATTATTTGATGTTACAACAGGCCTGGAGGAAGGATCTTGAGATGTAAGGGGACACTATGGTTCCTCAGTTGTTGTAGACTCTGTACAGGAAGGTAGCCAATCATGTTGTACAGATCTACACACTGAGAATCAATGACCTCGGCATGCTCCAGTTCTATCTCTGTCCTCCACATAAGCGATGTCATACTGGAGTTTGACTTTTTTGTACACCAGTCACAGTCCCGTGCATGTGGTGAGTAATGGGTCATTTTATACACCCGCTTTGACACTGTAGGGCTGAACTCCAGTCCAGCAAAATTATAGAGATCTTCAGACAATGCTATTGGGTGTTCTGCTAATAGTTCATAAACAATTTGTTTTACATTTTCCTCTCTATCTAGAGTACTCATTTCAATATTTTTTGTCATTCTCCTACAAAGATTATTGACCTCTGAACTGAGATTTATCCAATTTGATAGTTTGACCTTGACCCTGGAATTCATTATACCTCTTGGGTCACGGACGACATGAATGACCTTGAGAAATGGTAGCCTTTGCTGCAGTAGGTGGACAGTGTCCATGTTAATTCTGATGGACTTGATGACTCTGAGTTTGGCAGGTATACATGTAGACTGTAGATATTGAAGACAGTATTCAACCCCATCCATTTTGTTATGGTGTCGTGTCAAACATCCCATGTAATTCCTTGTCTTTTTGCTATAGTGCAGCAGGTAACTGCTGGTGAGAGTTCCAATGTCAAGGTCCTTGAAGTTACATGTGAACCAATTATACAGACTCTCCACAAAAAAGGAAATCTTCTCTTCCGGTGTATGTACATACCTTAAAAAGACCGCATAGTTTTAACATTTCTACCACATTTTACTTGATAAATATCCCATACCTAACACCCATTCCTATACTATTTTGGTCAAAATTCCCTATCTTTTCTGTAAAAGGGCGAGATATTCTAAATGTTTATTATCATTTTGACTCTACACTCTAATGGGCAAAGAGTCGTCAGTAATATAAGGGAGATAACTCTTATTGATACAGGGTTTTCTCGCTAAAACAAGAGAGTACATTAATAACATGTACCAGACTTTTTGGCATTAACAACCAGTTATTAACCCCCAGTGAACATTACATTTGGTGGTAGTGATGGGGTAAATATTCTTCATCGTCTACCTGTGGTTAAAATCCAAAATAACAGACTACATTTACCTGTTTGTTCCGTTGTAGAGAGCAATACTCTGGTTGTTCTCGATCCGGTCATTAGCATCTTTCAATGGTTCATATACATAGAAACTGGAGTCATCCTGCTGGAGAATATCGCCCAAAAAACTCGATCCACTTCGCATGTAAGCTACTACCAGCACCATGGAGTGGGTTGGAGTGATTGGGGGTAGCGTTTGCTTATCTAAATAAATAAAAAACACAATTGTAATTTACATTATTATATAAATGTGTTATTGTGGGATATATATACCATTCGCAGACCCAGTGTGCTTCTACACTAATCCTTTAAATACATTTTCTTTATCTATCCCCCTTCTGTACCTGTCACTAGAGAGCTACAAAATTTGAACTCTATTAATTCTTACTGTTCTGAAACCTTAGTATTATTCAACTTCCCTTGAATTCTGCAATGCAAATGTGCACTCTTGGAGCTAGCAGACATACAAAAGTTTTACAATATACTTATGTAGCTTTCAAGAGACGAAAACACACTGCTGATTAATTTGTCAAACGCTGTTGTAATTTAATAGATTTTATGACGATATATGCTTACAATTACAATTATAACCATAACCACAGTGTTTGTTACGTTATACCAACAGAGTTGGGTAAGATCGCGATAAAATTAAGGTCATTGCGGAAACAACTTGTTTACGCAGTCTAATATTTATAGCTTACGGAGTCGATGGAGATTTGTTCATAATCGATGATTTTTAAACTTCGGTGTTTTGAAATGTTGTGTAAACAAGGAAACTAGTTGTCTATACTCACCCGTCATAGTATAGACGGCGTATGCTGTAGCGGTCATAAGTATCAAACAAGAGACCGGATACACCAGAAATCGGTATTTCGCCCAGCACCGTACACACCGCATCCCACACCTGCTCCGGAAGCGGTATCCCACATAGTATCGTAAACAAAGATATGGCGAGCTCCACATCCCGCAATTCGAAGCAGGTTGTACCTATCGTAGCTAAACAGACATGTTTAGTGTGTACATTCAAACAAACCTGTATTGATCTTTGATAATAATGAGACAATGACAATGTGAAGATCCCAGATATTGGTGAAGTCAATGGACGGTTCGTTAAGGTTCGGTAGTTCGGTAGTATTAATTATCCACACCAAGGCATTGTTGTCATCTGAGGAGACAAACATTGTATTTGTCGATACCAATATTTACTACTCGAAATTGTAGAGCTCAAACAAAACGAAGAAAAATAGTTTTAACAACTTAGTTTTTTTTCTGAAGGACATTAAGAAACACCAATGGCGGCTTGTACAACATAAAGACAAAACAGCAGGCTTCTTTTTCTAGCACACTGGTGTCTTTTGTAGAGGTAGCGGAAAGTTATTGAGAACGAAAAACAAGAAAATGGGTTTGGGTTGCCCAAGATTTTCAGGTGTTGAGTGAATCTTATGTATTCTTGTTTTAAGAAAAAGTGCATCCTGGTATGTCACTGGTGCAGCGAGGGGACTGATGGCAGTAATTTCGGTTTGTGGTGGCTACTGCAACGATTTTCTCTTTCAAGAAGCTCCGACTTATAACGCTTCAAGATACAACAAGATTTCTCAAGGAATGGCTTGTCAATCTCCAAGTGTTGGGTGTAACGCACTGAAATCTTAAAGTATTTCCTGGAACAGTGATGCGAAATGTGAATGACAGTTTACTCTTTTGAAGGTCCCAACCGATCAAACGTCTGCATTTCCCTAAAAAAAACGAGTACAAGGGAGATAAGAGTGACAACAACAAGACAACATGTTTATGTATTGTTTTACAGTGACCCAGCCGTGAAGTTCACCATTTTTCTTAGTGGGTGTGACAGGTTACGAAGTTGTGTAATCTCGTTAGTGATTGGTTGGTAGCCGACCATGTGATACACCATACCACAGACCGCATCAACTGTCCGTACATGAGTGTACAGTGTGTATATCCGCCAGAGTAAGGCTGTCCTTTTAGAGTTTCCCCTCTGCGTACACCAGAAACACTCTATACCCCGTCCGTATATAGTCAGGTACCGTACATAACCTACAACGTAAGACTTCATGTCTATCCCAGCATACCTATATATTTTACTAGAAATCTCTTCGGGACGTTCTGCTAGATTCTCATACAACAGAACTTTAAATCGTTCAGGATATTTGTGTTTCAGTTCTACGGATAACGAAATATCTGTGGATATTTTGGCACAAAGGTCAGTAGCTTCTTTTCGAATATTCTCCCACCTCAAGAGTTTAACGCGCACTCTTGAATGGATTATAGCACGTGGGTCCCTTATAAGATGTATGACCCGTAACCTTGGTAACCGTCCTAACAGAATTTCAACAGTCTCCAGATTGAGACGGATGGTTTTTATAGTCCTAAGTTCTTTGTGTTCACAGTATGACTGCATGTAACCAAGGCAATACGTCACGGAGCTGACGTCACGTCCGTTCCACTGAAGGCATTTGTGATAGGGAAGAGTTGAGGCACTGTAGAATCTAAGGTAATCTGACGTCAAAGCACCAAGGTCAAGGTTAGTGAAGTTGCAAGTGAACCAATTATAAAGAAGGTCAGCATGTAGACGCGCTATCTCCTCCCTTGAGCTATATTTCCTGGAGGAAGATAAATTGAAAAGAGGTATTTTACTACATGTCGGTGCTTAAAATAATTTATAATTAAATATCATCATGAATTAATATGGATACACAGATTTTGCAAATCATATTGTAATAAAAATAATGACTTGTCAGTAAACATAACAGGAATATGATACATGAACCATGGCTGTTGAGAGGACGTTAAACTCCATTAAAAACAGAAACCAAATAACAAACAATACTGGATCGTCAACCATTAGTTGATTTGAACGAGAACAAAACAGACAGAACATTCTAATATTTGGTGCCTCAAGCGACTGATTTATTCTTACAATTACCTTATGAAATTAATGATGTATTGAATCAAAAGCTATTTCTGATGAAAATTTTACTTAAAACTTTGAGAGCATTGATTGAAAAGGTGTATGAAAATCTGAATGCATTCCATTGTCGCTGAATGCTTCAGGTCAAAGTTCAAAAGTTAAAGCTGTAATATATTATAAGCATATTAGGGGAAACGATGGAGAGGGGTCACGCGAGACCAATAAACTTTTACCTGACAGAACTGTTATAGAATGTTATAGATTGGTTGCTGTAGGCGAGTTCGGTAGCAGACCGGAGAGGTTCGAACACGTAGAAACTCGACTGATGCTGCTGAAGAATGTCGCCCACCAAACTGGACCCACTTCGCATGTACGCAACTACGAGCACCATAGAGCGGTTCCGTACAGGATACAGGTAATCGTACAGGGATGCTGAAAGTATCAAAGTTACATTATCACAATGGTGGAACACAGTTTGAACCAGGAAGACATTCTAGATCGAAAGTTCTGAAAAAAATGTGCGAGATTTCACAGAACTTTGCCAAATGAATAGTCTCTCATTCTCTGAAGAATTATTCTGAGCCTACAGATACAGGCTTTGGGTTTCTTTAAAGAATTTATTTGGGCCAACAGAAACAAGCTTTGGGTTCTCTGAAGGATTATTTTGAGCCTACAGAAACAGGCTTTGGGTTCTCTGAAGAATTATTCTGAGCCTACAGAAACAGGCGTTGGGTTCTCTGAAGAATTATTTTGAGCCTACAGAAACAGGCTTTGGGTTCTCTGAAGAATTATTTTGAGCCTACAGAAACAGGCTTTGGGTTCTCTGAAGGATTATTTTGAGCCTACAGAAACATGCTTTGGGTTCTCTGAAGAATTATTTTGAGCCTACAGAAACAGGCGTTGGGTTCTCTGAAGAATTATTCTGAGCCTACAGAAACAGGCTTTGGGTTTCTTTAAAGAATTAATTTGGGCCAACAGAAACAAGCTTTGGGTTCTCTGAAGAATTATTTTGAGCCTACAGAAACAGGCTTTGGGTTTCTTTAAAGAATTAATTTGGGCCAACAGAAACAAGCTTTGGGTTCTCTGAAGGATTATTTTGAGCCTACAGAAACAGGCTTTGGGTTCTCTGAAGAATTATTTTGAGCCTGCAGAAACAAGATTTGGGTTCTCTGAAGAATTATTTTGAGCCTACAGAAACAATCTTTGGGTTCTCTGAAGAATTATGTTGAGCCTACAGAAACAAACTTTAATATGGTGACGTCGCTTTCTGAACTACTGGTTTCGACTCTGTTATTTCTAAGGACCGTTTCTAAGCACACATTTAAAGGGGCGTAAATATCTTACACGAGCGAAGCGGGCCGTAAACACAAGCTCTACAGTAGGCGGGTTTAAGTACAACAGAACACTCACTGAACAAAAAGTGAATGGTCGTGGTTCAAATATCGACCTGGTTTCATAAATATTAGTATTACACTCAAGAATAATACACATAGTTCACAGGCTATATGCTAAATATAATACTTACTAAGGGAATAATACAGCAGCCCCGTGCCAAGCACGAGCCATAAGACGATGGCCCGTGGGGTCAGGAATGGGGTGTGCCGGGTACAGAACCTTCTACGTCGAGAATGCATCACTCAGGGGCAGTGTTTCACTACCTGTAGTCCTTTACGGAACATAGAACGGCTATATTTGTTGACCAGCAGAAATCAGGACGAACCATTCCTCGCCTCGTCTAGCTTGCGTGATGATTATTATCGATCAAGGTAACACATTCACATGGAGTGCTGTCGTGTACTGACTCATGTGTATTATGAGTCGGGTAAAAGTTAGACCGTTAAGCACACAGAAAAACAGCGTGCCGGGGAAACGCAAGATCGGCTGGAGTCTTCGGAAAACGAACACGGTTCACACGGCTGACGTTAGTAATCTCCCTCTGGATCACATATAAGAGAGACTCAAACATGGGGAAAGATCCTTAAGACACCAGACACTTTGCAAGCCTCGTAATCACACATCTTGTCAATTGAAAGGGGGCGAACAAAATTATACCCATGGAACAGTTTTCGTATCGTTCACACACACCTCATTGACTTATAACAGGTTTTGACTAATATTTAAGCTGACAAGTTTTAGGCCTGAACAATATTCCTGGATTATATAATTAGTTTTTTTATAGTTCACTTGCTTTGCAGCATCACTGGAAAACATTAATTTTGTTATCATGTTCGGTTCAAAAGTCATGTCTTTTCGTTTAAAGTACATAAATATGCACGCTACAAGAAATGAAACGAAACTTAACGTCTTTGTTATTCAAGCAAGGTTGTTTCAATAATTTGACGTGCTTGATATTCGTAACATTTATGAAATGTGGTTCATTTGATCAAACTTGGAAATCCTTGGTCTCAGAACGTTACTGTACCATTACCACGACCCTGCGCCTTTAGGTTATTGAGACGTTTCTTGAAGACTTGAACGCATTTGACCTCTGTAACCTTGGAAGTTGGCCAAGGTCGTTTATTTGAACTAACTAAGGTGACCCTTCATCCTAGCCCAATATCATGACTCCGGGTTTCCTAGTTACCGAGTTGTCCAAGATATTAATAATTGTGACCCCGTGACATTGAAAATAAGCCAAGGTCATCCATTTGAGTTAACTTGGCAGTTCTCGTCTTCTGTAGTAAACAAAGATAGTGATGCGTCTGTGTATACAGCTCGCCAGCGTTACTTACATTTAACATGTTTCGCCTTAACAATGATACTACAGAATATCTTTCGATGACACTTCGCGGAGAGATTGAATAGACTTTATAATGTCTTACTGTTCTTGAGGTCGATCAGATATTAGTGATTGTCGTATTGAAAACCATTTTGAATCAAGGACTTCTGGCTAAGCGTTCAGTTATCATATATAGTCACAATGGTGATGATACATCACGGAAAGAGTGAAGCTATCAGAAGCCACATTTAGGAAACTCGATGGTGAAACATCAAGGAAAGAAAGAAAGCTATAAAAGCCACATTAAGGAAACTTTATGATGAAACATCACAGAAAGAATGGGCGTTATCAGAAGCAACATTAAAGATACTCAATGATGAAACATCACAGAAAGAATGGGCGTTATCAGAAGCAACATTAAAGATACTCAATGATGAAACATCACAGAAAGAATGGAAGATATCAGAAGCCACATTAAGGAAACTCAATGATGAAACATCACAGAAAGAATGGAAGATATCAGAAGCCACATTAAGGAACTCCATGATGAAACATCACAGAAAGAATGGGCGTTATCAGAAGCCACATTAAGGAAACTCAATGATGAAACATCACAGAAAGAATGGGCGTTATCAGAAGCCACATTAAGGAAACTCAATGATGAAACATCACAGAAAGAATGGGCGTTATCAGAAGCCACATTAAGGAAACTCAATGATGAAACATCACAGAAAGAATGGGCGTTATCAGAAGCAACATTAAAGATACTCAATGATGAAACATCACAGAAAGAATGGGCGTTATCAGAAGCAACATTAAGGAAACTCAATGATGAAACATCACAGAAAGAATGGAAGATATCAGAAGCCACATTAAGGAAGAAACTCAGAGAAAGAATGATGAAACATCACAGAAAGAATGGGCGTTATCAGAAGCCACATTAAAGATACTCAATGATGAAACATCACAGAAAGAATGGGCGTTATCAGAAGCAACATTAAAGATACTCAATGATGAAACATCACAGAAAGAATGGGCGTTATCAGAAGCAACATTAAAGATACTCAATGATGAAACATCACAGAAAGAATGGAAGATATCAGAAGCACACATTACAGAAAGGAACTCCACATGATGAAACATCACAGAAAGAATGGGCGTTATCAGAAGCCACATTAAGATGAAACATCACAGAAAGAAAGCATCACATATCAGAAGCCACATTAAGGAACTCCATGATGAAACATCACAGAAAGAATGGGCGTTATCAGAAGCCACATTAAGGAAACTCAATGATGAAACATCACAGAAAGAATGGAAGATATCAGAAGCCACATTAAGGAACTCCATGATGAAACATCACAGAAAGAATGGAAGATATCAGAAGCCACATTAAGGAACTCCATGATGAAACATCACAGAAAGAATGGGCGTTATCAGAAGCAACATTAAAGATACTCAATGATGAAACATCACAGAAAGAATGGGCGTTATCAGAAGCCACATTAAGGAACTCCATGATGAAACATCACAGAAAGAATGGGCGTTATCAGAAGCCACATTAAGGAACTCCATGATGAAACAACTCAGAAGCAACATTAAAGATACTCAATGATGAAACATCACAGAAAGAATGGGCGTTATCAGAAGCCACATTAAGGAAACTCAATGATGAAACATCACAGAAAGAATGGAAGATATCAGAAGCCACATTAAGGAACTCCATGATGAAACATCACAGAAAGAATGGAAGATATCAGAAGCCACATTAAGGAACTCCATGATGAAACATCACAGAAAGAATGGAAGATATCAGAAGCAACATTAAGGAAACTCAATGATGAAACATCACAGAAAGAATGGGCGTTATCAGAAGCAACATTAAAGATACTCAATGATGAAACATCACAGAAAGAATGGGCGTTATCAGAAGCCACATTAAGGAAACTCAATGATGAAACATCACAGAAAGAATGGGCGTTATCAGAAGCAACATTAAAGATACTCAATGATGAAACATCACAGAAAGAATGGAAGATATCAGAAGCAACATTAAGGAAACTCAATGATGAAACATCACAGAAAGAATGGGCGTTATCAGAAGCAACATTAAGGAAACTCAATGATGAAACATCACAGAAAGAATGGGCGTTATCAGAAGCCACATTAAGGAAACTCAATGATATCAAACATCAGGGTAATGTCATTTCATAGCAAGTGTGACAAGAAGAATGCCATCATCAACTTCTGGAAATTGTTTACAAAACATTATGTATTTTAATATATACTACAGAACCATACTTCCTGTGCACACATTTGATGTTTTGCATTGTCCAAGAAAGGCAAGAATTGTTTTCGAAGTCTTATTGGTGAATACTGAATTAATTATTTTTCAACATGTATAATTTTGTGTAAAGTAACCACATGGGATTTACCATTTGTCCAAGTCTATCATAATTTGATCAAAGTACTTTTAACATTAAGATCTGGACCCGAATAGAAAATTTCATTATTGATAAAATTTTTTAAAAATCAGCTTTTGATTTATATTTTGATTTATGAGAAATACATTTGATGAGCGCTTCAACTGACCGCATATTACAACTTATCAAAACACTAGATTGTGGACATGGTAAAGTTTAAAAGGTCAAAGGTTACATTTTGTCAGTTTTAATACTTCCTCTGAATAGATCTTGTTCCTATCTAAGTCCTAGCATCCTAACACCATGTTCTACATCCTCTCATATCGAAGTGGTCATAAGGTAACATTGGAATACTTCTACAAATTCATCAAAGATATTTTCATGGGTGTAGGGACATTGCTTAGATTTTTTTTCTTTAATATCCAGTCACTTTCTTGTTGGGACTCTCCATATAGCAGTTGGTAGCTACCTCACTGAACACTATGCACGAGGGTCATCCATGCTATCCAAAGTTTTGCTCAAGGAAGATCCGAGTCTCCTGGGACACATCCACCTAGTATTGACCATACCTGGCATCTTATACCTCAAACTCAACTGACAAAGCCATTACTTCTCAAATTTTGAACAACAGAAGTGTTACATCAACTTCTATGGCCAAGATAAAAAGTTTAACCAGACCATTTCCGAGGTCTTTTTATTGATCTCCAACAGAGATTTACAATTTCTCGGAGTGAACTGGGTGGAATTTTTACGGTTGTCCCTTAGTTTTTATTTTGTAAAATAACCACAACAATTAGTCTTATTTATTCAGCAGTTTTTATTATTTCTATTGGGGAGATTTCTCCATCATCAACCACATGATTTAAAACAGTCATGTCCGTATCCTCATTGTCTAACAATTAATATCACAGGTAACAAATCTTCACAATGAAAACCTTTCTCACTGGCTGGAAGTCACATGGTCTGTGAAAATAACTCGGGTAATACACAGGTCTGTGAAAATCACCAGGAAGTCACATGGTCTGTGAAAATAACTCGGGTAATACACAGGGCTGTGAAAATCACTCAGGTAATACACAGGTGTGTGAAAATCACCAGGAAGTCACATGGTCTGTGAAAATCACTCGTGTAATACACAGGTGTGTGAAAATCACCAGGAAGTCACATAGGTCTGTGAAAATCACGCTGAGGTAAAGACCAAAATTTTGTGCACATCAAAGAAAAGACACTCATGGCTGGATTTGACACTAGTATTATTTCCACCATGAAGCCTTAGTTTTCACATTAAAATGTTCACCATGCTCAACAGTTGTGTATACTATGCAGTGTTTTTTAAAGCTTGAAGTAGTTAAATATGACTAGTCAAACATACCAGATACTAAGTCTATTTAACTGCATAGATCATCCAAGATTCAACACACATGTATGAAGATACCATTACATTCTAACATCACATTCTTTCCACACATACTGGACACAATACAAATACGAGATCACTATCATGATTGGCTAGTGTGCAAAAAAAGACCATGGTCACAATCCAAGAATTGTTTTGAGCATGTGTGGTCAGTCTCTGTAATCCCTTACAGTAATCCTGATTACCATCCAGAAGTCTTGACCATAGATCTTGGCTACCAAAGGGTGCAGTGATCAGTTTGCCACTGTCTGGGATGATTCATATCTGCCTATAAGGTGGGCCCTATTCAGCACAGAATCTGCACTCGCTGCCATATGTAGTTCACCAGCTACTGGTTTCCGCCCATTTCAGCACTGGTTGGTGCTGTACAGAATATCTCGAGGATATATGCTTTCCAATGTCCAATAAATGCTACCAATCCCTGCATGTGTGGATTATATTTTCAAAGCTCAGTCCCTGAGCTCATCCAAACACAATGTGACTGGTTTGGTGTATAAGTAGCATGTTTCTGGTTAAATTTGGCAGCAACCTTGAGTATCCTGGCTAATGCATCTGGGTGTTGTCATAAATATAGTCCACAGTCTACCTGGACACATCATCATTCAGTTTCCTGGTAACGGGCAAACATGGTCTTTTTCACAGCATCTTTGTATGTGTCTGAAGCATTGGCTCCATAGGTAGCCCCTCTCATCCCCAAACCAGCTGTATGCATGCGACGTTTAGCCTGAAACATGCACATCATTTGATATTAATCAGATCATATCAGTATAAAAAGTGTATTGTATACTACTAAAATCGTAACTTCATCTTTTGGTGATTAAGCAAAAAAACATGAAATAATGCAATGGTTTGTTTTTCATTAAAGTGTTCCTCAGTATGTTGAAAATTTAGTACATTCTTAATCATCTATAAAAATACTGAAAATGTATTCAATTTGACACAATCAAATTTCAGTATGTTATCACTTTCTGACAAATTAGTGGAACAATGAATTTGCATATCCACAATAATTGCTGGATAAACAAGATAAAGAAACTGCAATTACAGCAATCATATTTTAGAGTGAAAAGTGCTAAAATAAGATTACCACTACAATATATAGATTTACAGTATCATTGAACTAACTTTCTAAGACTACCACTATAATATACACACAGCATCAGTGAACTGTATCAGATTACCAATATAATATATACATTTACAGTATCATTGAACTAACTTTCTAAGACTACCACTATAATACATACACAGCATCAGTGAACTGTCTAAGATTACCACTATAATATATACATTTACAGTATAAGTGAACTGTCTAAGACTACCACTATAATATACACACAGCATCAGTGAACTGTCTAAGATTACCACTAGAATATATACATTTACAGTGTAAGTGCACTAAATTTCCAAGATTACCACTATAATATATACATTTACAGTATCAGTGAACTAAATTTCCAAGATTACCACTATAATATATACATTTACAGTATCAGTGAACTAAATTTCCAAGATTACCACTATAATATATACATTTACAGTATCAGTGAACTAAATTTCCAAGATTACCACTATAATATATATACATATTGAACAGATTACCACTATAATATACACACAGCATCAGTAACTGAGATTACCACTAAATATATACATTTACAGCATCAGTAAAGATTACCACTATAATATATATACACACAGAATATATACATCAGTGAACTATAATATACACACAGCATCAGTAACTGTCTAAGATTACCACTATAATATATACATTTACAGCATCAGTAACTGTCTAAGATTACCACTATAATATATACATTTACAGCATCAGTGAGCTAACTGTACCACTATAATATATACATTTACAGTATCAGTGAGATTACCACTATAATATATACATTTACAGTATCAGTGAGCTAACTTTCTAAGACTACCACTATAATATATACATTTACAGTATCAGTGAGCTAACTTTCTAAGACTACCACTATAATATATACATTTACAGTATCAGTGAACTAAATTTCCAAGATTACCACTATAATATATACATTTACAGTATCAGTGAACTAACTTTCTAAGACTACCACTATAATATACACACAGCATCAGTGAACTGTCTAAGATTACCACTATATATACACACAGCATCAGTGAACTGTCTAAGATTACCACTATAATATATACATTACCACTAGAATAATATACATGAACAGTATAAGTGAACCAACCGGCATCAGAATTCTAATCGCCAATAATACCACGCCAATTCATCAATCCATTCACTCTATATTCTATTCAATTTGCTGATATTCAAATAAACAGCTCTATGGTAATTTCTGACCTTACAATAATGACACATACCTCTATAGGGTTGACGATGCCTTGTCCTTTCTTGCCCAGACCCTGACCAGATGACCAGCCCATCTTCTGAAGGAGTTTGTTGCCAATATTATCCTGACTTATCCCGGCTTTGTTAGCTTGTTCTGGTCTACAAACACAAGAGAAATTATTTTTTTTACAACAAACCACAATATTTCACATTGAAACTCTAATATTAAAAACAAAGAAATCTTATATTTTTGACAGATATAATTTGTCAGCACTGAATCACAAATAATTTGAAACCATCTACATTTAAAAACTGAAAGACATAACTGGTGTAAGACTGGTACCGTGCACACAATTCTGAAGTTTACCTGTGGGAAGAGAATATTTACCTTTTCCTGGTCACAATGCTCACATGATGGGTATACTTACATGATAGGTATATCTGGTCGTTTCATCCTGGGTTTAGAAGGGGGCAGAATTCTATAATTACATTATGAGTATATTTGATTGTTTCATCCAGGGTTCAGGAGGGTTCAGAATTCTATACTTACATGATAGGTATATCTGGTCGTTTCATCCTGGGTTTAGAAGGGGGCAGAATTCTATCATTACATTATGAGTATATTTGATTGTTTCATCAAGGGTTCAGAATTCTATACTTACATGATGGGTATATCTGGTCGTTTCATCCTGGGTTTAGAATGGGGCAGAATTCTATCATTACATTTTGAGTATATTTGATTGTTTCATCAAGGGTTCAGGAGGGTTCAGAATTCTATACTTACATGATGGGTATATCTGGTCGTTTCATCCTGGGTTCAGGTGGAGGAGGAATTCCATACTTCTGACGTCTCTCTTTGGCTCTATCTCGGTACTACAATAAATCAAAGTAAAACCAACACTAGAAAACAAGCTCTCAAACTGTTCTCAGTATGTAACTTAACTGTAATCACAGTCAATGAACACAGATTTTCAAAATATGGTTGAATAAATAAGTCCAAGAGGCCATTTCCTCTGCTACTCCAATAACTTTTAAGTTTTTGAAGATTTATTTAATATTTAATCAAGCATAAATCATCCCTTTACACCCTATCCATATTTATCTGTAAAATCAGCTCTGAGTGGTGATAAAAACACAAGTCTATATCCTTACCTGTAATTTTTCTTGTTCTGAAGCACCTGCATTCTGACTTTTTGCTTTACTATGTAAAGCCTCAAGGTTTTGCTGAAATTGGAAACAAAGACAGTTTAATAATTCATATTCTGGGAATTTATCTTTTCCTCTTTTTTAGAGGAAAAATATTCACCATACACAACAGAAAATATTTCTTTCTTGGACCAGTTTTAAATTCTTGATAAAAACATGGTAAATTTGAAAGGTTGTAAAGATAGCATCCAAAATCTTCTTTTAGGATAAAAACAAAACTTTACCTTGTGCAAGTCGGACATTTGTTGGTGTTTTACAAGAATCTCTCGGGTCTGGAATTGTCGTTTACACAAAAGACAAGCCAGCTTTGACCAGTCAGTCAGCTTGCTCTCATCCACTGGACCACTCCCTCCTACTGTTGAGGAGTCTTCCTCATCAGAGTCACTGTCTCCACCATAGGATGCCACGAGTATGGCACCAGGTGCTGGACCAACATTTGCTTTATCAGCCGGCGGTGGAGGCATCATCTTCTTGTCCTCCAGACTTCCCTTTGCCTATAATGTAAGTTGGAAGATTTACTAAACAAATCAAACAACAACATGGCAACACATTAACATCAAACTGCAGGTAGGAACAAATACAAACCTTGAATACAAAGTTTTCGGTATGTCTATTGCTGTTCAGTGAATAAATCTGTGTTTTATCACCAAAATATATAGATACAAACTCGTAACTTGTGCATATGATATGGAGTAAATGCTGCAGACTTCTAAAAATCATTTACTTACACTTTTCTCCAAAATGGCAAATCCAGCATCAGCTGTAGCAGATTCTTTTTCAAATCTAGAGTTCCCCATGGATGCCTTGGTAGTGAAGCCCTTGATAGCCTCTTTTTGAGCATTTAATGTCTTTGCCCATTTTTCCATATCCTGACAAGAGGAAATAATTTATATCCAAATGTTACATGATTTAAAATAGATGTAATATATTAATTCAAAAAGCTTCTGCAAACCTATGTCACAAATCCTCTGATATGAAGATTCAAATGAATCCTCTGATTTAAAGATTCAAGTATTGACTGGAATAAGCTGTCACTGAGAAAAAAATTCAATCAAAATTACATCACGGGTTATTGGAGATATTCAGTCATACACACCTTAGCAATTCTCTTCGCTATCTTGACTTTCTCCTTCTTCTCCTTATCTTTCTTTCCTCCCTTCTCTGTACCTTCCTCCTTTGATAAGCTGTCATCCCCTGTAGGGGCTGGGAGGTAAGTAGATTTTTCTGCATCCCAATACAGAAACTGTGAAGTCTGGGAGTTGTAGAAGTACTGTAACATAAATCACACTGATACATTTCCATCCATTGCAAAATTCTTCCAGACAAAATAACAGATGAACAGTCTGTATTAAAGAAAATATTTAGCTTAAAATCATGACTTTCCTACAAATTTCTCAGAATCAATAGAGGTTCAAAGCAGCTTTGAAATGCAGTTCCTCCTTACTTAAATTCAAAATCCAATGTTCACTCGAACTATAACGATGATGACCTACCTGAGAATTTGCGTCATAGTAAAGGCCGGTGACCGAATCGTAGTAGTAGCCTGATGACTCATCATAGGAATATGTTGACACATCAGGGGCTGGGTACACTGTGAACTCGGACTGAGCTTGAGGAGCAGGTGGTGTTTGAGCGACTGGGGCTGTTGTTTGCTGGGCCTGTCCAGGTTTTCCAGGCTTCTTTTTTGACCACTCTTCAGCCCGACATGCTAACCTCTCCTCTGGTGTCATATCGGCAAGTTTCTGCTGCTCGCGTACCTGGTATGTACAATATTTAAGAGCTATATCTCTTGTAAAATAACACAAACAACATTAAACAGATTACATGATCATTTATTGACTATAAAGATCAAGTCAAAATTGACAATAAAGATAATCTGACAATTATTCAATAATCATATATATATTTTGAATATCATTCCAAAGTATTTTTATCATGACCATGTTATGAAGGCTTTTCCTTGTATGTTTATTTACAGAAAATGTTTCCTAAATATCAAATTCATGTAAATGACTGATGTAAAAGTATATGTATTATCTGAGGCAAAGTTTAAGGCTTTGGCATGTCAGAAATTAGTATGGTGCCAAAACTGATATATCATTGTCTTGTAATCGAGAATTGCATCTAAATATTGAGTTATTGGGAGGTCATTATGCAAAAATGTATATATTTTCCTATGCTCAATGGAACTAGCTAATCTAGAACTCAAAATGGAAATATAGAGCTTCTCTTTACAAAATGTAAAACCATTTCATGAATCTGTTCATACTCCAATTGATTTTTTTCATGAAATTAAAAGAACTAATGCTCTAAACCTACCTGTTTCTGATATTGTTTGACAGCATTGCGTTGCTGGATAGCAGCCTGTGCTACAGCAGCTGCAGCATTTGTGGTGTCTGCTGCAAAATATTTAATAAGTTATTAAGGTCAAAATGAAAGACATCAGAGAGCATAAATTGTTATAAGTTTTAAAAACAATATTTACAATGCCAAGGTATTTATTAACCTGTAGCAAACTTACTCTGTGTAGGGTTAGTACTAGTGGAGGCTGTTGAGGAATTGGCTTGCTCCTGCGAGTACCCTTGACCGTAGTATTGAGAGTAGTCATAGCCCTCTCCATAGTACTGGGCATATGCGGTTGCATCATAGTACTGACTATCGTAGAATCCAGTTGAAGGGGTCCCTGCAGCTGCAGCTGGCTGTTGTCCTCCTGATGGCTGTTGACTGTATTCCCAGCTTGACTATTAAATACATAAATTTACAACTCTTTGCTGATAGTATGTTTTACAAAATACATACTGGAAGGTAATATACAACCTAATATATCCTTCATTCATTAGGTATTTTGTTATACAAATATAAATAAATGATACAAATAGTCAGATCTATAGAGTAAAATAAATTTTAAACTATAAGCGAATGAATCTTATTACCAGAATACAGGACTAAACATACCTGATCTGCTGGATTGTTTGCCTTCAATGTTGCCATTCTGAAACATGAAAAGATAATACTGGTATTTGATAATTTGCAAATATTTCAAATATTTTCCCATTGATCTTACTTTGACAACCAAAACATTCAAAAAGATAAAATTCTTGTTACTTACACAGTAGAAAATGTGTTCTTAGCAAAACTAACAAGGATCTGTTTTCCATCAACTTCAAACGGAGGGTGCAGCTGTGTGAGGGTGTCAAGAAGTTGTTGTGATTCCATTACAGATGCCAGTTCTAGGAAACCATAACCCCTGGATGTGTTTGTCAGTTCATCGCGGAGTACCTGACAATTCTTCATTACTGATGATGTGATCTGGCCCAGAGCCTGGATAAGGTTATCCTCAGTTGTTAGAGCATCAAGTCCACGCAGCACAAGAGCTGTAAAAAATACCAAGATCTAGTCAGGTTCTCCCATTCTTTTCTTAAAACATGAAAACACTTGCTTAATATCAACTCAGTATCTGGACATTCTTTAGGACTATCTTTTAATACACTTATTGTAAAATATACTTTGGAATGAAAAGAGAAACAGAGATTATACTACTTACTATTGCAAGGATTTGTGCCAACTTGGTCAAAACCATCTCCTTCTTGTTTTCTGTCTGACTCTGAAAAACACAAACACATCTACTGAGGACATCAGACATCAATCTGAAGAATACCCAAGACCAGGTGATAGACTGCCTATATTACACTGTGGAAGATCCAGGGTATTGTATACAGAAATCACTTAACAAATTCAGATAAATTCTGCTCTGGATCCACCACTGGTAATCTTTTCTGTTTAGCTGATGCCATCCAAATGTCTGCATCACCAAAATGTGATAAAAAAAAAGGCTCATGCCAAGTAAGGCTTGTCAGCATATGAAGTTGATGAGATTATTCAAACATACAAAATGTCAGCTACATAAGATGGCGAAGATATGTGTACCTTCAAAGATTAAATATTAAAAAGTCTAGTCACTGTCCAACAGTCTTAGAAACCCAAGCTTTTCCCATTAGTCCAATTTGAATGCATATATGAGATACATCACAAAAAATTTAAAAACACATGGAAATACATCAGAGTACTTTTAATTGGTTCTCATCTCAGATTAATTACTCCTTCACAACTACTTAATTTTTTTAAAGTTATTTAAGACTACATGTGAACATAGCATTTTCTAGAGTCTAAGCTTAACAAGGGGAATGAGGGAAACATATACAACAGACTAAAATAGGCAAATATTTTGGTTCACAAATGCATTTTACAGAGTCAACGGGTCCCCTAGTCGCTTCAAGTGTTCTATCTACAAATCTGTTACGAGTTGTCATCCGTTGTGATTGTAGATCGCATACTGTACCTTCACGTGAAAGATTGCACTTGAAACAGTGGTCCCTTCTCTTGAAATTATGGACGCCGCACTATAAAGTTAGAGATGTATGCAAATAATGACACAAATTTCTAAATCTTTTTTGCCGTAATTTTGTATCGAACCCAAAACCTGAACCCTCTATAGTGTCAACTGAAAATCAAGTGTCACACCATTTTTACAACACAATTTCAGTCTACTGCACTTTAATTCTATAGCATAACTTTTATGTTAAGTTATTGAAAAAAACGTTCATCAGAATTTACAAGTTTTTTCATCTGGTTCCTGTTTTCATTCATTCTATTTGTTTTTGTGTTTCTATTTCTGATAATACAAGAGTCTGTGAATTAATCCATACATTTTCTTTCATATTTGGATCCTCGCCCTATATATATGGTTGGTTGATATGTCATGAAGTTTGACTTTCGGTATTTATGCAAAAATACACACTCAACATCAATCTTGACAAATGTTATAAAACTATCAAAGGTCTAATATCAGTTTATCATGCCCCACACTGACAGAAATACTCCCAACCTAATCAGAGGCTGTTCGACACCACTGGATGTCAACACAAAAATACAAGTCTTTACCTTGCTACATGTCCAGTCAGTCTTGTGTATGGGTCCCTTCTCAGGCCCAGCTTTGGGTGTGCTGTAGTGCATGGTGGCATTATACTGGTTTTGTAGAGTCAGCTGGCCCTGTAGAGAATGAGGACTGAAGTTACAAGTCTGTGATAAAGGTGTTACATTACCTGTGGTCACTGAACCCATTTCTTGCTTGTCAGATCAAGATATATAATCCTTGTTTTTGAGCTATCACTTCCTTTTTCTTTTATTATATATATGGGGAAGAAGCCGTGACTTCAATCAAACACAACATACATGAAATCTTAAGGTAATTCTAATCCAGCCTCTTCGGCCATCTTCCACAAGGATCTATGCATTCCACTTCTTAATTGGAATGGTTTGAACAAATTGATATATAATTAATATAGATAAATCTCAGAGAATTTGAAATGTGGATCATCAGTTCCCAGACATTTCCAAACACTTGTTTCGTTCTCATGGAAGGTCAACATTTGTGCAATTTTTAATCATCATTCACCACCCCCAAAATAAAAACATTTTCATCAGCAAAGCTACAAGATTTGGTGATACACATGCATGGAATTCTTTTTATGTACATATTCTGACAGAAGGATCATTGAAAATGGCAATGAATGAAAGCCTGGTATTTGTGATAAATTTCTAAAATTTGTATTTAAAAAAACTACTCGGTATGTTATCAATATAGATGAATTGATATAAGGATATGTAGGTTCTAGTCTAAACTGACTTGAAACTGGATATTCATTGATAAAACAATAAAATATAAATATTACTGTCTTTTAGATAAAGATTTAAGAAACATACAACAGAAAACATTTTGAACCAACAATATCCTGTATGGTACAAATAAAGAAATTTGAACTGATCATCAGCAACTGATAGCCAAACTTTTTCATCCTACTGATCCCCATGTTGATTCTACAACAGGATAATCGAGATCTCATCAAGAGGTTTCATCAGGATGAAAATGTCTATCAATGTGACATCTAAACAGAGTGCAGAAGCGACTTTCCACTAAGGAGAATGATGCACCTCTAGTGGTGACAAACGGGTTTTTGTTCGTTACTTTACGATAAAACTGAAAGCTTCCATAGACCTGATTCTGGTCCATCCAGCGTTGTGCGTCTCCTATACTCTGAAACTCCACAAAAGCAAACCCGCGGGATGCACCTGTACAATAATTTGAACGTTTTGCATTAGATGACAAAGTACAGCTAGAAAATACATGGTGGCACAGTTTTGATGAAAGACAATCATAGCATCACTGAAGGTTTTTTGAGCTCCTTTTGCTGGTAAACAATTGGCACAAAATTTTCAATCACTGAACTGAAAGAAAACTTAAATGCATACACTCAAACAATTTTTCAAATGTAAAAAATGACGACAAGTTACTCAATAACAAAGCTGAAAGAGAAGACAAAATTTCATATTTTAAAATCAATTTGTGACTTATAACAGTACTAAACCATTGAAACTAACAAATTTTCAAAACACTAACCTCTGTTCTTTTCAACATAATATAATTTTACATACAAATGATTACTAAACTAATTCTTATAAATCCTCATTACCAATTTCCATATACACATTTTACATTTAGTTTCCCCTATTTTTAATACATATAGGAACAAATTGTCTTTAGTTGAGGTTCTCCTGAAAAAAAAACAACACATGATCAGCAATTTCCTTATATCTTATACATTCCTGTCTGTTTTAATCAACCAACCTTACCTGCAGTCGACCTGTCAATCGACTACAATCCATTTGCAGAAGGATTTGCATCCTTCCTTCTCTGTAGCTGTCCATTATCCCAATCAAACTATTTGATTCATCCTTTTAATGGTGAAATTGAAAGGTAACTCACAACCTTCAGTGATGTAGTGAAAACTGAGCCACCTGCTACACAACTGTCCCTACTCATCAATTGTAATCAACAGTATTGGTATCAGTCGATACCAGTGCTAACAAAGCAGCACCAAACACAATCCTCACCTGTACTTTTCCTCATGAGCCGCACATCTTTTATTGGAAGACCAAATAGCATCAATTCAGCTCGGATCTGTAAAAATAACATTTTAATTTATTTTCTTTGATAATCAAATTTCTTATGACAAGATGAAAAACTACACAAAGTGAACTATTGCAAATAAACCATTGCACCGATAAAGAATTGTAAAGCCCTCTAAGCAAAGAAACTGCTCTTGGCAGAAATCATGAATTATGAAAGTATGAATTTTAAGCATTACTTTTAAAGAAATACAGCAACTTGAGGTTTTTCCAGTAAAATGTCTATCTCATCCCAGGTCTCTTCAGGTTGGTTCAGGGGAACAACTTTAAAAGTTTAACTGATTTGTTAAATAAGCAGGAAACCCCTTACCAAGAGGTATCTATGCCTTGAGTTTAGTTACAATTTGCTGTATGCCATATCAAAACCAGGAGCTTTCACTATATCAGATCATACACTGGACTGATAGAATTCAACTTCAATTCAGTAAAATACATTGCAAGTCAAATACACATACAAAATAGGTGCCATAGATGGGTATAAAATTTGAGCATTTGTTCAGGTACATTTTTGGAATGAGACATATTAACATTATCAATTAAAGATCATGATAAACATACATCTTTCTCCTCTATAATAATTGGCAGTCCTCTCAGTAGAATAGTGTTTGTAGGCGTGTCCGTCATCCACTTCTCACCACCCCGATCTTCTCTGTCTGCCCGGTCACCTCTGTCTCTAGACTCTCGTTTATCATAACCATCTCTTCTATCAATAGACATATCCTGAAAAAATAAGTTTATTGATATGTCATTTGCTGAAGCGAAAGTTGTGCAGGAATCTTTTTTATATTCTATATTATATCATTATAGTAAATAAAACAAACCATTATAAATCATAATAACATAATTCACTTTTATGAAGAAGTGAACTGCCTACCTTATCAGCATTATCATCAAATCTGTCTTCGTGTTCGCTACCACTTCTGTGTGAACTCCTATCCCTGTCTCTATCTCGTCGGTCACGATCTCTCCTCCTGTCGTAGTCGCTATCCCTCATGCGATCTCTATCTCTATCCCTGTCACGGTTCCTACTCCTCTCTTTATCATAGTCATGATCGTGTCTACGATCTCTGTGTCGATCCCGGTGTCTTCTGCGGGATCTTAAAATGTAACAGAAATTTATTCGGTTTCCACAGTCATTATATAAACAAACTTTCACATCTGACACAGTATTCTTGTGCTTAAGAGTTTGAATTGGTGACATTCATCTGCAGAAAGTTATTAACCTTACAAATAAAGACACCATTTGTTTTATTGTGTTATCTTCTGTCAATTCTGTTGGTATATTGTATATATGGGAAGTATAATTTGAGCACAGAAATGTTGACATCAACAAAATCATATTGAATGTTCTTTTCCAGTAAAGTTGTATCATCAGCTCAATATATTATAACGTTAGCCTACAATGCTGTTAGTGATGACAATAATAAACTCAAGATCAGTTCAATAGATATGTATAATGCCATATTAATGGTCAGTTGAATCCTAGCATTAACAGTTTCATTTTTAAAAAGTAGCTTTTTATAATGGATATGAAAAGCAAACTGTTTTATTTGAAGGTCTAGTAGTCTGATGAATTACCTGTCCCTCTCTCTGTCACGATCTCTTATATGGTTATGCTCTGGTGGTTCCTGTTTTGGCTCTTCATAATTCTCGTAGGATGAGCCACATTCCCCTTCCTCATAGCCAAATTCCTCATCATAGAAATCATCTTTGTAGGCTGCACTGTAGTCATATTGTTGATGGAAGGATATGTCTCCTCCAGTGAAGTTGTAATTATCTTTGAAATTCTCTTGATAAACCTCCATTTTTTAAGCAAACTGTGAAAAAAAGGTCTGAATAAGAAATCAAGGTAATTAATGTAATAACTCATGCTGCAGATCATTTTGGTCAAGATTTTCCAAATTGATGACTTACCCGGAGGAGGGTAAGACAAATATATAGGTTCTAAACTCACTGCAAGAAAACAAACATGAAACAAGCAGGACATTCCAGTTAAATCATTGGATATTGACTATTCTATGATAGTTCCGAGATATTCTTGCCTTTTTGAGTGTCCAAAAATTAACTATCAAATTCATGGATTATCAATGAACCACGTACAAAACTACATTTTGAGTTCCAGTGTAACCAAAGACTTCAAGAAAGAAATGCTTTTTTGGCGCTAATGGACGATCTCGAGCCTTGGGAAATTTGGCTCGGCACAACTTTCAATTTTCAGAGGTAATAACAGTTTTACATTGAAAATAAAATACAATTATGTGACTAATATAATAAATTGATAAATTTGGAACAATTCTAACTAAGTAGAAATCGACATAAACAACAAAAGATAAGGATAAATCTTTGTCATATGTTCTCACCTATCCCAATTGCCTTTGAATTTGCAAATGGCGTCGTTTGCATTGATTGGGTTACAAATGTCGTGATAGCCTGACACATCAGCAATGTACCGATAACCATGATATAAAAATAACAAATTCACGTCGATATATGGTTTGTGTATTATCGCAATCTAATACCACTCATTCATTTATCAAACTACAATTTACGTCACTCGCAAATTTTACGACATCGTCCAAGACACATGTGTATCGCATGCATAACAAATGTGTGTGGATCCCGTGTCATTGAATTTCACACATACCGACTGGGCAGAGAAAGATTCACCAGCAGTGATGTAACAAATTCATCGAAGTTAAAACGACAACAGCCTCACAAATATATGCTAGAATTATATACTTGATAAAAATTACTTCTAAGGTACACACTTCTGTTACACTTGCAGGTGCACGTTAGATAGATATATAGACCATGTGTACACACGTATTTGATATTGTATATATGTACTACATAGGGTCATTATATTTCGTATAGATCTGTTGATATGGTATTCTACTTGTATGTGTACATGCCAGTCAATTAGAACGAATGTATACATGCCCAACCCTCATTTCTGAATGGTGTGCCTAGCTTCAGAAGTAGCCATATCATACTTTAATTATTTGAACAAGTTAAATAACTTGATATGATTATCTCAGACCTAACTAATATGAAATAGGCACTGCCTAAAAGCAAGCTCAAGTTGGTCAACAAGATACACATTTTGAACAGCCTGATCCATGTCTGCACTGAAGCGTGTTTTTAAAACTGTATATTTCGCAAGATTTTAACAAAACATCTGCACATACAAATGTTCCAATATATTATCATCATTATCACCATCATCGTCATCAACACATCTTCGTCTTGTTGATCTTCTAGAAAACAATGTATCAACATGATCAGGCGATGATTTGGTGGCACAGTTGTAACACACTTGTCTTTCACCTAGCCGTCCGGGGTCCGATTCAAACAATTTCATACAAAGTATTGAAATTGAGAACATCTGCTAGAGTACCTTGAATGGTTTAAGAGAACTGGTCTGAAAAAAACTAAACTTTGGTATTTGGCTTATTTGTTTCCATGGTAGCAGAGAAAGTATTGAAATGGTGAACTTTCCCTTTAACAAAAGATACTACAAGCCTAATAAGTGTAAAAAGTTTTGAGCAATTATCTTGAATGATTTCAGAGCATTGGCCGAGAAAAACTGAAATTTTTTATGAGGGTCATCGGTTTCAATGGCAACAATGAATGTATTAATAAAGTCATTGACAACATATCTAGACTAAAGAATTGATAAAAAAAGTCTTCAAAATAAATGTACAAGAGTTTCCGTTTCAGAGTTACAGATATTGCAGAGAGGACTATATATCGACTTTGCTTTAAAAAAGAGTTTGTACTCAAAATATTGTGAAAGACAATATAGTTTTAGTCGGATTTGTTAAGGCGGTTATATGTTTAACAAGTTTTCATTATTAACAACAGAATGTTTTCTACCACCGTTTTCTTTTCTCTTTGCTATTTAAGTTTTCGTTCTGTTAATTAACAAATCATAAAATGCTTTGTGTACCTGTGTGTCAACCATTACACCAAATGGACTTTTTCGTTTTTTTTTAGTTTTTCAAACTTATCATTTAATTTACTTATTTAGTTATTCATAATAAGTTTAACAGAGGTCATTATTTATTTCAAGGCCTCCGCTAGAAATCGAACCCGGACCCTTGGCTTACTATTCTGACGCTCAACCAATCGAGGTAAAGAGAAGTTCTCTCTAGCCGAGTGGTGTATTGCGGCTAGTATTTTACCAGGGTTACATAAGCATTACTAGATGATTGAAAGAGTTAAAAGTTAATAAATGTCATAAAGCAAAAAAGAAATTCAACACTACCAGGACGTCCGTATAGTGTTGAATTTCGTTTTTGCTTTCTTGTGGTTTCTTGTTAAGGAACTCTATTGAATCCTATAAACAGATCAACATGAGGACACTACTGGAAAGTTCCACGCAAGGAATGTTGGATCACCCTTTATTTATGAAGTAAATAAATGATAATGATCAACTAATGCATAATTATATGGCAAGGATAATAACAAAATGAAAGAATATGCTCAGATTTGTCTCCACACTGCCCTGATGAAATGGTCACAAAAATCAACCTTGGTTAGGTTACTTCATTCTTCAATTGGTTAACTGACATGTAGCATTAATTAAGTTTGCACTTCTTGAAATGATTGACATCATCTTTTGAAATTACAAACTCTTATTTCATTATTTTATTGGTTAAGTTTCGTAAGTAAGGATATTTGTATGTAGTTCCTCGTGTATGTATGTATGTTACTGCAACATGTATAGTAAAGAATTATTGATGTCTTAATCAATGACTGAACTTTCCTAACTGATAAATTGTAACAGTGGTTAGGTAGCTGGTGGTTTGTTACTGGGCTATGTTTATCACTCCAAGCTTTTGAGTCATCAAGATGTGGACTACCTTGATTTATCCCAGTTATTTTTCTTATTGTTTATTTGTGAATGTTTTCAGTTAAAATAGATGAAATTATCCTGATATGTTTACTGCCATTTGTCATGTTGTGATTTCAGGTGATGTCTTAACAATGTACAAATAGGCAGGCCCCACTTGTATAAAACATCTCAACTTGAGATTTCCTCAAGTTGAGATTTTCCTCAGCTGATATCTCCTCAAAAACGGCTTGTATAAAATTTTCTTAAGAAACAGGAGGAAGGCTTCGGCTAGGATGTCCTGAAATTCCTTGAGGAATTTTCATACAAGATATTTTCAAGGAGATATTAGCTGAGGAAAATCTGGGCTTGAGGAAATCTCAAGTTGAGATGTTTTATACAATTGGGGCCAGGACTCCATATTCTATGTAAAGTTCATTGTAACAGGTTATTTCAGTTAGACTGTAATTGTTTAATTTCTTGTTTCTGTCTTTCAGGTACCCCGCCTACCTATAATATGCCGAAGGATCCATTCCTAGTGAACAATAAAGAGACTTTCCAGTTAAAACCATCACTGTTGTTGTACCCTTCACAGTATACACTCTCAGCAAGATGGTCTACAATTAAGTTGTTAAAATTTCCTTATATTAATATACCTGCACCAAAAGCTACAGGTTCAGTAGCATTGCCTATCTGCAAGAACAATGACATCACTTCATCAAATACCATTGTCTTGCAATCAGACAAAAATCTACCCCTATCCTACTCAGTTTACATGAAGTTAAGGTCCTACCTAAAGGTTCCCGTCCTGTTTGCTGAAACAAATGAACTGAATAGTGTTGAGGAAACCAAGACTAACAGTACTAGCGACATCCCTCTTGTATCACGAGAGGAGGTAATGGAGTATATTGCCAATGAGACGGGCAAAGACAGGTTACGAGATTTCTACAGAAAAGAGTAAGTCAACTGTTGTATTTTCTTTACAGTCATCTACACTCGCCTGGTCATACAAACATGAAGTAAATCACACTTTCTTTTCACAAGTAAAAAGGAAAAAGGGACAAGAGCTTTATTTATTTATTCGTTCGTTCGTTCGTTTGTTCGTTCGTTCCACAGTGAAGTTGGGGGGAGGGTAAACTGGAATCATCTTGTCCATATGTCCATAGACGAATATCATGCATTCGCTCTGTTAACAATCCAGCTTTTCGTCAGAATATTCAGTAGAATATGGAGACGTGCCTTCTGAAGAGACTTTGCATTTTCTCCCGTTTCAGAGAGTTATCCCCCTTTCATGTATAAAAAAGAACTCAGTTGTATCAGGAGGGGGGTGGGTGGGTTATTACCAGGTAGTTATCCTAAGGATGACAATTCTACTTACTTTTTTGTATGTGGTTTGTACTTGTAGTATTTAAATGATTAATTCCAGTGAATGCGACTATAAATACACTGATTTGTATTCTCATTTGATAGGAAATGTTTGAAATAATTGGAAAAGTTTGACTTCAGCTGTTTACTACAATAATTAATACTGTTGAATACTGATGCTTTTGTCTATGGATGATAATGTGTTACTTAATCATTACCGCATATATTATCTTTATTACCCTACTTTATGGAGAAAAAGATTTTGGCGAGATTTACTCTTGATCAGTGGTCATAATTGAATTAAGAAGGCTAAATATTTTACTGAATCATCATCTGGCCTCTCAAATGGAACAGAAGTAGTGAGGGCCAGATATTGGATATAGAAGTTATGCATCTTTAAATACCTCTTCTTTCATCTGGATATGTTTATTTTGACGAAATTTGGTCAGATAAGTGACCGTAAAAAGATAACCTTTAAATGTTTTGCTATGACTACAGAAATATACATGCATGACTTCTCATTAATGTCCATGATATGTAAAATAAGAATATATATGTATTAATAAGAATTAACATATTTATAAAACGAAAAAAAAAAAAGATATTAAAGGGAGTTAATACAGATAAAGAATGACCTAAGATGGCAGACACTTATGAATAAGGGGATGCTCACAATTTGGCCCCCTCTCTACTTTTAGTCAATCTTTTTCACAGGAAGAGGTTTATTTTGGTGTTATGGCATTGGATACTGGCACCAAGACTTTTATTTAAAAGAAGGGAGACAACTCAGTCATAATTATGATAATCTGGAATGTAAGTCTATATCTAAGATGTATTGGTTGTTTCTGTTACCAGTGTTCAAGAGAGACGCCACCCAGATTATGAGGAACTTGTACTGACTGCATTAAGTGCTGGGTGTTTGGGAATATTTATAGGATTTCCCCTTGGATACCGTAAAACCTCTAATACCTTTATTGAAGAAAATCATGCAACAACATTTCGTTCCAAGATGAGTTACGAGGTAACATTACCTTTTACACAGTAGCTAGTAATTGAGTTACAGTCATTTTATACACATACTTTAGCTGAAGTTCTGACTGTATGGTGTAGTAATTATAGAACAGTCAGTAAAGTGGTAGAACATACATTGTATTTCCAAAAAGTTTATCTATGGTGTCAGACTAGAAATGTGACCAAGTCTTTTTCCAAGTCACAGTTTCTTGATGACATTACCATTTCTCAGTTCCTCAGAAAATATACATGTAAGCACTGTAGCATAATCATGTTCAACTCTAACACATGTAGATTCTTTACTTCATTTCCTTTTTAAATAATGGTGTATTTTGTTTTGGTTCACAAGAATTCTGCTTTGAATATTCAGTGCACTTCATTAACATATTAATAGATATGGTGGAATTATTTATCTTCATTTGTTTTTATAGAAATTTGGTGTTTGTGATTTTTGATATTCATTTGTACACTTTTCTTCAACATCATGAAATTGTGCTGAGTTCTATTTCTCAGCAAAGTAGCAACCAACCATTCAGAATATTGTATCAAGTGTATCTAAAAAAGTGCTAAAGCAATATTTCTCAAACTTGGGATACTATGTCCTTATGATGTAAGTTGTACCTGTTTGCTTTTCATAAAATTTGGATGACATTTCTTAGAGTTATGCCCCTTTTTGTAGATATTCTGTATGGATTATTGTATGCAGTAGATCGGATAAAGTATAGAAGTAATATTTCTCAAACTTGGTTTACTACATCCCAATGATATATGATTGTGCTCTTTTGCTTTTTGTGAAATTTCGACAACATTTGTCAGAGTTATGCCCCTTTTTGTAGATATTCTGTTTGGAATATTGCGTCAGTTGTATCTAATATAGTACAGAAGCAAACTAAGCATGGTACATTCCTATGATATGTAGTTGTGCCTTCTCACTTTCCATTTAAACCTGATCAAATGCTACAGCTGATTACAGCTTATAATTTAACATATTAGGTGTTCCAAAACCGTTATCATGGAGCGCTTTGGAGGCTTCGGACTGGTCAAAACTAAGATTTCATCTGATTAAGTTGAAAATTGGTATAAAAAAGTTTAGAGGGATGACAAATACAATGAGTCTATTTTCAAAAAAAAAAAAAAAAAAAACAATTGTTTCCATTTGGTTACTATGGTTACCAAATGAAGACCTCTTGGAGGAATCTTGTTGGGACAACCCCTCCAAAATTTTTTGTGATTGGGGAGCAGGAGGTATAAGTGGGCCATCCTGGCAACAGTTCTAGTTATCTCTATTTCTGCAATGGGTTAATGTTCAAATTTGTTATCATTTATTGCAAAATTAAGAAGAGAAGAGAAAAGAAGGGAAAAGATCCAATGTTCAAAGAATATATCAATGGTGATACAATGGTGTATGTCTAAAATCCCTCTGGGATCTCTTGTTCATTAACCCTTTTTATGATAAGATTATGCCCCTTGGTGGAATATTCTTTATTCTGCTATGCATTTGGATAAGAGTGAATCTGGTCTGGTTAGTGAATAAGTTGAAAGGGAAAGGGAATTTGTTGGTTTCTTGGCCAAATGAAAAGTGGGCTTGCAGTAGACACATTTGAATATTAAATAGATGTACTAAATTCTTCAAACAGATCTGGCATTTTTTTATCATAGAGATTTTTTATTTGCCTCTGAAAGTTTGACTTTGTAGTTTGAATTGATTGCATGATATACAAACATATATTTATGAATTTATACATATGTATATATATATTTACTTTAGAGGATGAGAATTGACAAAAGTGTGTTAGGAGGAATGAAAAGTGCTGCAGGAGGATGCATTTTTATGGGTTTCTTTATTACATCATTATGGTAAGTACCTTATTGTGGAATGGAAATAAACTCCATTGTCTGTTTCAAGCTTTATTGAAATAATTGTTTTTGCCTCATTTTTAATACTTTCCTTACTCAATTAATGGGGCACATAGTACTTACTTTGTCGGCGTATCCATCAGGATGTGTGTGAGTGGTGTAATCAAGGAAATGATCTTATCCCGTATTCAAGGTCATAGGGTCAAATTTGTTTAAGCACTCCAATAGCTTAACAGGATCCATCACTTGTAAACAAAAATATTTATCTTGGAATGTAAGCATGGTAGTTTCTAAGGTTAAATTTTAAATTGATCTGATTCGCTATAAATCTTCATATCACACGTAAGCTATCCATATTATATGATCAATTTTATTTTATATACATTTTGGGTCTGAGATCCCTAGAACTTAAAGGATTGGGACCACCACTGTAAAGAAAGAAGAATTTAGAAAATTGCTTTTCTGGGTATATAAAAGTGTTTTCAACTAAACAATAGGTCTAGTGTTCTAGTTTGTATGAAAGGGGCTTGATTATACACAAAATGTTCGGGGTCAAGAGATTGTTCATTATCTTCAGAATCCCTTTTTAGGTCACCTAAGTCAAATTCTCAGGTGACCTATTGTGATCGTCTTTTGTCTTGAGGGAAATACTTTCCAGTATAATGGCAAACAGAATTATTTGATATGATTGCAGAGATGTGGAGGTGAGTGCTGCAGGCTTTGATAAGGCCATGTTTTTGTGTGTAATAAAATGCTCCTATTCTTGTGCTTTTTACAGGGGTGTGTCCAAATGTATAAGTATATACAGAAACAAGACATCTTTTGTGGAATACAGTATTGCAGCTTGTGAGTTTTCACTATCTATTGTCATGTAATGAGTAAACAGTTGTAGATAATATACATGATGTATGTATTTTGTTTTTGCAATGTACATTTCTCTTCAAACTTCAATGTTTAATTTAATTCTAAGATATAAGACTCAAATCACACACCAAATAAATTTTTCTTTCATGTCACAGAAGTCGCATAATCGGTTTCAAATATTCGTACATATGAATGTCACTTAGTGGAAGGGAGATAACTTGGGTCCTTTTTGAAACTTTGAAATCTTGTCAGCTTAGATGGGACAAATTTTCTGTTTGCAATTCCAGTCAAAATAAATCTCACTCCTATTAACCAGGCTATTTAGTTTGTATGCCCTCCAACATCACATGGTGGACTGTTCAAATTACCTTTTGTCTGTTGGTGGTCTATCCTGAATTAGTTGTTGTTGTCACTATTTTGCAAGAAGTATCAGATGGAGGTTTCTTAACTTTCATATCTAGTGAACTTTTTGTCCTTATTGGTGCCATCTTGATTTTGAAACAGATCAGGCAAAAAGAGGTAGAAAGGTGACCATTTTGGATTTTGAAAATTAAAATTCTCAAATTTTATATGTAGCTCCCCTAAATCCCCTGTGGGCCCACTTAATGTTGAGATTGATTAGAAAAAAGACAGCTATCTAGGGCTTTTTAGGTCGCCTGAGCCGAAGGGTCCTTATAGCAAGGTCTACAAAGTTTGTGAAAGAAAAAAAAATCGGGTCAAAAACGGCCCCACTAGGGGGCACTCAAAAGGGTCGAAAATTCAACTTTGACCAATTTCTACCAAATTTGGTACACAGCATCCCTTAGTGAAGAACATATGAAATTATGTTAAAAAAAGTGATAATATCCCCTTTGGGGCCCATAAGGGGTGTAAAAAGGGCCATATGTAAAAACCTTCATTAAATGACTACTTCTCAAGAACCAGTGGATGGATTTTGACCAAACTTGGCACAAAGCATCCCCATGGGAAGCCGCTTCAAGTTTGTGAAGAAAAATAGTGTGGCCCCAGGAGGGGGGAAAAGGGGAAACTTGATACGAATGTTCTACACAAGGTCCTGGCAGGTGTTTTAATTTTTTGGGGCGATTCAAAATCCAAGATGGCCACCCAGGCCTCTGTTTGGCTAAGACATTATGGACTTCCTCTCAAGAACTATTGGGTGGGTCATGTTCAAACTTGGTACAGATGTTTTACACTTGGTCCTGCACAAGTGTTGTTACATTTTTGCAACATTTTAAAATTCCCAGATTATTGACATATATTCCCTAGGTGACCGTTAAGGCCCCTTGGGCCTCTTGTAAAGTAATTATGAAGAAAGGAGGGAAGATGTCCAACAGAACCAAAAAAGATAAGAACATTGATACATGCCAAGAGTCCTCTGGGATTTCTTGTTGAGGTATATCTTGTTATTTGTGTAAGGAATACAATCTTGTATTAAATTCTGCTGTAAAAATTATTGGTCAATTTCCTTGAAATCAACCATTTGATTTGTTCTGTTCGGACAGCTATAATTGGGGCAGCGTTCCGGCTACATTTAGGACCAAAGGGTATGGTGGCTGGAGGTATAGTAGGTTTGACTTTAGGGTAAGTATTCCTTGTAATCTGGTATTATATCAGAAATGGTAAGTATATTTTGTATATGTATTTATTGGTATTTTATTTATTTCTCAAAATCTATCAATGGTGATATTTGAAAAGACTGTCACAGAAATTTTGAAACCTGAATTTTATCACAAAGTACCAATGAGCTTATGGTATGGTCTAAAAAACTTGAAGAATTTTCTTAACTTTAAGGAGACCCAGGGTACTATAATTTTGCTAGTAGGTATCTTAGATAGAGTGCTACAACATTCTTCATGTAACTGACCTTTACCAATATTCAAAGTCACAGAGGTCACATGTCTAAATGAATATAAAAATCTTCTTCTCAAGTAGATCAGAACCAACTGTAGTGATATAATATCAGCAAGTGCATATGATGGAGCACTGTAAAGTTTCCTCATATAAATAACCTTGACCCCCTGTCAAGGTCACACGTGTCAAATAGGTTAAAACGTTTAATAATCATCTCCTTAGCTTCCAGAAGAACTTATTTTCAAGGACACAGGATTCAAAAGAGTTACATTAATTTATAAAAGTCTCAAGTCGCATTTAGGAAGTAGGTAGAGGATCAAATTGGCCTTTAGATTGATAAAATTTAATGAAATATTCTACTTTTTCATACTGTATCAACAATGTATAGGGTAAAATGGATAGTGAACACTGTGTGATGTTACAGGACAATAGGTGGTGTGGTACTGATGACAACAGCTAAAGTTACAGGAGAAACACAGGAGGAAAAACATTACCGATACATTGAGAAAAAGTTAGCCATGAAGAAGTAAGTTATATGGTCAGAGGGTAAAACAGATAATAATTTTCATGTCAGTCAGAAGATGAAATATTTTCATGTCAGTCAGAGGGTAAAACATTATTTTCATGTCAGTCAGAGGGTAAAACATTACTTTCATGTCAGTCAGAGGGTAAAACATTATTTTCATGTCAGTCAGAGGGTAAAACATTACTTTCATGTCAGTCAGAGGGTAAAACATTACTTTCATGTCAGTCAGAGGGAAAACATTATTTTCATGTCAGTCAGAGGGTAAAACATTCAGAGGGAAAACATTATTTTCATGTCAGTCAGAGGGAAAACATTATTTTCATGTCAGTCAGAGGGAAAACATTATTTTCATGTCAGTCAGAGGGTAAAACATTACTTTTATGTCAGTCAGAGGGTAAAACATTGTTTTCATGTATCCTCTATATAGGTCACCTGCAGTGATTCAGTGTACGGTATAGATTGATCCAATTTAGATCTGTACATAATAAATGTAATGTATCTACACCAAGGATGTCTATTTTAAATGAAAAGTAAAGCTTTATCCCAATTTTTTACAGGATTGCTACAGGAGAGTGGTCTAAACCTGTGAATAGCTGAAGAGCTCAACAATCTGGAAATACAAGCTGCATCCCCGACATACCAAGTGATTGTATGTTTGTATCACTCTGTATAGACATTGCTCGATCTGGCTTTTTGATACATTCTACTGAGAAACTGTTTTGTTGCCAAAACCAATTAACAATGACATTCTAATATAAATTGACTTGTATTCTTCCTTTTAAGATAAAGAACGGTATGAGGTATCTGTTGTTAGTTGTTGATTTCACTTTACGAGAAAAATGCTTAATTACCTATTAACTGCATAGGAAATGTTGATTTTCAGAATAGTTCTTAAATGCCCTAATTGATGTATCTACTTTTCATAATATTGCTGCCAAGATCAAGTTTTAAATATGTGATTTCTGATGTATCAAGTCAAACATCTCTATGCTTTAAAATAATGATCATAATTTATTCTTTAAATGTACAAATTCTGTACCATGTACTAAAAAAACTGTACCACAGTAATCCATTCAATCGTTAATAATTTTGAAATATCCTTGATTTATTGGAAATCAATAATTTTGAAATATCATTGATTTATAGGAAAGTCAGTTAGTGTTGTGACTTGTCAATGATGTTGTGACTTATCGATGGTGTTGAGACTTGTTACATCCCCAACAATGAAGTTCGGGGAGAGGGAAGGTGTGTACTTGAATCATCTTGATGTTTGGAAGTATGTCTGTTGTTTGCAAATCTTGTCCAGAAAACTCCTCCTAAATTTTGAACCAATTTCAATTTCAACACCTCAGGAATGCTAGAGACAATTTGTTGAAATGCATGCAGGTGTTTTTTTATCGGAAAATGTTGGTTGCTATATAAATAGGTCATTATACATAAGTGTTTGTGTAATGGCCCATGCCTTACCAATCAAGTTTTTATGAAACTTATTTTTATTAACTTATTCATTATTAGTGATTAAAGCCTATAATTTGACATATCAGGTGTTTCCAGATATTGTCCATTTACGCTGAAAATAGATAAAGAAGGCAACTAAAAAAACATGTCACTGTACAGATTTTTGAGTATGGCCTGGCCATAGCTCATCAGTCCTTCATAGATCAACATTAATACAACTTGGTCAAATAGGGCTGTAACTTGTCAAAGCCTGTAATTTGACACATTTCCAGAACCATTACTATGGAAACGTAATGGAAAGTTCTGACTGGTCGACATTGAGATGTACAATTTTACTGAAATTTGAAAAACGGTAGTCACAATGATCTTGTTCAGACTTCTAAACTTTGAAACCAATATCAGTGAAACCTTACAGAAATATCATGGGCCATAGTTAGATGTGCATGCAGGTTTCTTTGTTTTTGTTTTCTTTTTATTTGAAAATTTTGGTTGCCTTGGCAACAAGGTCACTATACACGCGTTATGTATGTGAATGTTTCACAGTTCATCAGTCATGGTAACATTTTTATTAAAACCTTGTTGAATTGTGTTGCCAACTGTCAATGGTCCTGTGAATGACTATAAATTGTGTTAGTAATATTTTTTATTCTTAAAAACAAATAAAAAAGACATTTATGTGGAGGTTTTCAACTTTATTTTCTCACAAACAATCCTTTCCCCGTGGTAGATAGTAGTGTATTCAATATACAGATAGTGGTGAGGTCCACACAATGTATTGGTTTTTTACTAATCACAGCATAAGTTAGTGTAAATATATATATATATACCACAGAGAACTCTCTACAAATAGAAAACAAGGAATGTGTGTGATGAGTCGTCTCACCCCTACATCTCACAATGGACCCATCCATGAGATTGATAAGTCCATTGTGAAGTGTAGGGAGGGAAAGACTGATGGAAAAACCTACAAGATTAACAAGGTGAGATATGACATCACTATGGTATGTACCCTAATTACCACACAAAGTGACCGGGAAAGGTATGATAACAAGGGATCGTATCATCAATATTACAACCTTGTCAAACTTATTCAATTCTCACAAGCCTAGCTATGAAAGACGAGTAGATTTTGCTGTCTTTTGTAACAAATCAGGTAGGATAAAAACCACTAAATCAAGATTTTTATATAGAAAATTTTACATTTTTTCTACTAATTTCATTGATTTTTTTTCTGACACAAAAACTATTAGTATAAAAAATACATGAATTCTAACATCCTTTCGATCATTCCTTAAAACAAAACAGGTATATTCTTGTAGAAAGGTAAATGGTTTCCACTTGTACAAGATTTATCTCCCATGAAAAGATTCACAACTTTTTTTATTCTAAATAAATGTGGTTTCGCTCTGATATTTGACATTGTAATCAATTAGGCAACATCAGCCTAGATATTATAATACAGGATGATGTGACATTTGTCATGAAAATTTGGATCATACAAACATACAGATGGGATATTGGTAAATGAATACAACTAAGGTGTTTATTCTGCATCCTAGACAAACAATATGACGGTTAAAAGGCTTGATGCATTTTTGTCTACCATGACCTGTAGCATGATTGTGATTTGCATACACTAGAGTAAGACAAAGTTAAAAACAGATTGTAAATCTCTAATTCAGGTCACTTATACGATGAGCACATCTTCAAAACCAGTTCTGTCTATATCTTCAGTTATAGGAACCTCATGTTGTTAGTGTTCTAGCAACAGTATATTTTATCATTTTCTTGCTCTCGGTTCACTGTGCTACAGTTCTATACCATCATCATCAATTATATATGGAGACTATCCTAGACAACTCATTCCATATATGGCACTGGATACAATATGCGGGGAGTGACTTGTATCCTCTCAATTCTCTACGACATGTATTCATAGGTAGTGCTGAATGACATAGGTACAGATCTACTTGCTTAAAGCTTCTTCCTCCTCCAACATTTCGTAGTGACCTGTTTAAAAAGAACAGAAGATTTAAGTTAGAATAGCTTACAGATTGTTATATACAGAGACCATGAACCTGAAATAACCCCTGAAACATACGAATGCGATTTACTGGAATCGTACAATATTTTACAAAGGATGACAGTACATCTTACGGAAATTGAAATGGAAGATTCTACTAAGAAATGAATCCAGATGCCGAGGAGAGACAACTTTTGGATCACTAAGTTATGTCGACAATAGATAATATTTTTTAAGCATTACATATTTCAACTACAAATAACTGGAAAGATAAAATCATAAAATTTGTTAACAATCAACATGACAATACTGTATTTATCCAGGAATAAGCCCATCCATATCAATATAGCTGTTATGATAGAATTATGAATCAATCTTATTTTATTGCCAAGCAATAAACGCAATGTCTGACATTAACACAGAAATATTTGTGTTGGCCCCTTGGGTCAAACCCAAACCCCCTTACTATGAAATAGAGAGGTATTTGTGTTGACCCCCTGGGATGCTGTATAAAGCCCAACCCCTTACTATGACACAGAAGTATTTGTGTTGACACCCCCCCCCCCCCCCCCCCCCCCCCCCCCCCCCCCCCCCCCCCCCCCCCGTGGTCCTGTATGAAGCCCACCCCTTTACTTTGACAAAAAAGTATTTTGTTGCCCCCCCCTTGAGTCCTGTATAAAGCCCACCCCCTTACTATGACAAAGAGGTATTTGTGTTGGCCCCCCTCGGGTACAGTATAAAGCCTGCCCCTTACTACAACACAGAAATATTGTGTTGGCCCCTCCAGCTTATAAGGATAAATTTGGTAATGTTAATATATCAGCATTTTTGTATCTCACAACTAAAAAACACTTGTTAACCATGAACATACTTTTTATATAAGTCAAAATTTCTTTTCATGACAATATATTATGCTAACAGCATAGTGTACTGATCCTGCCTTGTCCTATTCTGTCTTAATTAAGTATCCTCATACTATATATGGTCACCTTGTTATCTCTTGATCAAAGCTGCATGCAAATGACAAAGATAACTGTTCATCGTAAATGGTCAACTGATGCAGCGTTACAGTTCTATAGGCTTCTTTTAATATATTCATGTCACCTTCCACACAAAGGTCAAGTATTAATACACTCCTGACAGTTCTTGTTTAAGGATTCTAAGGTCAAGGCTGAGGTCAATTTATCAATTTTAAAAATTTGTTACCAGATATCGAATCATTAACTTTTTTTGAATAGTATTCTTAAATATTAAGTATGAGAATACCTTCAATAAGAATATGTCTCAAAAACTAATCAATGTCAGATTATCATTATTAATCATAAAAATGTGTTTAGATATTTAAGTAAGAATTAAGATTTCACTCAAGCAAAATCACCTGCTGAAAAAGCAATTAGTACAAAAAAAATATCCCGAAAGCAAGCTTATCATGAAAAATAAGCCCAAAAAAACAAACTTTTAATATATTGTAAGTAGTTGTCAGCAATTAAAATAAAACTCAAACTTATTAAGAAATATATATATTTCATGATGGCCATTTTATGTGTATAATCTAATGATGCTGATCTTTAGGTTGAAGAATTTGATATTTTTTGTCCATCATCCTAAATAGTTACAGAAAAGGTCGCACAACTATACATTGTCAACACTTCTAATAACGATACACCTGGGTATAACTTATTGTCCGACATCTTCTGGAATCACTGAGGTTTTCTTCAACTGATTTTATTTGAATCAACGGAAGAAAACCTGGATTTGAATAAAAAAATTTCAAACTCAAGATTTTCTTTAAACTTCACATTCTGTATTCCTAACACTTTCAGATACTAAGTGTCAAAAAAGGGTTAATTAAACACCATATTCTTTAAACAAATTGATGACAAAAGGCAGTAGTTACGAACTGGGGTGTGAAGCCTGTAATAATTGCTACCCCTCCCCTGTATCAGCTTAAGGTAGTCATTAGCACCTTTATAAGGTAAAAATAGCTTTATTGGCCTGTCATATACAAAATATTCAGAATATTCCAATATGTTGAATTATTCTAAAATCCTTTTGATTTTCAATTTTTGTATGCCAGTAATACTGCCAATTCCGAGGCATGAATCTCCGGGATAATTGTCATAGTAAAATAATGTAGAGTTACTGATGCATAATTAAACACAATCATGCGATAAATGATTAAGATATACATGTATATCTCCTGTTTTATCAGTACCATGCACCTGTACCTTCATACCTGCTTTGATAACACATCTTCATCATATGGAATCTTTTTAAGGAAAATGAATCTTTTATCAATCATGCAGAGGGTACAAAGGAATATAAAGAACAAAGGAAATGTGACTATGTACTAATAACAGATAGGAGAGTGGATATTTATGAATGGATTTGGAGGTCACAGATACTATACAGATACATACTGAAACGGTGTCTATGTATTCTCACAGATACTATACAGATATATACTGAAATGGTGATTATGTATTCTCACAGATATATACTGAAATGTTGATTATGTATTCTCACAGATACTATACAGATATATATAATGTTGATATATACCGATATAATGGTGTCTGTATGATACTATACAGATATATACCGAAATGGTGATTAAGTATTCGCACAGATAGGAGACAGGATATATATCAAGGAATATGGAGGTCACAAATATTATACAGATAAATACTGAAATGGTGACAATAGGTACAGAAGGGTATAGACAAACAACAGATATTTGTAGGGAAGTTCTAAAGCATTTTTTGCCTTGCACCATATTGATTTTTAGTTTTTGTGAAATATTTTTAATTGTAGAAATTGCAGCTTAAGATGTATTTGGATTTCCAAACTAGAACGAAACCAATGTCAGGAAAGGGTCCCATCTATTAGCTATTACACAGAAGATTTCATGTACCAGCGCAGCATGGAAATTAGTACTGCATGATCGTGACTCAATAAGAATAATTACCTAGTAATAAAATGGTCAATTTTCAGCATTTCAACTCTTGCAAATTTTCATCCAGGTCATTAATTAGCGAACCCATGTGATATGTAGTCATATACCAAATTTGGAGAACTTTGAACTACAACTACACAAGCTATCATGAGGAAATTAATAAAATGATAAATTTTCAACATTCAAAGTCCCATAACTCTTATAAATATTGACAAATTTCACTGGCTATCAAAGCCATACTTTATTTCCTGAATATGATCAACCCACATATCAAATTCTGTGAGAATCCAACAACAAATACAAAAGTTATTGTGCCAAAAATAGTCTGACAAGTTGATTACTAGAGCACACTGGCACCTTGATGCGGGGCCATAAATAATACATGTTCTGGGGAAAATTTGACATCAACATTCCCACCAGAATCTGTTACATGATTATACATGTATATTGTTATCAGTAACATGTCAGGATGCTTTTAACTACCAGTTAAGTTTAATCAAGTAAAAAAAAAAAAAAAAAACAAGCTGACTTAATGAAATGCACAACATTTAAGAAAATTAAAGGAATTAAAAAAAAAATTCAATCCAATAAAATTTAGGTTACAGTGATTAAATGGTGTTAGTTGACATTCAGATAGAAAAGGTTCTTACCAAAATGTCTAGTTGTTTTGTAATCCATTTAAGTAGAAATTCACTAAACAAAGTTTATTTCTACAGAAGTTCCACACATTATGTGTGCACAAGCAAACACTAGTAGTTTTGCTGAGAGATTGGAATGTGACTAAGTAAGGCCAAATAAGGCCAGGTTCAGGTGCGAGAAAGGAATATATAATAAGCCAGCAGGTAAAGCATGACAAACAGGTAGTAGCCTCGTTCTGAAAAGGAATAAGGTTTCTGATGGTTACAAAGGTAAGAAAATGATCCGGACTTGGCTGACATTATGTTCTGAATTTTATTGTCACCCTGCCTGCCTGCCTGTCATGATACTTAGGGACTAAACTATATCTTATGTCAGTATCTGTCAATTGTGCACAATTTGTCTGATGGGGAGACCTTTTTAATACATACCTGGTATATTAAAAAAAAAAACAAGAAAATCAATAATTTCATGGCATATCTTCACCAAAATAGCCAGCCTCTGTTTATTCTTTAACTGGACACACAGCCCAACAAGAGCAATATACAGGTAGTTGATATGAAATTAAGGGGTTATAATAGCTCTTTGCAAATAATTTGCACAAGAATATCAAGATTTAATTTCATGTATCAAACGAGGAGAAACTGATGTGAAAATGATACATCTAGTAGGTTTATGTAAGTATTATGTATACATATAAATTTATCAACGTGTTTATGTTAAAATGGATCGGGGACTGGTCAATTTTGTGAACTTGTGTAGTAAACAATACTGATGATAGACGCCAAATTTCACATCATGCATGGTGGCATTAGTTAGAAGTATAAGGAATGATGATGGTGTTAATGGGGGGGTGAACCTGGGTGTGAGTGATGATGTTAGAGGGGTGTATGTGGGTGTGGTGGTTTGAATTGTGTTGCTAGTTTGGGAAGACAGACAGGAAGACAGAGGGAACACAAGGATTGAAAATTGAGGAAATCAATGAAGGCATGGTTTCTTTGACTCCATACAATAGTTTTTGTAAATCTGTAAAGTCATGTATCAATTTCAAAACAATCATCATATACAGACATAAATTACAAGAGATCCCAGAGAGATCTTGGCAAACACCATGTTTTTATCTTTATTTGTTCTTTAATAGTTGGATAATTTCCCTAATCATTTCGTCTTTCATCTTATATCCATCTGCTCATGTGATAAGAAATTTGAGAATTCAAAGCAAAGATGATTGTTTTGTCTGAACAATCTAAAATCAAAAAGACACAACTATGGACCAAATAGAACCTACATATGAAATTCTATACAGAGTTTATCTAGTCCTTCTCTGATAAATATTAATTGTCAAAATCCAAGATGACCATCTGGCAGCCATTTTGTTTTTCTGATCAGGGGAAAAATTTTAAGAGCACAACCAGGAACTATAGGAAATCTTCATAAAAAAGAAATTTGAGAAAGATTCATCTCGCATTTCATATAGATAACAAAACAATTTTTATGGAGGGATGACTGAGGACGGAAGGCAATTTGTTCAGCTCATTGTCAGATTGTGGGCTAAAGGAAAAAGTTTTTATTTCATCCTTAATATCATTCTAGCAGCTTAGCTTAGCTTTGAAACCTTAACTGATATTCTACAATCTTCTAAACATCTATTTCTTATTGTGTATATAAAGATCTGTTGATGAGACACTTCATCTACATCTAAACAACAGCATCTCCATTATCTCCTCAATTAAGATTGAAAACATAGAATTTTCTTCTTTGTCAAGTCACCCACCTGACTGTTGTACAACCTGGCCTTCATGCATCCAACGAACATTGGCCTGTTTAGCCGCTCGAACTTTTACCATCAGCTCCACCTCACTGTGTTCAGGAATCTGGGTTGAACTTGCAGGGATGATGATTTCCGGTCCATGGTGGTCGTGATGGCGGTGACGCAACTCACTTGCAGAGTCTGTGGTTTCTTTGGTCACATGCCTTGCTGTAACTTCCACAATTTCTATTCTGCTGTCTGATGTGCTTGTTGTAACACTGAAATTTTAGGTGAGTGAAAATTAGAGACAAAGAAAGAAAATAACAAAACTGCATCATACAGCTTATAAGATGAAACAACATTTATTTCAATGCCACCTATAAAGATTGAACAAAGGGTCTCCAACTTACTAGGCTTACATTAAACCATTGAGCTAATGACATGTCACAAGCTGAGAGGACCAGTATGGAGTGTTCAAACACTGACATACATAATGTATGAGATGGTAAGGAGTCAACCAACTTTTGCAGCTGTACTTTAATCTTATATATACTAAAATAGCTGGTGGATTTCTTACCATCTCGTACACTTCGTATTTTAGTGCTAATTTGCTACACACTAGTCATTTATCTGATGAAGATGACCATGTAGTCCTCAAAATGTTGCACTTTAATCTTCTACTGGTTGTGTTATAAGAACTTCTATTCTAAAGTGTCCCCAATCCATTCCTTCATTGATACACCTTTAGATATTTGGGTGGGGGGTTCATTTCAACATAATGGTATTTAGACCCAGTACATTTCCCCATGCTTCACAATACCATGCTACACCGGGTAGTGTTTTTACACATACCTTGTTTCTTGTGATTGACTCAGTGTTTCGTTAAGCTTGCTGACAGAGGACTCAAGTTCCTCCAGTACCTGTACTGTAGACTCTACAATGTAAAACACCTCACTGTAGATATATATACAAAAAATTCCTCCAGAGTGTAATAAAAACTGACAGAATAGTTTGATTGGCATTGTGACTGTTCTGAAATTGGTAAAAATATATCATTTCATATTACTTGATATTAACTGAATTCATTCATTAATTATGAAATAATTATAAAAGAATCAAGACAGAAATTAGAAGTCAGCAAGCACTACAGTATTATTACATAAGTAATATATCCTAGTATATCATATGTACTGGGTAAAGATGAGGTTACATTTCCTATCAAACAATTCTAGAAGAGTTTGATCATTAATGAATAAAACACACACCAATCACACAAATGTTAGTTCTAATCATGTCACCTGTGATAAGCCCATGTTCGGTAATGTGCCCCACCCCTGAGGGTTGTTGCCAAAACTGACCACCCCTTAGGGTTGTTGCCAAAACTGACCACCCCTTAGGGTTGTTAACAAAACTGACCAATCCTTAGGGTTGTTAACAAAACTGACCAATACTTAGGGTTGTTGCCAAAACTGACAACAAACAAATCTGGTTGGGAACATGTATCCATCACTCATCACAGGTTAACATAATAGTCGTGAAGAAATTACAGAAGATTTATTCAAGCCTTTTATGACTAAAACTTTCTGAATCCATGAGTTATTCATGATTTTGTCCATATACAGTTAAAGTATCATCCACTAAACCCATTGATCAGAATGTAGTCATAAAGGACTTCAGAATATACTGATATTAGGATTCATGAAAAACACACAAAAGAAAAATTAAGGTTGAAATTATAAAGGTGATCTAATAAAGAGACTATATTGTCATCATGGTTGGACACTCCAAATGTTACTGGATATTTGTGTGTTGTAGTGAAATGGGGAAGGAATAAGACTGAGTCGTGTAAATTAATATAAAAATCAAACTGAAAACCACTAAGTTTTTTGTGATTCAATTATTAGTGAATCAAAACTACCGAGGAACCAATCAGATTTTAGATCAGTGTACTAATCTATGTTGTACGTTAGGATTGACGGGACGTCAGGAAAATCTTAGTTAACATAGATATACATCTAGTGTGACAAAAACCAAGTGGTAGTGATCGGTCAAGTCCATCCTCGAGCAGAGAAAGTGAAATGAACCCTTACTGTTTATGTTGGTAATATTGTCTGCGGCACCTTTGGACAATCTCTCCACCGATTGCTCACCTGCTGCCGACACAGATTCTGAAGTGACCTGAGTGACCTTGGCCTCTTCTTTCTTTACTGATACTTCCTGTTTGGAGACTGACTCAGATTTAGCCTGGACAACCTTGACCTCATCCTTAGTTACAGACACTTCCTGTGTGGCTGTTGTCTCTGACTTGGATTCAGCGACCTTTACTGACTCTGATGTTGACTCTGTTGCTAAGGCAACCTTTGATTCAACAGCTCCATCAACAACGTCTGGTTTAGCTTCTTCCTCTGTAAGGAAAAGTGAGAAAAAGTTAAATGATATAAACTTCCTTCAAAAATTCTAATATATTATGATAATTTAACGTTCATTTAAATATAACTTTTGAGAGAATATAAAGCATTTTTAACATTTCTTCTGTGAAAAAATACAAATTAATTCAAGATTGAAGAAAAGTTTTGATTTGTATCAGCTGAACATGATAAAAAGGTCATATTATTGTTATCAAAAAATGTAAACAAATATAATAGTTTGATACCTCTTGGAGCTGAAATAGATTCATATCACATAAAAAAAGTTAAGATGCAGGTAAAGGTGAGCACATACATAAGCATTCAAATCATACAATATATCAATATACATGCAAGGTAGATGAGCAATACAACAGCAACTTCTTTATCAGTTACAACAACCTTGACCTTTGGTAGGACAAATACCTTGACCTTTGTCAGACAATCAGACAGACCTTACCCAAATGGTCTCTAGAAACACACACTTCAAGTTTTAATTCTGTGTAATGAGTTTTTCAATTAAGGTCATATACAAACTAAACTATTTTTAGTAAAATAATTATCATCCTTGGCTTATTGACATTTCTGAAATCAATATGGTTCTGCTTAAGCACTTCTAGTACATGTACCTAGTTTAAACAGTCTTATGTTTTCAAGTGATCAATCCAGAGTCCAATATCAAGGTTTTCCTCATCAATGAGAAAATCATTTGTTCCAAATTTATCATCCAGAACAGCTGAATTTTGTTTTCAGCAGGTGACTTGGACCTTTTCTCATCGTCCCTCCTAGGGGACATAAAAAAGTACAAACTTTGTTTGAACATATATTCTCAAGTTTTGTGGAAGCAAGACATATATAGACAGATATCCTGCATGATGTCTCAATCCTTTAAATGTTATTTTTTATTTAGATTAAGGGAGTGGGGGAAGAGGAACTAAATGCACTGCTTTTGATTAATCTTGTGTTACCAATCATATCTGCACTGTTTTCAATCATATTGTTGTCATCATTATCCTAGTTACAACAACATCCGAAGTTAAAACAGAGCGTTTTAATTTTTCATAATTTCAGTTGCATGCATTGATGTGGAAATTACTGAAATATCATAATACTCTATAAACTACAAATGGTGCCATCCATTAAGAACAATATCTCACCAACAATAGTTCTAAAAACTACAAAAACTTACTTCATTCAAGTAAAACAAAGACAACAATAAACTGCGTACCTGTACGATAATTGTGCAGTAAAACACATTAAATAACACTCATTACCAACACCAATACAAACAGTACTAAATTCTTATGTTGTGACACTACAAACTGCTACAGATACTAAATAACATCATCATAACCACAACACCTCCACACCACTATACCACTGGCTTTCTCACCCAAGTCTTCAACAATCGTCTCTTCCAACATCTCTTTGTTGCTGCTATTGATTCCATCATTGGATCCATCAGTTCTGATGTCCCTACCATCCACTTCTATAATCCTATCATCAGGTCCCATGCTCCTACCATCCACTTCTATACTCCTATCATTAGGTCCCATGTCCCTATCATTAGGTCCTATGTCCCTATCGTCAGATTCCATGCTCTTATTGTCAAGTTCCATGCTCCTATCATCAAGTCCCATGCTCCTACCATCCAGTTCTATGTTCCTACCATCAGGTTCCATGTCCCTCTCATAAGGTCCTATGTTCCTATCATTAGGTCCCATGTTCCTATCATCAGATCCCATGTCAGGTACCCTCTCTTCATCTTTAAAAGATATATCACCATTAGGGCCTCCCTCTATGTATTCCCTGTCATTAACACCGGAGAGAGTTTGTGTGATACCTTCTTCAGATTCAGATGAGTATTCATAAGAATAAGATTCTTCACCCGAATCCTCATCAGCACCTGGGTTCATCAGAAAACTGAAGTTGATCGGTTTGACAGGAGACTCTGGGGTACTGGAACTCACACAGTTCTGATCTTGTCCTTCATTCTTTAAAGTCTGATCATCAAGAATGGCTTCCTTTAATTCCATGTTATTTGTAACTCCACTTATATATGTATCAGATTCACATTCGTTTTCAATCTCTGTGATCTCTTCTAACACAGTATGTAATTGGCTGTGATTTGACAAGGAGAAAAATTCTTCCTCGACAGATGAAGTAGTGTCCACTGAAGCATTCAGCTGTGGACATTCAGCATCTTCTCTACTGTTTGTGACTGATTGATCTATCTCTGGGTCATCATTTTCAGGACTCATCGTCAAGGTAACAACATATTCCTCCTGGTCATCGTCTGTTTGTGTGTTGGAGAGTTCATGTTGGGTGATAGACTTCTCATCATTAATAACATTATCAGCTGGAAATGTTATAAATATCATAATATTTAATGATTGATATTAATATACATCAAGTACAGTATTAATCAGGCAAGAAGCTAGCTCTACAATATATAATGCTATTTAGTAAAGTTATAAAGAAATTGTTATTTCATTGCCCTGTAGTAAGTCTACCCCTTAACTATAAGTAAGAAGTAGAGTACTGCCACTGGGGATCTTACAATAAGCCCACCCCTTCACTTTGAGTAAGAGGTAGTGTACTGCCCCTGGGGATCTTACAATTAGCCCACACCTTCACTTTGAGTAAGAAGTAGAGTACTGTCCCTGGGGATCTTACAATTAGCCCACCCCTTCACTTTGAGTAAGAAGTAGAGTACTGCCCCTGGGGATCTTACAATTAGCCCACCCCTTCACTTTGAGTAAGAAGTAGAGTACTGCCCCCTGGGGATCTTACAATAAGCCCACCCCTTCACTTTGAGTAAGAGGTAGTGTACTGCCCCTGGGGATCTTACAATTAACCCACCCCTTAACTATAAGTAAGAAGTAGAATACTGTCCCTGGGGATCTTACAATTATCCCACCCCTTTACTTTGAGTAAGAAGTAGAGTACTGCCCCGGGTATTCTTGTTATAAGACCACTCTATTACTTGAGTATTCTCTTGAGATCTTGTTATAAGTCCATCCTTGTCTTTAAGTAAGAAGTAATGTACTGCCCCTGGGATCTTGTAATAAGTCTATCCTTTGACTCTGAGTAGGACATTTACTGCCCCCTGGGATCCTGTAAAAGGTCATCCCTTGACTTCAAGAAAAAAAGTAGAGTATAGCACCTGATATCCCCTTACTTCAGCCCGTCCCTTGATTTTAAGTATGAAGTAGTGTACTGCCTCTAGGATTCCCTAATAAGCCCACCTTTGAATTTGAATGAGAAGTAACATGTTTTCCCCCTTGGATAATAAAGACTATCTGATTTTTTCTAAAGACAATCAGGTAGAGTTAAAATCAAACATAAAACATTAAAGTATTACAATGTCTGATGTAACACAATAAACAGGTGTTCTATAGTTACTGACATTAAAAACTGATATCAATATGTTTATCATTATTTAGTGAATTTAAGTACAAAATCCACTTCTCTGTGTACCCCATATTACACACCAAAACAGTTACATGCAAAACAATTCAAACAAACATTTTCACCTGAATCACTACTTCTACATACGAAAGACGAAGACAGCCTTATAGACAATTTTAGTGCTAGTTTATTATCAATTGAAGACCTCCCCCACAGTGAAACATACCACATTTACAGAACATTGGCACAGCCTCAAAGAATATGTCAGTAACCCAACAGCATTATAATGACAAGTGTACATCCGCAGGACCCATATAGTGAGACTTAAACCCCTCCCACACAACACTTAACAGTACAACTCCCAACCCCTTCCCACACAACACTTAACAGTACAACTCCCAATCCCCTCCTACACAACACTTAACAGTACAAATCCCAACCCCTTCCCACACAACACTTAACAGTACAACTCCCGTTCCCCTCCTACACAACACTTAACAGTACAACTCCCAACCCCCTCCCACACAACACTTAACACTAAAACTCCCAACCCCCTCCCACACAACACTTAACACTAAAACTCCCAACCCCCTCCCACACAACACTTAACACTTCAACTCCCAACCCCTCCCCACAACACTTAACACTAAAACTCCCAACCCCCTCCCACACAACACTTAACACTTCAACTCCCAACCCCTCCCCCACAACACTTAACACTAAAACTCCCAACCCCCTCCCACACAACACTTAACACTTCAACTCCCAACCCCTCCCCCACAACACTTAACACTAAAACTCCCAACCCCCTCCCCCACAACACTTAACACTAAAACTCCCAACCCCCTCCCACACAACACTTAACATAACAACATGTATACATCCACAGGACCCATATAGTGAGACTTCAACTCCCAACCCCCTCCCCCACAACACTTAACACTAAAACTCCCAACCCCCTCCCACACAACACTTAACATAACAACATGTATACATCTGCAGGACCCATATAGTGTGACTTCAACTCCTAACCCCTCCCACACAACACTTAACAGTACAACTCCCAACCCCTTCCCACACAACACTTAACAGTACAACTCCCAATCCCCTCCTACACAACACTTAACAGCACAACTCCCAACCCCTTCCCACACAACACTTAACATAACAACTCCCAACCCCATCCCACACAACACTTAACATTACAACTCCTAACCCCCTCCCACACAACACTTAACAGTACAACTCCTAACCCCTCAAACACAACACTTAACAGTACAACTCCAAACCCCTTTCCACACAACACTTAACATTACAACTCCTAACCCCCTCCCACACAACACTTAACAGTACAACTCCCAACCCCCTCCCACACAACACTTAACAGTACAACTCCCAATCCCCTCCTACACAACACTTAACAGCACAACTCCCAACCCTCTCCCACACAACACTTAACATAACAACTCCCAACCCCCTCCCACACAACAATTAACATTACAACTCCTAACCCCCTCCCACACAACACTTAACAGTACAACTCCTAACCCCTCAAACACAACATTTAACATTACAACTCCAAACCCCTTTCCACACAACACTTAACATTACAACTCCTAACCCCCTCCCACACAAGACTTAACAGAACAACTCCCAACCCCTTCCCACACAACACTTAACAGTACAACTCCCAATCCCCTCCTACACAACACTTAACAGCACAACTCCCAACCCCCTCCCACACAACACTTAACAGTACAACTCCTAACCCCTCAAACACAACACTTAACATTACAACTCCCAACCCCCTCCCACACAACACTTAACATTACAACTCCTAACCCCATCCCACACAACACTTAACATTACAACTCCCAACCCCTCCAACACAACACTTAACATTACAACTCCCAACCCCCTCCCACACAACACTTAACATTACAACTCCCAACCCCTCCAACACAACACTTAACATTACAACTCCCAACCCCCTCCCACTCCCACACAACACTTAACAGTACAACTCCCAACCCCCTCCCACACAACACTTAACATTACAACAAATATACACCAGCAGGACACATACAATTAATGTGTTTAGACTAACTACATGACATGGCTTTTTACTCAGTAAATACATAAATTTTCTGTAACAATAACAAAATTTAATACAAAACAATTTAATTCACAGGAGGAGTTGATTACCTCTGCTACAAAGACTTCACACACACTTGTGTTCTTTAAAATTTACGATTACACCTGGCTGTGTTAATACTGATATATACACATACATAAAACATTAACAACCAAACATGAAAAGCCAATCTTCTTAGCTGTGAAATTGATCTAGAATTAACATAATGCAAAATTTTAAGGAGTGAAGCAAAACACAGCTGACTATAACTGTTGCAGATCAGCTAATGATCTGAAGCTTGATAAACATCAGTTGTGTTTATCAATTGCAGGTGATTAAATTTACATATATATACGGTATGACTAACAAAAGACAAACTTTGGGAGGCTGATCTATATCATATGGTTAGAGTAAAAAAGCCAATGCCAGATTAACATTCATGAAAAAACAACTACATGTAATTGAAAATGAAAGCTTCTCTATTTCCTGGACACCACTGTAAGCCTAGCATATTTCACTCATATCAATTATACAGCATTTTACTGGAAATAAGGCTCAAAGTATATTTTCATGAAAGAGAAGGTGAAACTTGTATTTCTCAGTAAGATCCTTTCTTCAAACTAAAATTTCACCATATAATTCTTAAACGAATCATCACCTTATAATTAATAAAAATCCAGACTTGAGCATTTATATTTCCGATACCATACAGCATAGCCTTACTCAAGTCTGCAATTATAATAAGTTGAGATTTAAATCAAGCACATGTACCTGCTTTCATAGCGATAGTGGGCTTGATATTAAACATGTCCTTATACAAGTAAAATGCAGTATAGCTGATATGTGTGATTAAGGATATATACCACCTAAGACAATATCTGTGATTTGCATATATCTCCCTCCATGATACATGCCACTTTGTGACTTTTTACTATACCTGTGAGTTAACTGTGTAAGATTTGTCTCCCTTAATGATAAGCATCATTCCTTGGACATTATACCAGTAATCATGTAAGATTTATCTCCCTTGATGAAACATATGACCTCATGTGACCTTTAACATTATACATGTCATTCTTTTAAGCTAGATTTATCTCCCTTTCTTTTTCAACAATATCACTTCCTAATTGATATGAATAGTAATTGATTCCAATATTCCTATTTATTTTCAATTTCATGTTTCTGATTTCCCTCTCCTTTGCATTAGTCTATCCATTAGTATGTGATAGCTTCTTAAGGATATATGCTACCTTACATTAAAAATGTGCAAGAGTTATCTCTCTTTGAAAACTTCAGTATAATTCAATATATAATACTGATGATAATATAAATTATGTCTACTAGCTGTTTAATGAATTATCTAGATTTCCAATCTTCACACCTAAAAATGCAATTTTTTTGCTATAATTTTGCATTTAAGAGTTTGTAAAAGCAAACATTTCTATGAAAGTAATAACTGACACAACATACCCATCTATCTCATTATAGCAAAATAAAACACTTTCAACAAATCAGAAAAACAAACACTTCACAGGTATTCTTATAACTGAATAGGAAGGAGACAGACATCACAGTGAGGTAGTATATATCCTTCAGCTGACATCTATAACAACTGGTTCCAAGGACGAGCAGCACACCAGGGTAGACAGCAAAGCTGTGCTGCGGACAGGCCAATAGCAGTGTTACCTATGAAAAGGGCGTGTCCTTCAGCCAATATCGTTATATCCTTAACATACGTGTCCCATTTGTAACTCTCTGTAAGATGTTACACAACATGTTATAATGCCACGCCCACCATGCCAAATCATCCAATCACTAACTGTGTTATATCAGTTATCATTCCTGTCAGTATGAGAACTTGATCTAACAGTTAATTTAAACAATGCCATTAAAATATTACGTAAAAATACATGTCAGTGAAACTCAAAACAGGAAACCAATTATTCTAAAGCTGAACAAAAATCAGATAACCCGTGTTACTTAAACAAGATCAGTACTACATGCTGCGAGTCATTTAAAAATCTAGTTTAATAGAAAGAAAGAAAAGAGAGAGAACATATAATCTTCTATTTACCTACAAACAATTAAGAATAATGCATTAAGTCTATAATCTACAATCTGCGGTCTTTATCAAAACTACTTCCATGCTTTCCGAGTTAATTAATTAATTAATCAGAGTGACTGTGATCTAATTGTGTCTCTTTAGATTTTTTCTCCTTTAGAAAGTGAGTCCCGAGAAAGTGAACATGATGCATGTGTCCCTCTGACCCAAGGTCCAGTTTTACCTTTCCGCTTTTGTTCATCGGGCAGGAACACGTCATCCTCATCCTCAGCAGCAAACTTGCTGCCTCCGTCTGATAATGGAGTCCATCTACCCTTAACACCCTTTTCTAGTAAACCAGGCAAGACGAATTTCAAAAGATGTTAGCCAGACACACAATCGATATTTCATCTAAAACTTAAGCCTTTATTTATGAATCAGTCTCCAGGATAATGTTAATTAATATGAATACAAACAAATCTGTATACATGTAAATGTTTATAAGCAAATATAATACAGAATACTTCAGATATTGTTATGCAGCATTTTAATAATCCTTCAAAATAAAATCACTCCAAAAAATCCAATAAAACTTGGCAAACTAAACCAGCGCAGAATAAAGTCATCATACAGTTGGGATTCCTCAATGAAATCTATGTTAAGTAGCACTTACAGTAGCAGTAACTACATCCAGATATATCGGTATACAAAGTAGCAGTAAGTAGAGAGGTATATTACTATGTATATAGCGATTCATTGAGGAATATCAGCAGAAGAATTCAATAAATCAGGGAATGCTTGTAAAGAATACTTTTTTCTCTCTCTCGTAAAATACTTTTTTCAATATTCAATTTATTTCTGATATTGACGTAAATGTTTTATTGCCTGAAATCTCATTGCTGTATCGTTTTACAAATGTTCCCTGATCTATTTCGATGAATTCTATTGTTACAAAAAACCACACAACACCAAATGAGAGTTTCCTTGCTTGTGATGTGAAATACTTGTAAGAGTCGAGATTACGGCCGAAAAGTCTGAACTTTACCAATATGTGTGTATATTTGTATATAACATGACTTCACAAACACGATGGTTGACATAACGAGTATCTATAGTCAATGAGAGCTTATTAGATATTTCACAAACACAAACAGAAAACTATCTTTGCCTAGTTGTTCAAAGTAATCTTGAGTTAAGGAACAAATCATTTTAAACTGATGTACCTCTTTTTTGTTTTTTTTGCTTTTTGGTTTTTTTTTGGCCAAATGACATTTTAATCCTTTTTTCATACAATCCTTTCTTTGAATTGCAACATTTTCAAAAGTTTCTTAGTTATTCTGCCATTCAGTTATTTTAATTTGAACACCTAAGCAGTATTACACCGTATGCTGTACAGATCAAGGAACTGAGTCTTACCCTCTACATTAAGGTCACCCGAGGTGTGCTCCTCTCCGTCCTCGTTCTTGGCTGAGCAGGTGTAAGTGGCACGATCATCAAACTGGACACCGGTGATTGTCAGGCTTGTGTCTGTCTTGGTTACTACAATCTTGATCCTGTCTGTGTTTGAAAGAACACTGTCTCCCTTTTTCCTAGACAAGAAACAATGGGATGTAGATTAAATAACACTTCTACTTAGCAGCATAACCTTGCTTGTATAGATTTTATTATATACAGTTATCATCTTTCAGATTATGTCTAGTCACTCAGCCTCAGCAAATATTTGTTCCCATGTTTTTTTTTTTATTTTATCTGAAAATGCAACACACTTTATGTATGACATAATTATCATGTCTGTATGTAATTTTCAACTATATGTCTTGCAGTATCAAAGACAGGAAAATGAATAATTATAACTTACCCTGTAATAAGCCCACAGGCTGAAAAAAGGACTTTTGATTCAAAAAGTTACAGAGTGGGCTTATCACTGGACAATGTACTTATTTCTAAGATCCACATATTACCATACAGACACAGGCTTCATGTTATTGGATAACTAGTGTAAAGTCACATGATGTGTCACATGATATATACCAAGTAAAGGTGGCTGGGGATTCTGAAGTGAGGATACACTTAAAGACAGCTACACCTCCGACAGGTACAGTCTGACTCGCAGCCATATCTGTGAACACTGGCGGGCGCTTAGGCTCTGTAACATAAAACAATAGCAACACCTTCAGCTCCTCACTTTACAGGCATGAGTACAATATTTGCATTTACTTTAGGTATCGTAAATTTCTGCGTATAATGCACACTTTTTTAAGCTAAAACTGTCGTGTCAAAAAGGGGGTGTGCACTATATGCAGGAACATGCCATTCTTGGGGTTATCATTCCCGAGTTCTGCGTCCCCCATATTGGACTTCCTCCCTTCACATAGTTATATTTAAGAGTCATCGGTCATATATGATAGTTTGGTGATAAAAACAACAAAAAAATTAAATTAATTTATTTATTTCACTAAGTTATGTGTATGAGAGTAGGTGCGTATCCACGCATGAGCTTCAATTCAATGGCAAGTGTTTCACATTACATTTCTTGTTTTATTTTCCTACTTATGACTGTTTATCTAAATAAAAGATATTGTTAGTGTATAAAATGTTTTTATAAATTTATACCTTATTCATTACTGTCACTCCTTGCTATAAGACATGTAAACAACTGATGAAAATACAGTCAACCTTTAATGCACAATGTCTCAGTTCATAGAAACATGGCTAAGTCAAACCATCAGATATGTCAAACACTCCATTTTGTCCTGTTGACTTAGACATATCCATGTTTTACTGTAATTACTTTTGACACTAACTATTAAATCCCTTCTAGGACACCCATCTTGTAACTTTGAGTAACTATTAAACCTTTTTTGATAAACTTACTTGTGACTTTAAGGGACGTCTCACTCTTTTTGCTTCCTATGGCAGAATCTGCTACACACACATAACTTCCAGCATCTGTCAAACTGACACTGGTGAAGACAAGAGCAGCAAGGCCTGTACTTGGTGTGAACTTCAGCTTCATATTACTTGTGTCCATGAGTTTTTCCTTCTTTCCTTCCTTGAACCTGCCATCAATAATGTAATCAGACAGTGAAACTTGTTTATAAATCTACTTTGAATTTCTGTAACCATTCTTATTTTCGAGGCACCTTAATTTTTCCTTTTCCTGAGGATGACAAATAAATCTAGAGAATATTATAAATACATTGGAACTGAGGTTAGAAAAAGTATAGCATATCTGATTTTTCAGAGCTTCCATAAGAAATATTTCCTTTTGCTTGAAGCTTCTGGATAAACTGTAAATCCTTTTTCCTGCAAGTTTGAGGTAAAGTCATCAATCTTACTCTGTTTTAGTAACAGCAAAAAATTGAACCAACAAAAAATAAAACAACTTTTACAGAATTCTAAGTTAGAAGGCACAATACAGCATACAGTAGTATAATTAATGTGTATGTACATGTATATATATTCAGAGATTTGATGAATTTCTAATACACTATCATTATTATTGTGTATTTACATGTATGTTGTCGTAATCTGACTGAAGTATTTCTGTCAATGGATTACAATAGATACAATAATACTATATAGTTGTAAACCGTCTCTATTTCACAGAGAGACTCCGAATGTCTGGCCTGTAATTTAAACAAGATAAAGGAAAATAAATTTTCTAAATCATCCATAATTTCAAAATCCAAATTAGTCCCCTAAGAACGTCACTACAGTATATTTTTATTTTTAGAAAATGGTAATTTAGTTTGTCAAAAGGAGATCTATAGATGTAGTTTTGTTTGCCAATGTTCAATCTAGCTGTTATAATTTTATAGTGCTGTTAGATCAGGGTATGACTGTATCGGTGCAGTGAGTAGTGTTGTCTTCTAAGTATAAAACAAGGGTTTTCATTACAGTGAAATACATCATACACAAAATAATTCAAATGTATAGAAAGTCTTTCTAGAATGATACACTGACTCTGGGTATGAAACCACGTACCAGGAGACATCAGGACATGGGTTACCATCAACAACACAAGACAGTGTGACATCCTTGTCCCCTACGAGGGCATTGTAAGCCTCGTTGAGCTCCTTGGAGAACTTGGGCTTGATCTCTGGCACTGCCAAATTTGATAAGATATCAGTTATACATAGTGTAATATACTCTAAGATAGCAATCACTGAAATTTATCTTCATGGTTGTGTATTGTAACTATTCTTTAAATACAAAAAAATGTACAGTTGGTATTGTTTGCAGCAGGTACAATTTTGCCATCAGTAAAGATAACATTAAAATTAAATCCATGGATACAGATTGATATAGAAATGCATGAATTTTATTTCCAAAAGCGAACCCATGAAATGTTACCCCTAAGAAGTTAACATTGAGTGCTGTTTTACAACTCACAGAACATTGAAAAGGGGAAAACGAAATTTATCAAAACTATTATTTTAACTTTAAACTGCACAGCCAAAACAAATGTGATAACTGCATTTAATATTTTAGCAGATTATTCTTAAAACATTAACCTCATATAAAGAAATTGGGACTTACCCAAATTCATCAAGATTTTGCAAGAAATCTCAATAGTAAAATATGATAAGAATTTTTTTCAAAAGTTATAACAAAATGTATTGTGTCATTGTATTACCATTCCACTACCAGCAATTATATAACTTCCCAGTGTTAATCAAACAAAAGGACAACTAAGCACCTTCAACCATGCTATGATATCGTTTACAGTTTTAACGTTCGACATTAAACACATTTTAAAGTCTTCAGGAGCAGACATACAAATTATATACAGATGCTTTGTTCATGCTATAACATTACAACTGAGCCAACACAGTACATATGATTAAGCCACAGTAAACAGTAAAAAAATACACAGTTTCCACAATGAACTAAGCAATAACAAGACTTTTAGACAAGTTCATACAGTTGGGAACAAAACATTGATTAATATGTACATCAAACATAGCAACACAATAGCAGACAAAGAATAATATAATCAGTAAATCACATGATAGTTTGTTGGATGCTGATTGGCTGACTAAGGTACACTCTCAAGTAACTGTTCCTGAATTGCTGCATGTTATCATGGTATCACCATAACAACACTGTAAGTGGCTTGATATAGGCTTTTTTTCTGATGACTTCACTCAATTACAACCTGACAATTCTGGCAACAAGCATTGCTCAAGATCAATTCAGAATGACAAAATCACTTTTTTTAGGTTTTGTTTTTGCAGTTTTAACATTTTCAACTCACTTATGTCAGTTTGAAATATTTGAAAGATTTCAAACAAGGCTTTCAATTATGACAAGGGAGATAACTCTGTACACATAGGCTACATATGATGGTAGTCACGTCTTCCATGTTTTGAAGACATTTCTTCAAAGAAAACAAATATACTGACATCAGCAAACCTTCCAAGGCAGAAAATGAAATAAAACAGCTCTTACTTGCAGGTAGGAGAAAGATAAGTCACACATGAGCAAGCATAGCTCATAAATTTCTATACAACTAGGTTAAATAAAAGATAAACAACATACACAGTCAAATACAATAATACATTCAGGATTACTAGTATTGTATATACACTACAGGGAGAAAACAAATATAACAGCAATTTGTATATTCACCAGAAACATTTCCTATGTACATAGCATTCCAATTTTATAAACAAGATTAACAGTGAAACTGATGAAAACACAATAAAAACTACTTTAATTTGACACTAAATTTTATCAAAGGGCAATAACTCTGTCATTATGGGGCTGTGGGCCCTAACATTGGTACCCAACACATTGTCTTTGTATGATCAATGTACACACAAACTTTCATTTTCCTAGCTTTAATGAAAGCAAAGTTACCCTTTTGACACAAAATTTTCACAAAGGGCAGTAACTCTGTAATCAAGGGGTCACAGGGCCTGAATTTGATGCACTGAACATCCTCTTAGTATGACCAACGCAACACAGTTTCATTATCCTTGCTCAAGTCATGAAATGACTGGTGGACATAAGGACAGACAAAGAGGTGACTATTTGCTTCCCTGCAAATTTTCCGAGAGCATAAATACATGACAGAAAAATAATAAATTGGCAATGAAATAATGATAAAAAGTTAAAGTGATGAATTAAATATACACTATTAACAGCATAGATATTGAACATAAAAAGCACAAATGATGACAAAAGGAGGTTAGAATTGCCAGATTAGGAGAACAACACACAGGATAACGGGAAAAATGTCACTAACGCATTCCATCATTACCAGTGACTGAAGACATTCTTTCTACCAGAGGTAAAATGGACTCCTAGCGTCCAACAAAGGTGTTACCGCGTGGTCTGGTGATTGGAATGGTAGCATTCAAGCAACCATGTAGACAGCCTTTGAGAACCTTTATCATATTTATTGGTAAGAAAAAGTTTGGGACCATCACAAGGTAAGGTCAGATGTTATTATGCAGTGAGAAATACAGATTCCAATAGAAAATTCTGGTACATTCTTAAATAAAAAAAAGATAAATAAAATTATTTCAGTGTGGATTTCTACGTTTACCAATGAGATAGAAATTGTACATCATCCTTTAGTGAGAGAAAAATCTTGTCAATAAAAATAAAAATAAAAATTAGGAATTTATTACAGCACAGATTTCTGAATTTACCAATGAGATAGATGTTGTGCGTCATCCTTCAGTGATAGAAAATTATCATAGTAATATACACAATGAGACAAATCTTTATTGATCAAAGAACAATTATAAAACTATTGAATTGAGAATATATGTATTTGCTTAGAGCAACCAAGGAGTATTTTTTAACTGAATCTTTATCAATGATGCAATAATTAATTAATAATTGATTGACTTAAGATAGGGTTCTTGACAATTAAACAGAGAAACTTTGATTCCACACTGGTCTTATTGAAGGACAAATTTATATAACATTTCGTGAATGTGACATGTGGACAAATATATATACTATATACATACTTAACACTGCCAGTGCAATGTTATTATAAATTTCAGTAGGTAAATTAAAAGATTTGTATAATTGGCCAAATTGGAAATATTTTCAGATTTACAATACCAGTAAGGTCGAATAAAAATCATAGTAACCTGAAATAACTTTACAGTATTAAAGAATTAAAACATAAGGAATATACTTATACTAAAAACACTGCCTCTGGCTCTACAAAAAGTAAACCTATTTGTTGAATGTACCAATAATTTTCCAGGGTAGGAAATAACAGAAAACGTTTGTTTCTGCATAATTAAAGGGATTTTGTTTTTGTGGCAATACTTGGATCAAATCAGGGCGGTACACCTTTGTTGTCGCTCACCTTGATGTGACGTGATGAACGCCTGATTGGTCGTGGGAGACAAACATTGCTTACTCTTGACTGTTAAGGTTGCCATAGACTTCCCAGTGCCAGCAGACGACACAGCAACACACTCGTAGTTCCCGCTGTCAGCACAGGACAACGTTTTAAAGGTCAATGTGGCCGCCCCCTTCTCAGAGTCGTATGTCATACTGATGTTGTCGTTTGCCTCTAATTTCTCTCCATTCTTAATCCTGTAAGTTAAGTAACAATTAACATAGGTAGAATTAAGCCCATTTGTTTTATTTGAACTACATGATATTGATGATGTCATGTGTTTTATAATGATATATAATCTTCAGAATGCACAAGATATCTTGTTATGACCATTTATTCAAAAGGAATAGCCATTAAATACATAAAATATTTATCTGAAGAAACTTTTGTCATTTTTCGTGGCTATAAATAAACCACAAAAGTAAAATGCAATGAAGAATGCTTCAGATGAAGTATATAATGTGTATATTTACGGGTACTGACGTAAGTTTTACCTTTGATGTCTAGCTTTTACCACATAAAATATCCACAAACATTTCCTTTTATCTTGTCAACTTTAAAAACACTGATTTACCAAGATACTTCTGGACGAGGATTGCCTTCCACAGAACATGTCAGTGAAAAATTCTCTTCTCCTTCCATCTTGTTGTTTTCTTTTGGAAGAGGTGTTGAAAAGGATGGTTTCTTTTCTGGCTCTAAAGTGATTTAAATACACATTAAGTTTTTTTTATAAATATTTAGTATCAGAAAACAAGTTCAATTTATCCTAGTGAAACAAATCAGCATATCAAATAACTTGATTAATAGGTATAATTTAGATATATCAGTAGGAAAGATAACCCTAATACGAAAGTCTAATTTTATGAGGACTGGCAGGTATGGTTGGTAAAATAAGATGTAGCATACTTCAAGAGGGGAGATAACTCTAACTTAAATCACAAATATAATCATATGTCCTTCATTAAAACAAGTAATTGATTTATTGCAAAATATCAGTAGGGTAGACAACTCTAATACGAAAGTCATATTTTATGAGGACCAGCAGGTATCGTTGGTAAAATAAAATGTAGCATACTTCAAAAGGGGAGATAACTCTAACTTAAATCACAAATATAATTTGCACAGTAAAATATTATGTAGGAGAGTTATCACCAGGGGCTTGTTTGTTTATATAGACAAACCTGTTCATCAGCACTTATAATTGAAAAATGAAGCCAGTAATTAGGATGGACCTGCAAATATATATTTCAGGCCTCAATCAGCTTAGTTCAAGCTTTTCAGAAAGCAAACTAAGATCAGTAGGTTTTCTCATATTTCACAAATTACCCTGGTAAAATTAATCAGATTGATAAATGAAACCTGTTTTTACACTCACTCTTGACAGCTATGGTGGTACTGGAGGTTGTTTTTCCGATGGTTGATGTTGCCACACATTCATATTTCCCAGAATCCTTCACACTAACTCCATTGAAAACCAAGCTTGCTGATCCAGTCTCGGCATTCCAGCCAAAAGAAATGTTTCCTCCTGCTTCCAAAGGCTTGCCATCCTTTAACCTGTACACAGAATAATGGCTATCAGCTATACTGTAGTGTAGAATTTGACTTATTATAGCGAATCAAAGGGATGTTATATATCCCTATTTATGTTCGTTTTGACAAAGCATGCTAATTTTGATACGTACAAGGTATCACAGATGATATGATAACCTTTGCACCACAATGTAAAATACTAAATGTAGAGGGAAATGTAGAAGGATTTTGTATGTGACATGAGCTGGTCTGTCCATAAGATATGTATGTTAAATGTCTAAATTATTACCTCATATCGTAAATGAGGAAAGGTTGAAACTTGTGTAGTCAAAGTAGGTAGGTCACTTTACCAAAGTTTTACATTATGTAGGTCAAAGGTCAAAGGTTATGAAATGCAGCATGTAGAGCAGTTACATAAAAAATTTGATAAATTTCTATCAATTATTTTTGGTAACAGTGACCTACTTTTGACCACAGAGGATGGAATTGCATGCTAATAAAGATACGAAAAATTGTCATAGAGTTGGTAAGTAGGTATATGGCTTATACATCATTTGTAAAAATACTGTTGTGTTACCATGACACTTCTGGCACAGGGTTCCCATCGACCTTAAAGGTCAGCGTGATGGTCTCCTTGGTTTCAATCAAGTTGTACTCTTTGTCTAATGGCTGGACAACAGCTGGTTTCTTCTCTGGTTCTACAAGGTAATAATACATGACGGTAATGACAAAACAACAATAATCATGTCAGGTTCTCAGATGAGATAAACAGCAATGGAACTATTAGGCCTTCTAAACTCAGCATCAAACACATCTAACTTCCTATCTTACAAGGGTTTCGAATATTAGGTTTTCTTTTCTAAATGGTCAAAATAGTTGTTACAAAATCACATAATATTTTGAAATTTCATTTAAAAAAATGTACACCTGAGATCTAATATTAGTTGTTGTATTTTTCTGAGGTTCTGAGCATAACACAATGCTTTAACATTAACATGGAGGTGTTGCCAACAACAATGTAAAGTAACACTTTAGTTAAGCTTCTGCTTTTTTGTCACAGGAGGACTCCGCCAAATTCCCTTTGTATTTACAAAGGAGCAACAAAAATCTCTATTTCCTTGTGACTTACACAAAACATGACTATTGGGGAAATTTCTGAAAAGTTATATCTAAATATCTAAATTGAGATTTACTGTTATATCACAGCACATAAAAGGTGTGTTCAAATTAAGACTTAAGGACTTAAGTGAGTCAATGAATCATCTACTAACTCAAATTAGAGTCAACTCTGGCAATACACATTCAATTGAAAAAGAGTCAAAGAGGCAATTATTACTCAAAAAGAGCAGAAAACATATACTAAAAAATTTCAATAGAGATTTTAAGAGATTAATCATATAAATTGATACATACCTGCAGTTTTCAGAGAACTGAAACTTTTTCATTCATAAATAAAGTGTTTTATGTGTGATATGTGCATTTGTATTTTAAAGGAGTCACAGTTTCATCACTGAATATGACAAGGGCCATCAGAGATGAGTTTTGCTCCTTCATTGGGACAAAATTTAAGTATGAAAATAACAAAGGGCAAAAAGAGAGTCTGGTTTCTTGTTCACTGCATTCCTACTTGTTTGATGTCTATCTACCTATAAAGTTTCATGTTGATACCTCTTACAGTTTTAGTGTTATGCTCTAGACAAAATTTGGCAACTATGTGCTCTCTCTTCGGGAAGCATAATTAGACAGTATATGTCATTGTTTGTGTCAAAGTCTTGAGTTTTATAAGACGAGCACATCATTAAAGCTAACAAACCCTGTATGACAGTATACTGTGGCCCATCAGTACTCACTTTTCACCTTGAGAGTAGTAGAGGTACTAGTACTACCAAGTGGTGACGTGGCCACACACTGGTAGTCACCAGAGTCCTGATACGTTGGCTGTTTGAACACCAGGGCGGCGTTGCCAGATGTGGCATTCCACTCGATTTTGATGGAATCACTTGATTTTATTGTCTTCCCACCTTTTGACCTAGTTTTCCCGTACAAAAGAGTTAACGTGATACTTGATGGTTGACAGCATTTTTTTTCTAATCTTTATTATGTCAAGAAATGATACCAATAACCTAATATGTTGCATGTTAATTTTCAAAATTTGAATTCAATCAGAAAATACAATTATGTTATTAAAATCAGACTGCTTATAAAGTAAAAAAACTTGACAAGTTTTGAACTATTCAACCACATATTAAATACAGAATGTAGATATATAACAGAAAATACAAAAAACGAAAATCAAAGCCAATCTTGATCCAAACAAAATAAAACAAATGAAACAAATCATATTTGAAATGAACTCAGTAATAAAGTATTCTAAAACATTCATCAGGAAATTTTCAATACAGCCAGAGGTATAAGGAAACAACGAGTAAAGAAAGAAAAAACAAAAAGGGATAAAGAGAAAGCCAAAAAATGAACAGAAACATAACAACTTATCTCCCCTTAACTAAGATGATGCGAGCTACAAAAACACTACAGCACAACTTCTAGACAATGAAAGCAGATGTAAAGCAAATCAAATGCATAGAAAGCAAATAAAAAGCAGAAACAGGTTCTCTAAATACACTTCTGTGTGATCAGAAGATCAAACTGAATAAAACTAAAGAAATAAAGTAATCAACTAAAACCAACAAGCAGAGATGTACAGGTCTCAGGGTACATATATCATACCAGGTAACTTCAGGGGCAGGTTTTCCTGTCACCGTACAAACAAGACGTACATTCTTGTCACCCGCTTTACACGTGTAACTCTTCTCTAACGGCTTTAAGATGGTAGGTGGTTCTGAAATGAATACCCAAACCACCAATCAAACAGGAGACAGTTTCATTTTGTCCGTCCTCTGATCCTTGCGACTCATCAGTATCTTGTTCAAGCATTCACACATCCTAATAGTTTACACACAGTAGTGTAGCAATAATCCAATCAGATTCCTGAGGTACATTTTGTTAATTATAAAGACAGCAAGTTTTATTCTTTTCAAATAAATGGGACAATACTATATCATGGTCCAGTCTGTCCTCCAGAATTTCATGAGTAGCCACTGGTAAACTTTTTTAAACTCAAACAAATTGTTTGTTCAATTTTTCTTTTAATTTTGTTTCCCATTATAAAAGTTGATGTACTGTAGTGTGTATGTGCTGTGACATGTATCGTTCAGTTGCAATGTCATATCAGCAGTTTAATGTAGCAATCCCATCCAGCTGCCTGATAACAATACAGGTAGAAATATTTCAGAATTGGACTTCTGCAGTATTATAGCATCACTTACTATCAATATTAAGTGTCGTGTGAGAGTTTGTGGTACCGACAGGTGACGTAGCCACACACTGGTAGTCACCAGAATCCTCACACTTCGGCTGTTTGAACACCAGGGCGGCGCTACCTGTATCCGGGTCCCATTCCATCTTTACATTATCACCAGGAATGACCTCTTTCCCATCTTTTAACCTTTTTTGAGTAAATTTTACCATCATAGTCTTATTCACATTTTCTGAGACAAACTCTTATTCATATTGTTAAATATTTTCCTGTTAACACAGATCTGTTGTTTATCTCTATGATAAAGATTTATGGAGAACTGATGAAAGTTTATCAATAAAAATGATCACTTAAGATCAAAGATACCAAAATTCAGTCACATCGAAGAAAGCATGTAGATATATATGATCTATTGTAAATGAAGAGATCCATTCATTAAAGACATGAAAATCGATGAAAAATCAAAATCACTCTGTTAAGTAAAGTATATAGAACAGAAAATATCATTATCACACAGTAACATGCTATACCTGAACTGTTCGACCATCAAAGTTCAGGTCTCATTAGTATTTACACAGACATACAAAGTTGTATCTTTGATGGCAAGCATGGTATCACATATTGCATCAGTCAGAATTGTTATAAACAATGCCATCCATACAGACAACACTGATACAAATTATGTTGGGTTACTGGCAATGTCTTTACATCACAAAATGTTAGACACCTAGAAATAGGGATACAGATGGAATCAAATTACTGATTCTATCATAGTTTTAAGGATTTTTTTAAATCTGACATATCAGTGACAATACCAAAAGCACACATAATACGACACGGTTAAAACTCCCAGACACAACATGTTGGACAAAAAGCCATGAAAAACTGACAAAATACATGTAAAGCAGTATCATTCCCAGAAGCATTGATCATTGAAAAAAGGAAGTACTACCAGAAACAGGCGTAACTCAACAATCAACAGAAAAAGCACGGTTCATGTTTATAGATCACCAAATAAAAGCTACCAGAAACTAACAAACTTGTAAAAGTTGACGAACAATTCTTTCTAAAAGAACCACACATACATAAACAAACATTCGCATCTGCACAATTTAACAAATTATATCTACTATATATATATACACACACACAAGCCAGGCATTAGAATCAGACAGATTTATGTATGATACCATGTGATATCAGGGGTAGGGTTTCCATCCACCTGACAAACAAGGCGGACAGTCTCGTCCCCTTCTGTTGCTTTATAGACACTGTCCAGTGGCTGGACAACTCCTGGTACCTCTGTAAGGCAATTCAGGAACACATTTTAACTGGATTTCCATCATATACATGTATACCATATGTACACCTTCATATAGTGATATATTACCATAAAGTTTTCAGATCACAAGCTGAGTATTTAAGATAATAGAGTCTGATTGCTCAAAAATTTACTTGTACAAGGTACTCCAGACTTATTCTCACTGAGCCTGTCCTTACATGACAAATGGGAACTCTACCCCCCTCCCCCTCCCCTCCCCTTGGCAAGAAATCATACACATGACAGTAAACATTAGAATTTAGAATACTCCACTTCTGACACTTAGCATTAAGGTCATTTGAGTGTTTTAATTGTATGTAGAAGTACAACCCTTTTTGACAGTATCATTTATAATCAATGTCTTGTTAGTGCTTGTAAAAAAATAGAATAACTCCTCATTAGTCTCTCACCAGATTGTGTCATAAATACTACAATGAATATTTCTAACCATAGATATGGTGTTGGAGTTTAGAGTAGATCCGAGTACTCACTTTTAACAGTAAGTATGGTGCTAGAGTTTGTGGTGCCAACAGGTGACTTGGCCACACACTTGTAGTCACCAGAATCCTGACATTTTGGCTGTTTGAACACCAGGGCGGCGCTACCAGTTGCAGGGTCCCACTCCATAGCAATATTGTTATCAGGCTTAATCTCCTTACCATCTTTCAACCTATAGATGCATATTTCACTTTCCTATTACCATTAAACATCTTCTAAAATTAAATTTAAGGCTATTCTATAAAATCTCAAAAAATTTCTTATTTCAAAATTGACTTTGGTGATCATTTAGTTATTTATGTTTTTGTCTCCACATATCATGACTTGTGTATGTATCAAACAATAAAATGACATCCAATCAGATTGTGAAGCTGTAAACACGTATGCATAACAAATACCAAACAAAATCAACAAGAAACACAACATCATAAACTAAACTACAACTATGTTGTACACTGAACTACCAACAACATTCATCATACCAGCATATATCTGGGCATGGATTTCCGTCAATCTTACAGAAAAGTCGGACATTTTCAGTCCCCTCTACAGAATCGTAGAACTTTTCTAATGGTTCAATTACAGTTGGAAGTTCTGAAAAATAACATGGCACAATGAAATAACAATGGCGTCCGAAAATAACAATGGCGTCCGCAAAAAACAATGGTGCACGAATGACACTGAATATTTAACACATGCCCCCTTCAATGTCCATCACTGAAGGTTTTTTTATAGGTACTAAATATCACTTTGTTGTATCCGACATAAGATAATTCATTGGTTAAAACACCATTAATTAATTGCAAAAATTTTAAATCTAAATTTTATATTCATTCATCATATACTGAGGTTTTATAATGGGTTTTTATTTTCAGGAAGATTCTGAACTGTAACAGTGAAGAATTAAGATACCGTATATACACTGTTTATATTAAATATGATATGCACCCTTATCAATACTGTAAGCAAATGTATGAATATACACACTTTTTTTCCTAGAAGCAACTGTTTGCTATTTGTAAAAAAAGATCTTTGGACAGAAATAGGAAAATTTACTGAGAATACTTTTCACTTATTTAGTACAGTTGATTGCCATACAAACACACAACTTGTCAATGCAGGAAATATAAATTTTGACAATTTCCTTTAATTGTCATTTCAGGTTTTGTTATAATTATTTAATATTTCAGCATCAGTAAGTATGTCTGAGAGTTTCTACGACATATATATTTGAGTACAAACTTTTGACAGTGTCCTGTGATAGTTTGAAGTAAATTTGAAGCACTCACTTTTGACAGTAAGTATGGTATGAGAGTTTGTGGTGTATTTGAGTTCTCACTTTGACAGTGTGTGTGGTATGACAGTGTATGTGGTGTGACAGTTTATAGTATATTTCAGTACTCACTTTTGACAGTAAGTGTTGTGTTAGAGTTTGTGGTACCAACAGGTGACTTAGCCACACACTGGTAGTCACCAGAATCCTCACACTTTGGCTGTTTGAACACCAGGGCGGCACTACCTGTGTCTGGGTCCCATTCCATCTTTACATTATCACCAGGGGTAACTTTCTTCCCATCTTTAAGCCTAGGGCATCATTACATTTACAAAATGTTATTTACAATTTTTAGTCTTCATGCTTATCTCATATTTACAAAGCTTTTCAATTCAAATATGACACCTGACTCTCCGAAATAAGAGGGAAAACAACATCTTTGTTAATGTTATAAAGTGGTAACTGTAATTGGTAAGAGATGCTGTAATTTTATATAGTACTAACCAATAAAGAAATATCTTATTTGTTTTAAATAGTAGTGAGAACAACATCTATATGCAATGACATGAAATCTCCACAAAGACTAGAACTAGCTGAAAAGTCCAATTATTTGATTAAATGAACAAAACACTATAAGGATGTAAAAGCCCTTAACCCTTAACCAAAAAACAGTATTCCAACATTTATTTTTAAAACAAAGTTCTCAAACCTTTCAAAACATCATCTTAAATCAGTTATCAAACAACAACAAGAAAAGCAATACATTATCCTCAAACACAGCCATGTCAGAAACAATCGTACCATGTGATCTCCGGGGCTGGAGTTCCATCCAGTTTACACACCAGACGAACATTCTTGTCTCCCTCAACAGGCTCATATGCCTTGTCAAGTGGTTTTAATACTGTTGGTATTTCTGTAATGTTGACAAAAGGTTATTTCGTGTCGAAAGTAACTACATTAATACATTAAAGAATCAGATAATGGATTTACATTATTTTCTGAAATATCGAAAAATGATGCGTCGGTGTAATTAAAAGCAAAAAATTGACATGCACCAATAGATTTATTTGCACTTACTTGAACGAACACACTAGATAAGTGTTGTGTAACCATTTGTGAACTTAAAAGCATATGTACTTTCTTTTGATAGTAAGGTTCTAGACTTTGAGGTGAATTCGAGTACTCATTTTTGACAGTAAGTGTGGTGTGAGAATTTGTGATATAATTGAGAACTCACTTTTGACAGTAAGTGTGGTATGAGAGTTTGTGGTACCAACAGGTGACGTGGCCACACACTGGTAGTCACCAGAATCCTCACACTTTGGCTGTTTGAACACCAGGGCGGCGCTACCTGTGACTGGGTCCCATTCCATCTTTACATTATCACCAGGGGTTACTTTCTTCCCATCTTTAAGCCTAAAGCACCATTTCAATTACAAAATGCTATTAACATTTTTTAATTTTCAGGATTTTAAGTTAAAAAGTTTATATGAATTATTTGATGTTTACAAATGATATGTGATATAGTACATCACCTCATCCCATCCCTGACTCTCCAAAATACAAGGGAAAACAACATACATTGCAAGCCAAGACAAGAGAACACACGCGACAGCATGATATACTTGTTACAGCCACCATAACATGTTGCAGTATTGAGAGAATGTATTGAAAATGCCTGAAAGTTTGATTCACTGTTTGAATGATTTTGCAATTTGGCATGGGGATGCAAGAAGCAAGGATGCTTATCTTATGCCCATATTTGACAATAAAAGGGACATAACTCTAACAATACAAGGTTACAGGAAAATCCTGTAACATATGTCGAATTCCGTTGCTTCTTGTATCAGAATATCAAATTTGGAAACAATTGAATGGAGAATTACGAAGTTCTTGGTTTTTTTTCTATAACTATTCCCATATTTGGCAATAGAAGGGGCATTACTGCAAGAAATATTCACAAAATTCTTGAAAATGACTTGGTTCCAGCTATTATAGTATGGAATAATTGTAGAAAGTTTCAATAATATCAGTCAATAAATACAGGTAAGAGGAAGGTAACAAGATAAAGTTAATGGACAGACAGCACAGAGTATTCTTTAATACTACCTATGACTGACAGGTGTATAAAAATCCTATTCACAACTGATTTCGTACATTTTGATGTAGTAAACACAAATAACCAAAATATTGTCTTTAAAATAATGTTTCATGTTTGTGTTTCAAAAAGATATAAACAAACAAAAACAAAAGACAGTCAGAACAGACATACATATAGCGAAACTTGGACACCAAACAACGACTGGTTAATAACACTAATAACTAAAGACATGAACATAACACAATCGTACCATGTGACCTCCGGAGCTGGAGTTCCATCCAGTTTACACACCAGACTAACATTCTTGTCTCCCTCAACAGGCTCATATGCCTTGTCAAGTGGTTTAACTACTGTTGGTATTTCTGTAATGTTGCATTTTCAATATTATTTAAATGTATGTTTTCAACACTGACTTTGAGAAAATTTGAATTTCCAAAGTTACTGATTATAAATTTCTGATAGAACTTGTAATCATACAAGATGTTACTGATACTTTAAGGATACGAATGCCAACCCCTGTATTTACACTATCAGGATCAGAAATGGTGCATGAAGACAATTCAATACAAGTTCTGCTTAGAAGTGACACTGACAAGCTATGATTTATTTACTTGTGAGATATAATGTTACTTATATTCTCACGATGATACAAAATGATAAAAAATAAAAAGTAAACAATGGAATTTTTCATTGTGCTACCTTCAAATTTCACTTTTTGTTCAATACTTACTGTCAGAACTGCATAGTGTATTTGAGTACTCATTTTTAACGATACATATTATGTGAGAGATTTTTATTTATATGAAAACTCACTTTTGACTGCAAGTGTCGTATGAGAGTTTGTGGTACCAACAGGTGACGTGGCCACACACTGGTAGTCACCAGAATCCTCACACTTTGACTGTTTGAACACCAGGGCGGCGCTACCTGTTTTGGGGTCCCATTCCATCTTTACATTATCACCAGGGGTAACTTTCTTCCCATCTTTAAGCCTAAAGCATCATTACATTTACCAAATGTTATTTACACTTTTTTAATTTTCACAATCTTAAGTGAACAAGTATGTCTAAACAATCTCATATTTACAAAGCTTTTCATTTTAAACACCATTACTGTCTCTCCAAAATAACAGGGAGAACAACATCTTTGTTAAATGATATAAATCCCCAATTAAAGTTAGAAAAAATCCCATTCATAACTGTTACGGTAGATTTCGATGTATAAAACACAGTGTCTCATCAGAAATTTTTCAAAGCGTTTAAAGTATGAATTAAGAATAAATAAACAAAAAACAAAAGATAATCAATATAGAGATTTATGTAGTGTATTATCTGGACACTAACCAACAACCAGTAAACAACACTAATATCTACAGACACAGATACAACACAATCGTACCATGTGACCTCCGGAGCTGGAAATCCATCCAGTTTACATACCAGACGAACATTCTGATCTCCCTCGACAGGCTCATATGCCTTTTCAAGTGGTTTAACCACTGTAGGAATTTCTGTAATATTACAAAATGATGAAATGTCATTTTGATTTAATCTACATAATATTTATATTGTTTCTGACATTGAATTTCTGAAGTTTTGAATTTCTGAAGCTTACAGCTGATAAAAATGTCCTATTATTTGCATATTCATGCATTATGTTTCTGGTCCTTCAAAAACACAGATGTCAACTGCAGCATTTACATCAAACTGACTAGAAAAGGCCCACAAGGAAAGTTTAACATAAAATCTGCCTTAGAGTGACAATGACAAGATGAGTTTTATTTACATGTATGATGTTGTGTTACTCATATATATTGAACAGCTTGAGGAATAAACAGTATCAAATATACAATACATTGTGTTGCTAGCTAGCTAGCTAGTATACTCGTTTATCAGTACTTACTCAATACAGTAACAGTTTGTGGTGTATTTGAGTTCTCACTTTGACAGTGTGTTTGGTATGACAGTGTGTGTGGTATGACAGTGTGTGTGGTGTGACAGTTTATGTTATATTTAAGTACTCACTTTTGACAGTAAGTGTTGTGTTAGAGTTTGTGGTACCGACAGGTGACTTAGCCACACACTGGTAGTCACCAGAATCCTCACACTTTGGCTGTTTGAACACCAGGGCAGCACTACCTGTGTCTGGGTCCCACTCCATAGCAACGTTATCACCAGGGGTAACTTTCTTTCCATCTTTAAGCCTAAAGCATCATTTCAATTACAAAATGCTAGTTACAATTTTTAACTGCCACCAAAAGATGTAGTGATATTGAGAGGGTGTGTGGGAACTGCATTAAGGAAATAGTTCCCTGCTTAAATGACTTTAAAATATGACAATGGGATGCAAGAAGCAAGGATGTTTAATTTATTCCCATATTTGGCAATAGAAGGGACATAACTCTGACAATACAAGGTAACATGAAAAACCTGAAATATCTGCCAAGTTCCCTTACTTCTTGTATCAGAAAATCAAATTTAGAAAGACGTGAATGAAGAATTAAAATGTTCTTGCCTTTTCTACAGAATGCCCATATTTGACAATAGAAGAGGCATAACTCTGCTAAAAGTAATCACAAAATTCTTAAAGGTGATTTGGTTCCAGCTATTATAATATGGAATAATTGAAGAGAGTTTCATTAAGATCAGTCTATAAATAAAGGTAAGAGGGTGCTAAAAAGATAAAGTTTATGAACAGACAGCACAGGGTATATTTTAATACAACCCTAGGATGACAGGTGTATAAAATCTTATTCACAATTGATTTCGTAGATTTTGATGGAGACAACACAAAGCACCAAAATATTGTCTTCAAATTATTGTTTTAAGTTTGTGTTACGAAAAGATATAAACAAACAAAAACAAAAGACAGTCAGAACAGACATAAATATTGCATAACTTCTTCACCAAACAACAACTGGTAAACAACACTAATAACTAAAGACATGAACATAACACAATCGTACCATGTGATCTCCGGGGCTGGAGTTCCATCCAGTTTACACACCAGACGAACATTCTTGTCTCCCTCAACAGGCTCATATGCCTTGTCAAGTGGTTTTAATACTGTTGGTATTTCTGCAATATTGCATAATGACAAAAGGTCATTTTGATTCATTCTTAATAACATTTAAATGTACGTTTCAACACTGACTTTAAGAAAATTTGAATTTCCAAAGTTACTAATTATAAATTTCTGATTAAACTTGTAATCATACAATATGTTACTGATACTTTAAGGATACGAATGCCAACTCCTGTATTTACACCACCAGGAACAGAAATGGTCCATGAAGAAAATTCAATAAATGGTTAGATTTATTTCCTTGTGTGATGTAACTCATAATTCCTGCAATATTACAGGAATGATAAAAAACATTAAGTGTACACTGTTATATTCATTGTGTTACATTCAACTATTCACTTTTTAACTGTTTCCCACTGTCAGAACTGCATAGTGTATTTGAGTACTCATTATTAACAATATGTATTATGGGAGAGATTGTGATATATATGAGAACTCACTTTTGACTGCAAGTGTCGTGTTAGAGTTTGTGGTACCAACAGGTGACTTAGCCACACACTGGTAGTCACCAGAATCCTCACACTTTGACTGTTTGAACACCAGGGCGGCACTACCTGTGTTGGCGTCCCATTCCATCTTTACATTATCACCAGGGGTAACTTTCTTCCCATCTTTAAGCCTAAAGCATCATTTCATTTACCAAATGTTATTTTCCTTCCTTTAATCCTCATGCTTTTAAGTAAACAAGTACACCTAAACTACCTCATATTTACAAAGCTTTTCATTTCAGATACCATTACTGACTCTCCAAAATAACAGGGAGAACAACATCTTTGTTAAATGATATAAATCCCCACTTAAAGTTAGAAAAAATCCCATTCATAACTGTTACGGTAGATTTTGATGTATAAAACACAAAGTCATATCGAAAATTTTTTCAAAGGGTTTAAAGTATGAATTAAGAATAAATAAACAAAAAACAAAAGATAATCAACATAGAGATTTATGTAGTGTGTAATCAGGACTCCAACCAAAAACCAGTAAACAACACTAATATCTACAGACACAGATACAACACAATCGTACCATGTGACCTCCGGAGCTGGAAATCCATCCAATTTACATACCAGACGAACATTCTGATCTCCCTCGACAGGCTCATATGCCTTGTCAAGTGGTTTAACCACTGTAGGAATTTCTGTAATATTACAAAATGAGGACAGGTCTTTTTTATTTATTCTACATAATATTTACATTGTTTCTGACATTAAATTTCTGAAGATTTCAATTTCTGGAGCTGTAATATTTACATATTTCTGCATTATGTTCCTGGTCCTTTAAGAATACAGATATCATCTGCAGCATTTACACCAAATTGACTAGAAATGGGCCACAAGGAAAATTTAACACAATATCTGCCTTAGAGTGACAATGACAAGCTGAGTATTATTTATTCACTTATATGATTACTCACATTTTTTGGACAGCTTGATGAATAAGCAAGATGAAGTATACATTACATTGTGCCATAAGCTAGTATACTTGCTTTTCACTAATTACTTATTACAGTAAGAGTTTTTTAGGATATTTAAGTACTCACTTTTGACAGTAAGTGTTGTGTTAGAGTTTGTGGTACCAACAGGTGACTTAGCCACACACTGGTAGTCACCAGAATCCTCACACTTTGGCTGTTTGAACACCAGGGCGGCGCTACCTGTGTCTGGGTCCCATTCCATCTTAACATTATCACCAGGTGTAACTTTCTTCCCATCTTTAAGCCTAGGGCATCATTTCAATTACAAAATGCTATTTATACTTTTTAACCTTCATGATTTTAAATTAACAAGTTTATGTAAATTATTTGATAGTCACAAGTTATAAGTGATATAGTAGATCATCTCATCAAATCCCTGTTTCTCCAAAATACAAGGGTGAACAACATCTTTCCTAAATAACATAAATCTCCACATAAATGCACATTGCAAGCCAGAACAAGAGCATTGCAAATGGGAGCATGAAACCTGCTACCTGTTTCTGAGTCCCACTCCATAGCAACATGTTCATTGGAGACAATCTTTTCACCATTTTTAAGCCTAACATCAAATTTAATATCATTAAAATATCTATAAGTAAAATCAAATTGAGAAAACCAACTAAACTACAATTTAGAATTTTTTCTTTAGATAAAAATATTTTTAACGTTGAGGAAGCCAACAATATTAAATAAAGTTATTCAGTATAAAAATATATATCAAATATTATATTTTGAAATGAAGATATAACCTAGAAAAGATTTAATTTTCAAAAACATGAACAAAACCTTAAGACTACATACACTTGAAGACTATAGACATTAACACAGGCACCAACATTCTTAGCCAACAGACACCAATACTCTTAAATTACTGACACCAACTCTAAGACTACAGACACCAACACAGACACCAACACTCTTTGACTCCAGACACCAACACAGACACCAACACTATAAGACTACAGACACCAACACAGACACCAACACACTAAGACTACAGACACCAACATTCTTTGACTCCAGACACCAACACGGACACCAACACTCTTTGACTCATGACACCAACATTCTAAGACTACAAACTAACTACAAACACACAACAAAGAATCATACCATGTGACCTCCGGAGCTGGAAATCCATCAAGTTTACACACCAGACAAACATTCTGATCTCCCTCAACAGGCTCATATGCCTTGTCAAGTGGTTTAACCACTGTAGGAATTTCTGTAATACAATGTATTGGGAAACAACTTTTATCCTTTACTATGATTGATGTTTTGAATTCTTTTCTTTTCCTTTTTTCTTCTTGAGCTTTGAGAAGGCTTCAATAAGATATATTTCCTCTAATAAAATATGAATATCCGTCATTTTATACTAATTACATAGCCCAAATTAATAACTGGAAAATATCTCTGAAAAATCATTTAGCATGGATGTTAACATTAACAATGTAGAAAGTGTCAGAATGGATACAGAACATTGTATGAATGCAATGTGTCACAGTAAATACAGAATTATAAGTTTTACGTAATCAAATGCAGTTTTGCAGTATTTCTTTGGATCATCATTTGTGACAATGACTGTTGAGTACTCACATTTTACAATAGTTTTGTGTGAGACTTTGTGGTATTTTGAGTACTCACTTTTGACAGTAAGAGTGGTGTGAGTGTTTGTGGTATATCTGAGTACTCACTTTTGACAGTAAGTGTTGTGTTAGAGTTTGTTGTACCGACAGGTGACTTAGCCACACACTGGTAGTCACCAGAATCCTCACACTTTGGTTGTTTGAACACCAGGGCAGCGTTACCAGTGGCTGGATCCCACTCCGATATTATGTTGCCATCAGGAATCATTTCCTTACCATCTTTTATCCTAGCATCATGAATTTGAAAATAATTACTTTTATGAATATTACTGAGTTTAGTGAACAGATTGATGAAATTTCTTAACAGTAAGTTTTAAAGAACATCTACCCTATTTTTCATTCTATCCTACACATTTTTTGGCACTGCACCTCTGCGAGCAAACAGATTTTGAACATCTCAATTCTATAGTCTATCATGAGAACCTCATAACCAACTAACTAGATTATTGTCTATTGTTTCACTCTAAGATGTTGGGTGACACAGGTGTAACAGTAGTTCCTCATGAACTCATGAATGGAGAAGCATTTATGAAATCTTTTACTTTACATACATGTACATGCAGGTCATGGTGACCTGATTAAAGTGTACATCATTTTCATCTGGACATCTTTAATAGTTATCAAACCAATATAACACTAACATATAGAAAAAGGTCAGTGACCTTGACATGACCTTAACAGAGGTCAACGTATTGAAGAATTAAATGATTCCATAAATATTACAAAAGTCTATCAAGGTCACCTTTAAATAACAAATATCTGTTACTAAGTCCACATCTAAATAACAAATATCTATCTAGAAAGGTCAGTGTATAGTAACTGAATGAATGATAATTTGTGTATACAAACACACTACACTATGTTACACTACCCACATACAGTGTATTATAACTGAATGACAATCAGTGTATACAAACACACTACACTATGTTACACTACCCACATACAGTGTATTATAACTGAATGACAATTAGTGTATACAAACACACTACACTATGTTACACTACCCACATACAGTGTATTATAACTGAATGACAATTAGTGTATACAAACACACTACACTATGTTACACTACCCACATACAGTGTATTATAACTGAATGACAATTAGTGTATACAAACACACTACACTATGTTACACTACCCACATACAGTGTATTATAACTGAATGACAATTAGTGTATACAAACACTAATTACACTATGTTACACTACCCACATACAGTGTATTATAACTGAATGACAATTAGTGTATACAAACACACTACACTATGTTACACTACCCACATACAGTGTATTATAACTGAATGACAATTAGTGTATACAAACACAACACACACTGAATGACAATTAGTGTATACAAACACACTATGTTACACTACCCACATACAGTGTATTATAACTGAATGACAATTAGTGTATACAAACACACTACACTATGTTACACTACCCACATACAGTGTATTATAACTGAATGACAATTAGTGTATACAAACACACTACACTATGTTACACTACCCACATACAGTGTATTATAACTGAATGACAATTAGTGTATACAAACACACACTACACTATGTTACACTACCCACATACAGTGTATTATAACTGAATGACAATTAGTGTATACAAACACACTACACTATGTTACACTACCCACATACAGTGTATTATAACTGAATGACAATTAGTGTATACAAACACACTAACTACACTATGTTACACTACCCACATACAGTGTATTATAACTGAATGACAATTAGTGTATACAACACACTACCCACATACTACACTATGTTACAAACACACTACCCACATACAGTGTATTATAACTGAATGACAATTAGTGTATACAAACACACTACACTATGTTACACTACCCACATACAGTGTATTATAACTGAATGACAATTAGTGTATACAAACACACACTACACTATGTTACACTACCCACATACAGTGTATTATAACTGAATGACAATTAGTGTATACAAACACACTACACTATGTTACACTACCCACATACAGTGTATTATAACTGAATGACAATTAGTGTATACAAACACACTACACTATGTTACACTACCCACATACAGTGTATTATAACTGAATGACAATTAGTGTATACAAACACACTACACTATGTTACACTACCCACATACAGTGTATTATAACTGAATGACAATTAGTGTATACTAACACTAATTACACTATGTTACACTACCCACATACAGTGTATTATAACTGAATGACAATTAGTGTATACAAACACACTACACTATGTTACACTACCCACATACAGTGTATTATAACTGACAATTATGACAACTACCCACATAGTGTATTATAACTGAATGACAACTACACACTACACTATGTTACACTACAAACACACCACATACAGTGTATTATAACTGAATGACAATTAGTGTATACAAACACACTACACTATGTTACACTACCCACATACAGTGTATTATAACTGAATGACAATTAGTGTATACAAACACACTACACTATGTTACACTACCCACATACAGTGTATTATAACTGAATGACAATTAGTGTATACAAACACACTACACTATGTTACACTACCCACATACAGTGTATTATAACTGAATGACAATTAGTGTATACAAACACACTAACTACACTATGTTACACTACCCACATACAGTGTATTATAACTGAATGACAATTAGTGTATACAAACACACTACACTATGTTACACTACCGCACATACAGTGTATTATAACTGAATGACAATTAGTGTATACAAACACTAATTACACTATGTTACACTACCCACATACAGTGTATTATAACTGAATGACAATTAGTGTATACAAACACACTAACTACACTATGTTACACTACCCACATACAGTGTATTATAACTGAATGACAATTAGTGTATACAAACACACTACACTATGTTACACTACCCACATACAGTGTATTATAACTGAATGACAATTAGTGTATACAAACACACTACACTATGTTACACTACCCACATACAGTGTATTATAACTGAATGACAATTAGTGTATACAAACACACTACACTATGTTACACTACCCACATACAGTGTATTATAACTGAATGACAATTAGTGTATACAAACACACTACACTATGTTACACTACCCACATACAGTGTATTATAACTGAATGACAATTAGTGTATACAAACACATTAACTACACTATGTTACACTACCCACATACAGTGTATTATAACTGAATGACAATTAGTGTATACAAACACACTACACTATGTTACACTACCCACATACAGTGTATTATAACTGAATGACAATTAGTGTATACACCCAACACACAATTAGTGTATACAAACACACTACACTATGTTACACTACCCACATACAGTGTATTATAACTGAATGACAACTTAGTGTATTATACTGAAACATTAGTGTATACAAACACACTACACTATGTTACACTACCCACATACAGTGTATTATAACTGAATGACAATTAGTGTATACAAACACTAACTACACTATGTTACACTACCCACATACAGTGTATTATAACTGAATGACAATTAGTGTATACAAACACACTATGTTACACTACCCACATACAGTGTATTATAACTGAATGACAATTAGTGTATACAAACACACTAACTACACTATGTTACACTACCCACATACAGTGTATTATAACTGAATGACAATTAGTGTATACAAACACACTACACTATGTTACACTACCCACATACAGTGTATTATAACTGAATGACAATTAGTGTATACAAACACACTACACTATGTTACACTACCCACATACAGTGTATTATAACTGAATGACAATTAGTGTATACAAACACACTACACTATGTTACACTACCCACATACAGTGTATTATAACTGAATGACAATTAGTGTATACAAACACACTAACTACACTATGTTACACTACCCACATACAGTGTATTATAACTGAATGACAATTAGTGTATACAAACACACTACACTATGTTACACTACCCACATACAGTGTATTATAACTGAATGACAATTAGTGTATACAAACACACTACACTATGTTACACTACATACAGTGTATTATAACTGAATGACAATTAGTGTATACAAACACACTACACTATGTTACACTACCCACATACAGTGTATTATAACTGAATGACAATTAGTGTATACAAACACACTACACTATGTTACACTACCCACATACAGTGTATTATAACTGAATGACAATTAGTGTATACAAACACACTACACTATGTTACACTACCCACATACAGTGTATTATAACTGAATGACAATTAGTGTATACAAACACTAACTACACTATGTTACACTACCCACATACAGTGTATTATAATTGAATGACAATTAGTGTATACAAACACACTACACTATGTTACACTACCCACATACAGTGTATTATAACTGAATGACAATTAGTGTATACAAACACACTACACTATGTTACACTACCCACCTACAGTGTATTATAACTGAATGACAATTAGTGTATACAAACACACTACACTATGTTACACTACCCACATACAGTGTATTATAACTGAATGACAATTAGTGTATACAAACACACTACACTATGTTACACTACCCACATACAGTGTATTATAACTGAATGACAATTAGTGTATACAAACACACTACACTATGTTACACTACCCACATACAGTGTATTATAACTGAATGACAATTAGTGTATACAGTGTATTATAACTGAAACACACACACTACACTATGTTACACTACCCACATACAGTATATTATAACTGAATGACAATTAGTGTATACTAAAACTGTGTTTAACTAGACATTAGGACAGACAATACAACAGACAGTGTATACAGATTATACCATGAAACACATTGACTATCTACATGACAACAGAAAGCTGCGTACCACGAGATTTGAGGACTAGGAAAGCCATCCACCAGACACTCTAGTCGTACAGACTTTCCCCCTTCAGTAGTGGTATAAGTCTTGTCTAGAGGCTTCTTAAAAGTTGGTTTCACATCTGGTTCTGAAAGGTAAGTACTTACTAGAGAAAAACAAGTTTGCTACCAGTTATGTCAGGTATACAGAGATTGGCTCCGATGTTAGTATAGTACGAATACATTCAAAGTAGATAATATGTGTTTTGTTTATGTGAAATGTAGACAATACTTAAAGATGGTACTTATTAGTTGTATTTCATGTGTGCAAAAAAAATTGGATGGGAAGAGACAGTCTTTGTTTAAAACAACAGACATTCTAGGGAACAGTGTATGTTTGTGTTGTTGAAAGTACCTGTTTGTTTTGTATTCACAAGAAACTAAACATGTTTTCAAGCTTCCACTTGCTCTGGCAAGCACCCCTTGTATGAAAGTATCGAGTCAGGCCTGTGTTGATATAACTTTAAGGTATCCCTTGGAACACAAGATCTTTGTAACACACAGTTGTCCTGTGTATTTTAAGGTGATTTCTATTGCCAAATCAGTACCTTCCATGAATTTGTATCCATTGGAGATGAATATACGCAATCCTTTAGACGGCAAATACAACAATTGAAAGGATGAAGATAGTCTCTCAGCACCCCTTAGGGCAGAACAAATAGATCTGTTACACAAAGGTGTCCTTGTGTTAACATCTTGCATGAGTTTGTCTTAATTACAAATAAATGAAGAATGTTTCCATCCTTTTGCCATTTTCAATGGCAACCACTTGCTCTGGCAAGCAACCTTGGTATAAGCATGGAGGTGATCATACTCAGCAAGAATTGCTGATTCAAAATAAAATTGGTACTCACTTTTGATGGTCAGTTTGGTTGGAGAATTTGTTGTACCAGCAGAAGATTTGGCCACACATTCATAATTTCCAGAATCACCAGATTTTGGATGTTTGAATACTAAAGAAGCTGTACAGGTGGCAGCATCCCATTCCATCTTTACATTGTCACTTGCAGATAACTTCTTACCATCCTTTGTCCTGTAGCAAAATGACAGAAACTATTGTTAAAAAATCAGAAAAATGAAAATAAATCATCCCTTTAACTTTTCAAAATTTTAAACTTTAGATTACATAAGTTTTGAGGAAAAAGATATGCAAAATTGAAAGCATTTTACCTTGGATTATAACAATAGTTTTCATTTTCTTTTATCATCTACTGATGAAAAAAGGATTTGTGCATCAATTCCTTAACCAGAACACATGATTTCCATACAAATTCTAAAACTTATTGAAGGAGAGTTACATACCAGGAGATTTCAGGAACTGGGTTTCCATCCACTTTACATTTCAGACACACATTTTCATCAGATTCTAAAGCATTATACTCTTTATCCAATGGCTCCTTGACTGATGGTGCTCTTTCTGGTTCTAAAGCAAGCAATAATTTGTTGAAGTGAAATTTCATTCTATTATCAGTTAAATCCATTCATTATAAAAGTAATTCTTCCTCTTCAATAGCTGATATTTCTCAAACAACAAAGAGTATTTCCAGTAATGATGGCTGGATTTTGTGATTTTGTATTTCTGGATCCACTGTATGCAGAAAATGTTCATTAAAACAGTACAATATTCATCAAGCGACAGGACAGAATATTTTTTTCAAATAAATAAATTCAGTTTAAAATTTGATGGTGGTTAAAAAAATTTTGTTTCTGCCTATGATACTTGAATTGAAAGCCTTCCTGGTTGTTGTGTGGGACTTACCTTTAACTGTGAGTGTTGTAGCAGATTTAACCGTCCCTATTGTAGAAGTAGCCACACACTCGTATTTGCCAGAGTTTGACACACTCACACCAGTAAACACAAGAGCCGCTACACCAGTTTTGGCATCCCATTCAAACTTCATGTTTTCAGTAGCTTCCAACTTCTTTCCATCTTTGGTCCTATAAAGACAGTAAGGTTATGTGTCAAAATTACCCCAATTTTTACTGACAAAAATGTAAACCAAAAAATGTCTTTGATATATGAACAGTAAGGCTTGCATGTACATTTGTGTTGTATTTTTCAGAAAATCATTATTTCTTGAATATGTTTAAAAAAGACCAGCTAATCATGTCTCAGATGGAATATGTCAAGGTGCTAACATTTGACCTCACCATATTGAAAAAAAACTTAGGTATATGACACTCACTCATCTTAAGAAATAAAATTTGCTATCAAAAATTACAACTAAGGGGGATAACTCTTCATTATTCAACCAGAGAAGAACAAAACCTTCAGTATACAATACTACCCTGTCCAAAGAAACAAACTTTCAGAAGTTAGGTGTAGACATGTAAAGACAGCACATAAATTATGGGCTGGATGAAAATATGTTTATATGATCCAGCCAGTTGAGGGGAAAATCGTTCTAAGGAATGCTTCATCCAATGAATTTGTATTTAAGAAAAATGTATTTGAGAAATGACCATCATAAAATGCAAAACACAAATAAAAATTAATGTACCAACCAGGAAATCTCTGGGCATGGATTGCCCTCCATTTTGCACTGAAGACGAACAGTTTCTTTGCTCTCTACAAAACTGTATTCTTTCTTAAGAGCATCCACAACAGCTGGTTTCTTTTCAGGTTCTGCAAATAAATCAACATATGAACTAACAAACTGAATTGAATTAATTTATTTGACTGCAGTAAAATGATTTAGAAGGAAACTGCAAATATGATTTTGATTAGACTTACTTTTGACAGCCACATTTGTCGAACAGGACACTGAGCCAGCAGAAGATAAAGCTGAACATTCATAACAGCCAGAATCTGCTTCAGTCAAACTCTTGAACTTCAGGGTAGCTTTACCAGTTTCTGCATCCCATTCCAGACCATGCTTGCTTCCACTGACCAAAGTCTTTCCATCTTTTTTCCTGATAGAACACATTTTACATGTCAGTATCACTGGACAACCTTTGATCTCAATTTTTCTTGAATCATTAGTTTGCTACAATTGGACACTATTTTTCCTGCAGCGGAATCAAGTCTGATTAAACCGTAACAAACTGAGCCCCACTACCAATAAGGTGGCCGGTGTGGAGTAACCTACCATAGGATATCTGTTGAGGGATGATCTAATAAAAGACTTCTAATGTGGGATGACCTATGTAAGATGTCTGGTGTGGGGTGACCTATGTAAGATGTCTGGTGTGGGGTGACCTATGTAAGATGTCTGGTGTGGGAAGACTTATCATAAGATGTCTGGAGTAAGGTAACCTACCATAAGTTGTTTGGTGTGGAGTAACCTAGATGTTTACCTACCATAAGATGTCTGGTGTGGGGAGACATCATAAGATGTCTGGTGTGGGGATACTTATCATAAGATGTCTGGTGTGGGGTAACCTACCATAAGATGTCTGGTGTGTGGTAACCTACCTTAAGATGTCTGATGTGGGGTAACATGTTTGGTGTGGAGTAACCTAGATGGTTACCTACCATAAGATGTCTGGTGTGGGGAGACTTATCATAATATGTCTGGTGTGGGGAGACTTATCATAAAATGTCTGGTGTAGGGAGACTTATCATAAGATGTCTGGTGTGGGGAGACTTATCATAAGATGTTTGGTGTGGGGAAACTATCATAAAATGCTTTGTATGGAGTGACCTAGATGATGACCTACCATAAGATGTCTATTGAGGTGTGACCTACTACAAGACTAGTGTGGGGTGACCTATTGTAATATGTTGTGTGTGGGTGACCTATTATAAGATGTCTGGTGTGGGTGACCTATTATAAGATATCTGGTGTGGGGAGACCTATTATAAGATGTCTGGGGTGGGGTGACTTATTGTAAGATGTTGTGTATGGGTGACCTACCATAAGACTTCTGGTGTGGGGTGACCTATTGTAAGATGTGGTGTGTGGGTGACCTACCATAAGACTTCTGGTGTGGGGTGACCATCCACTTGACACTGAAGTGTAGCCTTGGTATCCGTGGTAATAAAGGAATACTCTTTATCTAAGGCTTTCTTCACTGTAGGGGCCCTTGCTGGCTCTAGACAAAAAAAAGCTTATTTCAATATAATAAATTTCTATTATCAAAACAATGATTTTTTTATTCTTCTTTTCTTTTTATCTCATCTAAATTACAAAATTACATTTTCAAAACTTGAATGAAAAGTATATTTCATTAAAATTATAAATTTGAATTAATTTTTTATACTTTGAGATATTGATCAAATGATTACATAAGGTTTGATTAATGGGTTTCTAATAAAGAATTCACTATTTATACAAAAATGTTCAAAGCAAAGTCATTAATCACTACATGATAGTAAAACACATTTCAGCTATAGATATATATATGTAATATGTCATAAAGTCAGTTTGTAAATAAATAAACCAAGAGAAAACACACATACACTGATGTAGTTAGAAAAAGCAGTGGTGAATTAGCCAGCAATCAATACACACAACACTAGTAGGCCCTGTGTATTATCAGTAGTAGAAATGATTGTCCTATATAGATCTGCTCCAATGTATCAGTAATGGTTCAGTTCTCAGGATTCAATGATATTGTTTTTACAGCTTTTTGCTTTGTTGCTTTTGATATATGAAACAAGATTTACAATATATCACATGAACAGCCAGTTCTAAATTGATAGTTGATACATGTACCTAATGAATATCACAAAGGATATCTTGAAAAATAGAAATCAAATGGAACACTGAAAAAAATATCTAATGTACTGATACTGAGAACCAAGTTTTATCAAAGTGGTTGAGAAAATTCTGATCCTTGTACACCTTCCACAACCCCATCATTTGAAAAGACAGACATCGAGAATCCTGTACACCTATCTTCTGGACAGATGGACAACCTGACTTTAGGTTGTACACCTCCCTAAACCCCATCTTCTGGACAGACAATCACTCTGATTCCTGTACCCCTCCCTAAACCCCATCTTCTGGACAGACAATCACTCTGATTCCTGTACCCCTCCCTAAACCCCATCTTCTGGGCAGACAATCACTCTGATTCCTGTACCCCTCCCTAAACCCCATCTTCTGGACAGACAATCACTCTGATTCCTGATATTTGTATCACTCTGATCCTCTACCAAACCCCATCCTCTGTACAGACAAATATCTTGCCCTCCCTAAACCCCATCTTCTGGGCAGACAATCACTCTGATTCCTGTACCCCTCCCTAAACCCCATCTTCTGGAGAGACAATCACTCTGATATTTGTACACCTCTACCAAACCCCTCCTCTGTACAGACAAATATCTTGATTCTTGTATACCTCCCAAACCCCCTTTTCTGGACAAACAGACACCCTGATTCCTCCTTGACATTTGGACAGAAAGACCTCCCCAAACCTTCTTGTAAACGACAGATTTATTTCCTTACATTTTAAAATCTGAAAAGCGATGATTATGCCAATTACATTGGAAAAACACTGACGATAGCAAAAGTGTTAAGAAGTTATTTCAAAGATAAAAATGGCATAAAAATAGCTCATATCATTCAATTTATTTTGGTAAGAAAACAAGCTCTGTTATTTGCTTTTAGAATTTTATAGCACCGACGTGTGTGTAGCTTAAGCAGCAATATTACCAGGTATTTGACTTACTAATTCCTGTCATACAATGGTTTGTTCCAACTGAAACATACATATGTACATCATAACTTTCTCAATAGCCAACATGTACTGTTTCCATTCAACCCTCACAGCTCTGTCCTGAAACATGAATCTTCATCACAAAAAGTGTACATGTCTCGTTGTTGTCTATCAACTTACGTTTTCCAACAAGGCTGGGTATATGGTCCACTACAACAGTTTTCTTCAACAAGTCAGATATTTTGTAATATTTCAAACTTCCAAGAAATTTATGAAGTACATAAATCATTTATTTTCTAAATATCCTCACCTCTACAAAATTTTATGTGACCCTATAACCTGAAAGTTTGGACCTCTTTCAAGTGATTTAATGGACCTTCCAAGACCATGACTGCTTAAAGCATCCAAGTGATGAAGACTTACTGTCTACAATAAAAGTTGTCGAGCAGGAACATGAGCCTGCAGTGGATGACACGATACAGGTGTATTTTCCTGAGTCCTTCAAAGTAAGACTCTTGAACCACAGGGTGGAGATACCAGAATCAGCATTCCACTCAATGGTCAAATTGTCACTCGGGCTTAGCTTTTTATTATCCTTCACCCTGTCAGAAACCAAACAGTTACTTTTACTCAGAAACCAAACAGTTATTTTTACTCAGAAACCAAATGGTAACTTTTACTTAGAAACCAAACAGTTATTTTTACTCAGAAACCAAACAGTTATTTTTACTCTGAAACCAAACAGTTACTTTTACTCAGAAACCAAACAGTTATTTTTACTCAGAAACCAAACAGTTATTTTTACTCAGAAACCAAATGGTAACTTTTACTTAGAAATCACGCAGTTATTTTTACTCAGAAACCAAACAGTTATTTATACTCAGAAACCAAACGGTTATTCTTACTCAGAAACCAAACGGTTATTTATACTCAGAAACCAAACGGTTAACCAAACCACGGTTATTTATTCAGAAACCAAACAGTTATTTATACTCAGAAACCAAACGGTTATTCTTACTCAGAAACCAAACGGTTATTTATACTCAGAAACCAAACGGTTATTTTTACTCAGAAACCAAACGGTTATTTATACTCAGAAACCAAACGGTTATTTATACTCAGAAACCAAACGGTTATTCTTACTCAGAAACCAAACGGTTATTTTTACTCAGAAACCAAACGGTTATTTTTACTCAGAAACCACACGGTTATTTTTATCTTTATATCTTAATTGTATAATTCTTAAACATTTATGAAATCAAGTGTAGTCATCGAAATAGGGATTTTGACCAAATCTTCAAAATTTGGAATTTTCACCAATACTTCAAAATACAGATTTTAATTAAAGTTCAATGTAAGCATGATTTTCTATTAATGAATAATGAGATGCTACAAATATTAAAATTAATAACAAAGGCCATTTGTACAGCAAGGAGATATGTTGTAAGATAACAACATCAATCACCATGGAAACCAAATTTTGACAGCCAATATTCACTATTAAAGCTATGTACATTTATTGAAACTGATACTTTATGGACAATATTGCAAAACTATTAAGAGTTTCATAAGCTATGCAAATTTTTCCAATTTGAATCCTGGAGCTACTTTGTTTACGTAGAGTCATAGCTTTATGATTTTAAAGTGGAAGATGTTCATGGATTGGATGAAATCTTACCATGACACTTCGGGCAGAGGTTTGCCCTCCACCTGGCACTGTATTTTGATGTTAGTGTCCGAGTCCAAGCAGCGATACTCTTTTTCGAGTTTTGTAACAAAATCAGGACTCACATAGGCGGGCTCTATAATGGGACACAAATGGGGCATTACACAATCAGTCAACCTCATAAAGCATGTAACAGTCTATGCTTTTTTATTTTAACATGTTCGAGATTGAGGCTCCAATTACTGATTTTTTTTATATGTAATTTAGATGCTAGTTAACATCTAAAGCACTATGCATTTTAAAGATGTAAATATAAACATACTCTATATCGATATTCGTTGATTTTCCAGAGAGGATTATTTTAGGAGAAAAGCAACAGTTTTCTTAAAAGTTAAAAATTTACTCAGTATGTTTTGCTTTATTAGTAACAAACTCAATTTAAAACACAACCTCAGATCTTTAAATAAAAGGATTAATGAAAATCACACACTAAGCTGATGTTGTTGTTATGAAAGCCCCAAAAAAGAGTAGAAAAAAGTTATATTCATATTCACAATAAGAACAAATATACTGTAGAAAAAAGATATGATGACAGAAGAAAAGTATAGTAAAGTAAATGTAATAGTTTTAGACATAATCACAGTCTTTGACAATTAAAGTTAGACAACAGGGAAAGATCACTAGATGTTAAAAAGATGACAAGCAATGGAAAAAGGAGGACGACATTTTGGTTGACAGTGTGAATATAGAATTGGTACCTAGTAAAAGGAAAAAAGGCACCTGTAGTTGATCACATCAACAGGAAATCAGTTCAAAATGGATTTTATAAAACACAATAAAAACCAGCACCACAGAACTATGATAACCCATCACAACTTCCTGTTGATAAGTGGGAGGAAGGATGAGGCTCAAAGGCTCAAACTAGTAACTAACCTCTTGCTTGCTTTGTGAACACCCTACAGCTAAGGCAAAAGGACATTTTGGCACCAGCTGATGCTCATAAGATGACACAGGCTTGATTCTCGAAAAATTCCAGCATTGAAATGATATGACTACCAATCAGAAAATGTTTTTGACAAATATATACCTTACCTTATACAGCAATGTTATTTTAAAGATTTTTCTCTCTTTGCTCTTATGCATGTCTTTCTTACATAATCAAGAAATAGCAACAATGTCACCAAACGAAGAATGAGGGAGGAAAAGATAGGTTGAAGTCCTGTAAACTCCAAAGTTCTCTAAGTTCATTTAAAAAAAAAGGCAAATAAGCAAAAATGGTTAATCAACTATTTAATATATATGTATTATAAAAAGAAATATATGCTGTTATTTGATATTGAAGCAGTTTTCAAAATAATATATGAAGTAAGTCAGTAAAATGTTTTGTCCAAAGAATCAAAAACCAAAACAGACTCCAAAGTCAATGCTATTAATTAGTGAGAAAATCAACTGTACCATAAGAACAAGTATCAATATATGTCTGAGAACCACAACAAACCACGCTGGGGAGGGGGATCATGAGTGACAGCAAATCTAGGGTAGGGAGGGCACGCCCTACCATACCGTGTGTGGTCGGACCGCAGGGCGCTGTGATGCTTGTCACTCCTGTTATCCAGTTCCCGGAGTAAAGGTAGAACTAACGTCCGAAATTTGATCAGTTTAAAGTCAATTGGTAGTTAGTGGGTTAGAGTGTATGGATATGTAGTATGACTTGACAGATTATTAATTTACACCCAAAAAATCCATGAAAATCATTACAAATGATAATAACTATTGCAGCCTGATGATAGAAATTACCAGCAAGAATGTGCTGGTTTTAACAGGAAAAAAACCATCATCACCATCCACAACAGTCCAGATTTGAAAGAAGTATAGCACAGTTACAACTCCATCAGAAACATAACTAGCCAACTGTTCTGTTATATCAGACACAATCAATGCAGCACCAACAATCACCAACATAATCAATCACATGAAAATACAACCAACATGAGAACCAAACGATGAATAATGTCATTCACTAGACATCACCGGTCAGGATGACCTTTGACCTCTTTACTTTCTTCTGTTGACCAGTGTGTCCAGTTGAAGTTCAGTAATCATAATGGTTTTAAATAATAATAAAGTTTTTTTGTACCCCAAGTATAACGACCCTCAACTATTTCCAAATCTTGTATATATCAATTTTAGTATGTGTCGTGTGTAACAGGTAACTGTTTCCATGACAACATTGATATTTAGGTGTTAACGAAACAAGAGGTCCATTCAATCAAATTGATTTCAACATTTTTTTGGATATGTAGGACTCTATACTTGGTTTGGGTTTATTTTTTTCAAGTCAATCTTACTTTGCAAAATGCTATGAATATATCAATAAAACCAACAATTATTGTAAATTTCTATCTTCACACAAACTTGATACATAGAGCAGTAAAATACTTTTACATGTGGCCTCCTGGATAGGACAGATGTAAAAGTAAGATTAAACTCTCTTAGATCAATATTTGTTGCATCGTATTTTATTCTAGAAAAAAATGTCACTGAAGATAGAAAAAAAATATTCCCTTACATATATGACTTTTATTAATTCAATTTTCCTTTGTGTTAAATAAAAAAAAAGTTTCTTTTCATTTTATTTGAAAAATAAATCAATTGCATGATATGTACACAGTGCCATATCAAAAGTGGAAATCAAACACAAGCCTACAGATAAAGGAAACAAAAGTCTACATATATCTATTAAGGAGTTTCCTTTCTAAAAATAAACTAATAAAACATACAGCTAATTCTGAAAAGAAACCGCTTTCTATCATGCAGTCAAGCTCAACACTTAAAAATCTGCATCTCAAAGCACGATGGTTAAGACAGCAAAACCAACACATAATTTACAGCTAGGACACCCCTCACTAACATTATACATTGTCTGGTATACACAACAACTACCACAAGGGGAGGAACATATAACATCCACAAGGGGAAGTAACTTACACATCCACAAGAGATGTAACTTACAACATCCACAAGGAGAAGTAATTTACACATCCACTATGGAGATAACTTACAACACCCACAAAGGGAAGTAACTTACACATCCACAAGGGAGGTAACTTACAACACCTACAAGGGGAAGTAACTCACACATCCACAAGGGAGGTAACTTACAACACCTAAAAAGGGAAGTAATTTACACATCCACAAGGGAGGTAACTTACAACACCTACAAGGGGAAGTAATTTACACATCCACAAGGGAGGTAACTTACAACACCTACAAGGGGAAGTAATTTACACATCCACAAGGGAGGTAACTTACAACACCTAAAAGGATGAGATCTTCCACATCTAGAAATATTCACAACTTGTACAAAGGAATTGTTATAGGCCAAGAATCAGGTGGAGGGTGATAGGAATGTTTAAGTGGAAAATCACATAAACAATGAATGATGCACTGGCACCAATATGGGTAGAATCTATACAAAGAGATAGATATTGAAATGTTCAAGGAAGATTTGACACTTATGTAATTTTCTTATAGACAAGGGGACAATTGCCAATCAGGGAGGTGTAACAGGGGCCAGGGTTACATTATGAACTACCTTTCTCTTCGGGGACACTGGGTTCACCTGTGAGAAATAGATCATTACATTTGTCACATGTAAACATTTTTATTACATATCCCAGACATTATTACATAATAGTTATTCTGGAATTTCTAAAATCATTAACTTGAAAAATCTGTGATTTATACAGCTAAACTTTGCTAGATTATATAGATGTACAAGTATACTACTATTTCATCTTTGATTTCAAATTAAAAAGCGCAATTAAACGGAAGCGGGAAGACATTAAGCCACGTTACAATGATATGTGTAACATTTACATGCTGACAAAGTACTTACAGGGCTCAGGCTGGGCTGCAGCATCTCTGTAAAATCAAAAAAAGTTTTACTTTAATGATAATTAGGTTATGTTGTTAAAATTTTAAGATTTGTCAGATAAAACATAACTTCTGAACTTTAATCTTTCAATGTTGTTTACTATGTAAACAGATGTATACAAAACAATATTGTACAACCAGTTGACTTAATAAGTTTTGAAATCTTGTAGAAGGAAAAAATATTTTATTATGAAATTAATTACATTGCATTTAAAAAGTATGTAAAGAAATGTGTGATGTGTGTTTCCATCGTGTAACATTTGTTTGATTTTTCATTATAGTGACAGCATCTCAAAAACTTAAATACATACACAGTATCTTCCTTTGCTACCTCAGGAGCAGCCTCTGGTTTGGCTGCTTCTTCAGCAACTGGAGCTGGTGCAGGCTCTGAGGCAGGCTCTGAGGCAGGCTCTGAGGCAGGTTCGGGTGCAGCTTCAGGAGCAGGCTCAGGTACAGGTTCAGGAGCAGGTTCAGGTGCAGGCTCAGAGGCCTGTTCAGGTGTAGCTTCTGGGGCAGGTTCAGGTGCAGGCTCTGAGGCAGGTTCAGTTGCAGCTTCTGGAGCAGGCTCAGGTGCAGGCTCAGGTGCAGGCTCAGGTGCAGGCTCAGGTGCAGGCTCAGAGGCAGGTTCAGGTGCAGCTTCAGGAGCAGGCTCAGGTGCAGATTCCACAGCTGCAGCTGGTTCAGATTCTGCAACAGGTTCAGCAGCTGGTTCAGCTGCAGGTGCTGCTTCAGGTTCAGGTGCAGGCTCCTCTACCACTTCCTGGGTAGCCTTAGCGGCAGCCTCTGCCACAGCTTCCTCGACAACCTTTGTGGCTGTCTCTTCTGCTGTCTTAACAACAGCAGATTCAGTTTCAGATTTTGATTCCACAACTGCTACAGACTCTGTAGTCTCAGATTTTGATGATTCTTCTGCTTTTTTGGCATATTTAGCAGCTAATTGTTCAGCTTTAGCTTCACGTTCCAGAACAAGGTCAGACTTTTTCCTCTCTTTTACATCAGACAGTACAGTTATGTCCTGCTGGATTTCTACCTCACAGTTGCTTTCGATCACACTTCCATTGGGATGAGTCAGGCGCACTGTGTACTTGCCAGTATCTCTCTCTGCATATGCCCTAGCAATCTCACAGGTGTGGTAGTTCTTCACAGCAATGATCTTTACATGACCTTTGTTGGTTAACTCTTCTCCATTACAGAGCCATGTTACTGAAAGATTTTACAACTAATGTCAAGACAATAAAATCACTATCGACTTTAAAGAACATAATTGTGTTGCAGTAAAATATTGTTTTGTTTTAAAGATTTTTTCTTTAATTATTTCATCTTGTTTTTTTTTGTTGACCTTGACATGAGAATAGGTGTTATCAAAATTTCAATCACCAAAGTATGTCACCTATCTCAATTCTTCAACAGAAGCCCAGTAATATGTGTTTGCCTCATGACTTAATATCACTGACCTGTTGGCTTTGGGAATCCCTCCACTTTGCACTCAAAGAACAGCATCTGCCACTCCTTGACCCTCATTGTCTGCGGCAGTGACTTACAAAGTCTAGGAGGTTGATACAATATATCTCTGGTGTTGAGAGGGACATAGTCACTGTCTCCTGTAAACTCAGAAAGAGCCAAAGGTCCGCTGTCCACAGCTTTAGTATCCTTGTGGCCCCAGGTTCCAAAAGAGGGTTGTCCATCACCTGTTTAAGACAATTTATCATTTAAACACAAATTTGATTTTGTATGGTTTCAAAAGATTCATATAACAGACTTTGAGTATATATTAATTGAAATGCATTATTTTAATGAATGATAACTTTATGCAACAAATTTTGTTAAAGCATGAAACAGGATTTTGTGACAATAAAAACAAAAGACAAATGTATATCAATTTTAATTTTTATCAGTTTGTTTATAAAGATGAACTTTAATAAAAAAAAAATAAACAGTAATTTTTTGTTAGAATTTATAACTGAAATATCTTTCGGTGGTTTTTAGTTTTAAAGCTCCAAATGATAATGAACTCTGAATGGAAGGCAATCCACTAATCTATAACCTACAGCAGTTTCAACAGAAATGGTAACAGATTTTTGTCCTGTAATGATACCTGTTTGTGTCAGAGTTGTCTTGCCCAAAACTCTGGGCTTATTACATGATAAATCTGTAATGATCCCTGTTTGTGTCAGAGATGTCAGTCTTGCCCCTAACTCCTGGACTGATTACATGATGAATATGTAATGATCCCTGTTTGTGTCTGAGATGTTAGAGTCTTGCCCCTAACTCATGGACTTATCACTTATCATACTTACCATATACGATGAGTTTGGCCGAGCTCTGGCACCGTCCAGCCATGCTATGAGCCTGACACTTGTAAAGACCAATGTCAGAGTGCTCACACTCATGGATCTTAAGAATTACCAGACCTTTTTCTCCAAAGTGCATTGTCATCTTGTTTGTTTGGTGAATCCTGCGGCCATCTTTGTACCTGTGGACACGATATTTCAGTTTATTTAATATACCTATGAAGTATTTATCTTTTCAGCATAATGTTATTATTTTGATTTTGATGAAGGAAACTGATTATTCCTACACAGACACACAGATGGTAGAACGGGACTTTTGAATGGGACCTTAAACATTTGTAAATCAGGACACAAATATTCAGAAACTACTAGTTTTTAAAATTACCGTAAAATAATTATTTCTGTTGGACATTTATTGTCATTGATTTTGTGGGTAGTCATTATCCACAAATACATAGGTCCATGAACTGTTGTAATTGGTATAAGTATAGATTTGGAGATACATTCGACATATCCATGAAATAGTATTAAATTGAGAAACCACAAAACAAACAGCCCCACTAAAATATATGATATTACAGTATGCATTAATATAAGATATTTTCAAATTAGGCTCATCATCATCCCTAAAAGGTCCAATAAAAAGTGAATTTACCAGGTAACATTTGGTTTTGGGTTGCCCTTGACAATACAGCTGAAGATGGCTGTGCCTCCGAATTCTGCGTGGCCGTGATGCATGTTCTTGGTAAAGTATGGTCTACAATACTCGATACAGGGGTCCAGTGTAGCTGAAATAAACAAAAAATGGTACCATTGTAAAGCTAGCATTTTCATGTGGATAAAAAAGAACAAATCAAGCTTTATCTAAGCCTTGTTTTAGCAATTCAAGACTATAGTGCAATACACTTTATAGAATAAGGAAGATAGTGAATTGGGAAAAAAATTTGTTAAAAAATGAAATTTAAAGTTATTTTGTAACAAATGAATACTCACGTTCAACTTGGAGGTAGCATGTAGATATGATATGACCTTGTTCATTTCGCACCTCAACACTATATTCTCCAGTGTCATCGAGGGAGGTAAGGGGAATCTCCAGACTGAAGTGTCCGCCCCTCAGCTAAAGTTCATGGTATACATCAGTAAAGTATTACATCATTAATACACAAACATTCCAATCTTATTTAACGTTGTGTGATCACTGTATGTACACAATTTTAACTAAATCCCTCTTAGAAGTTACTACTAAACAACTTGCTTCTGATGAAATAATGGTCATAAGTCTTTAGGGATCTGATTTCCTGGTTCTAAAAGAATTATAAATCTGTATGACAGTATTATCTTTATTGATTCATAAATAAACTTATGCCACAAATACATCTTTCCACAAAATGATAAACAGTTAAAAAATAATATGTTTTTTTGTACGAGTGGGTTTTTAGTGTTACCGTTTATCCACGGAATCAAATGCCAACAAATTTATTTTCTTTTTAAACACCATAAGTTGAGTCTTATGAAAACATAGATTTTGCCATTTAGACACGTTTATAACCTTTTGACCTTTATAACAATTCCAGGTAACCATTATTAACATGTGTATATGTATGATACCAAAGTCTTGTTAGATAAATTATCAAACATTAGGTGTGATCTATTACAATTACAGAATCAATTGTAGATTAACGTACCCTGATGAAGTATCTCTCATATATGTTGGCGTAAAGTGGAGCGTTGTCCTTGTACCACTGCACGAAAAAAGGAGGGATGCCCGAAACGAAACAGGTAAGATGTGCTGAAGATCCCTCAACTACACACTTGCTCTTGAGGTGCTCCCTGAAGAAGAAAGAGCGGCTCTCATCCCACTGGGCACTCAGTTTGAGAATGGCCTCGTTCTGCCTTTTGTACAGTTGCTGTAGGTGGGTCTCATCACTCTGTCAGAAAGGGAGATAACTAACATTTATTTCATACAGACATACAATGTAACTACAAATGATCATGTTTCAGGCAAGAATCAAGGCTAAAAAGAAATACTATTCTGTAGTCAACATGGCTTTATGCTACAGACAAGAGTCTAGTTAACCTTGAATCATTGTGAAGTTTGTTTCAGACAACAGTCTAAAATACCTTTAATCAATATGACCTTTATGTTACAGACAAGAGTCTAGTTAACCTTGAGTCAATGTGATTTTATGTTTCAAGCAAAAGTCTAGGCTACCCTCAATATAGGTGATTTTTACCTGTTACAGACAAGAGTTTAGGCTACTTTGAAAATAGATGACTTTGTGTCACCGACAACAGTTCATGTCACAGAAAATAGTCTGACCAACCTTTGGTCATAAATTCACGTTAAAGACAAGAGATGACATAACTGTAACTCTCTTAAGAGAAGGAATCTATATTACACTATTGTTCTAGGTTACCACTACTTGTTTACTCTACATTTTTAGATTACTGGCAAGAGCTCATACTACCTTGAGTGCCATCAGTCTTTTGTCAACTACAGAGTCATCTTCTATTGCATTCTTGCCCGTTGATGTCAAAAATCTCCTCTGGATGTCATATGGCTCAAATTCAACCTCATCAAGTTTATTCATTTGGTCCCATTTCTCATATGATTCTTTGTCTGAAAGTAGTTCATAAGGACAGCAAATGAAGTTAAAGAATATTGATGTGCTTTTTATATTTATTGGTATGATAATACCAATGTACAATAATCTTATCTTTGTGTCTTCTTAAGTTACTGGAGCTTTCTACTTCTTTTCTCCTCTTTCTTATTATTTGCTCTAACAATATCATGTGGTAACTTCAATAAACAATTGAAAGCTGTTTAAAAAGTGTTATAAATATCCATATTGAGCACAACTAAGGACCAAAGAATATTTCTTCAGCAAAAGTAATAGTGGTGTATTAACTGGCCATAGCAAAAACTATTTATTAATTTGCAATAGTAATGACAATTTATTTATTGGCAATAGTGATGACAATTTATTAATTTGCAATAGTAATGACAATTTATTTATTGGCAATAGTAATGACAATTTATTAATTTGCAATAGTAATAATGATTTATTAATTGACAACAGTAATAACAATTTATCATTTGGCAAAGTCCAACATAGCAACTTGTCAATCATTTCTATAAATCCAACTTTAACAATAGTAATAATGATTTATTAATTGCCACCCTATTTATCATGGTAGCAACTTGTCAATCATTTCTATAAATCCAACTTTAACTTAAATTGCCACCCTATGGATCATGGTAAACCTACTATAAGTTTTCAATTCGTGAATGATCCATCCAGTACATCAGACCAGGGACGTATAATACAGAGATATTATTTTGATATTATTTTACACAGTAAGATATACGCACTAGACCGAAAACAAATCACAAATAACCCACAAAAACCTTTCAATTTTTGGTGCAAAAATATAGTAACACATTTTGCCTTTTCAACCACAGAATGATGACTTATCATGGGATATTTGCATGTCGACAAGATATGTTTATTTTGGACTGGAATCCTTTACACATCAAATGTCCACAATAGAATTAATTCTCACCTAAAACGGTCACTTTGGACTCAGTGGTGGCGATACCGAGGAAGCTAATGGCCTCACAACGATAAACAGCGCTGTCGTATCTGCGGATGGCATCCTTAACTTCCAAGGTTGTGGTACCGTCGGTATGGATCATCATCGTATGTCTGATATCGGACTGGATTGGTAGATTATTCTTGAACCTGTGACATGAATGTTATGATAACACAACTACATTTTAAATTAACTTAAAACAGTCGTCAAACATATTTCCAGGAGGAAATAGCCATGAAGTTGCACAATGTATATTCTAAGTCAACTTTTCTACTATCTAAAGAGCCTGATTATTATGTATTTATCACAATAAGGTCTGACCCATTAAAGACACAGATATTATGATACTACCAATCTATATCTACTTCAATACTATGCTATCCTGGTGTAAACTCACAAGAAAATTCATGTTCAATGACAATAATAAAATCATTTTACCATTTTATTTCTGGCGTTGGGTTTCCAGCAGCTTTACATTCCAGTTTGAAGCCATGTCCCTGCTCAACCTTGGTATTCCTGAGAGTTCTGGCAAATGACGGTTCCTCTTCAAACAGCATGGCTGTAAGTTATAAACCAGAACAGGATAAGTAATGTATTTATCCGTCATGTATGTTGTTTATTATTGTCTGATACAGGAGTTTGTATACAAGTAAACAACCATGATGAATTATCAACATTTAATTTTAAATAAAAACTTAATTAATAAATCAAAAACATTAATGTGTTAAAGATTTTTGCAGAGAGGACCAAACAATCCAGATGAGTCAGGCTTTGTGAAGATTCCATAATTCTGCCTCAACATGATATATGAAACTTAATTTGACGTTGCGTAAATATCAACAAAAAACATCAGTTGATGTGAGCTATAATTACGACAAATTTATGTATAAAAACAACATTGAAACAGAGTAAAAGAAAACAGCAAAAAGTGTGATTACGGAAAGTTTGCTTAAGGCATGATTTTACAATATACATAGAAGGTGTGACCACAGAAAAAGCAGTTTGATTTAAACACAATTTTACAATATAGGTGTGACCACAGAAAAAGCAGTTTGCTTAAGACATGATTTTCCAATAAAGGTGTGACCACAGAAAAAAGCAGTTTGATTTAAACACAATTTTACAATAAAGGTGTGACCACAGAAAAAGCAGTTTGCTTAAGACAGGATTTTACAATAAAGGTGTGACCACAGAAAAAAGCAGTTTGCTTAAGACATGATTTTACAATAAAGGTGTGAACATAGAAAAAAGCAGTTTGCTTGAGACATGATTTCAAAATATAGGTGTGACCACAGAAAAAAGCAGTTTGCTTAAGACAAGATTTTACAATAAAGGTGTGACCACAGAAAAAAGCAGTTTGCTTAAAACAAGATTTTACAATAAAAGTGTGACCACAGAAAAAGGAGTTTGTTTAAAACATGATTTTACAATATAGGTGTGACAACAGAAAAAAGCAGTTTGCTTAAGACATGATTTTACAATAAAGGTGTGACCACAGAAAAAAGCAGTTTGCTTAAAACAAGATTTTACAATAAAAGTGTGACCACAGAAAAAAGCAGTTTGC